ATCTTACTATAACAGGCGGTGCACGAAGTTCGTGAAGGCATAATGATGCACATATTGGAAGAGGAGAACTTTCGAGAAGACCAAGCCACTGGTCTTTACACTGCCCCAGCCACACAGGACGAGACACAGGGGCGTGCCTCAGAATATTCTCCGATAATGCAAATCACGAACTGGGCGGATGCAAGCATTGTGATCGGTTATCATAGGCAGGATCAACACCAGGAAGGCCAGACAGTGTGAACTGTGAGTTTGTTCTTTTGTTCACAGGTGTCTTGTTGAATGACACCAATGTGACAGTAGGATATTATATTGTGGTCAGAATTTGCCTTATGGGGCTAACCTGCAGAAGTTTTCATGCTCTCGTATGAAGCCTCGCTCAAGCTGACTTTGCATATTCTTCAAGGTACGAAACAAGCAGCTTCGTGCCATCTAGCGAGACCGCATTGTCTGGAGTACCAAGTAAGTTAGCCTGAGTTATTGGAGAGCTTTGCCTTAGGCCGAATCCCGGATTGAGCACGTTAGACCACGTTGGCTTGTAAGGCGCGTAGCCCAACGTACCCTGTAAAGTCACGACTCGAAGCATGACTGACAGCACGATCAATAATATGGGAAGTATACAGGCACTTACAATTACTAGCACGGATGCCTCCCACGCTTCGGTGGCCCTTCAAACCTAGCAGGCCCTTTTTCTCTGCGCCTGCGAGGAAAGCCTTCTCCTTGTCCGCATCCCCACCAGAGACACGGAAGCAGATATTCATCCTGCTGCGTACAGACTTGTCGGGCACGACCTGATAAACATTGGAATACTTTTCAAGCGTCTCGTAGATGAGGCGAGCCTTTTCGTTGGAGACTTCTTCCTGACCACCAATGCGCTTTGTGCCATAAGAGTTGACCAGTCCGGACATGACCTGGCCGGCCACCCATACGTCAAAGATGGGTAGTGTGTTATAAAGTGAGTTGTTCTTCGCGATGGTAGGATAGTCTAGCACAATGGGACCAACAGACAAGTTGAGCTCTCTCATCAGATCAGGCGAAGCTGGGGTGGAGTGTGGCGGTAGGAGTGACTTCCGCATGATCACAATCGCGATACCAGTGTTACCAATATTCTTTTGGGCGCCACCGAAGATGATCGCATACTTGCTCACGTCGACCTTCCGGGAAATGAAGTTTGACGACATATCGGCACAGACCAATGGCGCATCGTCACCCTCAAGGCTCTGAGGGAAAGACGGGAACTCGACTCCGTCCACGGTCTCGTTGTCGCAAAAGTATACGAAGGCAGGCCCACCCTTGGAACGCGATGTGAGGCTCCACTGGTCTTCGGATGCGATCTTGCCAAATTTGCCGTCATTTACTTTGCGCGAGTCGGTGGCTACATTGATGTGCTTGGCTCCTACAAGACGCGCAGCCTCTTGCGATGCCTTGAGCGACCAAGAGCCGGTGACGAGGTAGTCGAGTTTGAGCTCCTCGTCCACGACCTTGCGCAGCCTCTTCATCAACTCCTCCTTGTTGTCGCCCACCTCTTCCGCGATCTTTGCGCGCTTCTTCTCTACCCATATCGAGACAAGGTTGTATACGGTCGCACTGAACTCGCCGCTACCGCCGCTTTGGAGGAAAAGAATCTCGTAGTCGTCGGGGATTTCGAGTAAGTCGCTAAGCGCCTTTTTCGTGTCTGCAAGAATCTCATTGGCTTCTGGAGAGCGATGGGAGATTTCGCAGAGACCGATGCCCTTGTCTTTGTAGTTCAGAAGCACCTGCGATGCCTTCTCGAGGACCTCGGTGGGCAATGGTGCGGGGCCAGCGCCAAAGTAGTTGACGTCAGAGCGGTTGACCATGGTGACAACGGGCTTGGAAGTGAGTAGTGTTGTGTGTAGAGTAAAACCGAAGTTACATGAGAGAAATTAAGCAAAGAGGGGCGGTTTTGTATAGTCGAAGTCTTCTCAGGTCGCGTCATACGAAGAATGACTCTAATACCAGCCTCTTACCAAGTGCTGCTTCCGACTTCGGGCTAGCATGCAACATGGACATGCTGGGCACCGTATGCAGAGTACCCAAGTATGGTGCGCTATAGATGCTACATGCTCCCCGCGTGGGAGTTGAATGCATTATGCGAAGCAATTGAGCGCGTCCGGTTGTGTCCAATGGCAGCGCGAGGGAATGGATGACTGGCGCCGAACTTCGGTGGGGAATTTTTGTCTGGGGAAACGCGCATTCACAATTGCATACACCACATTGCTGCCATCCCAAGTACCAGCAATGGCAATGTCACTACGGGCAGCACGGCTCTTGGGTCGCAGGCAACTAGCAGTATGTCTGAATTATTCCTTTTTGCTTCAATTGTCTAATGTTCCAAATGTAGCCTCGAGCAAGTCTTGCTCTTCGTACCGCCTCGTTTTCGCCTCGACCATGTCTCGCGCCACGAACCTTTGCTACGACGGCTAGCCGTCGCGATGCCCAGGATGTGTTTCCCTCCATGAAAGAGAGCCCTGCGGCAAGCTTTCTCTCTTCGCTCAACGAGACGCCCAAAACCCCGCAGACACTTACAGAGAAGATTGTGCAGCGACATGCCGTTGGCATTGCCCAAGGCAAAATCCTCAGGTCGGGCGATTATGTGACATTGCAACCACATAAATGCATGACACATGACAACTCATGGCCCGTGGCTCTCAAGTTCATGGGCATCGGAGCCACCAAGATTAATGATCCGAAGCAAATCGTAATGACCCTCGACCACGACGTACAAAACAAGACGGAGAAGAACTTGAAGAAGTACAGCCAGATCGAGGCATTTGCACAAAAGCAGGATGTCGTCTTCTACCCCGCTGGACGAGGCATCGGTCACCAGATCATGGTAGAGGAGGGCTATGCATGGCCAGGAACGCTTGCTGTGGCGTCCGACAGCCATTCAAACATGTACGGCGGTATCGGATGCTTGGGCACACCTGTTGTACGAACCGATGCTGCGAGTATCTGGGCAACGGGCAAGACCTGGTGGCAAATTCCCCCTGTCGCGAAAGTCACCCTGAATGGCAAGATGCCGCAAGGCGTGACTGGCAAGGATGTCATTGTTGCTCTGGCTGGTCTTTTCAACAAGGACGAAGTGCTCAACCACGCTATCGAGTTCACCGGAACCGATGAGACCCTTGGTAGCATACCCATCGACGACCGCCTCACCATTGCAAACATGACAACAGAATGGGGTGCCCTTACTGGGCTGTTCCCCATCGACTCTACACTTCACGGCTGGCTTCGCGCGAGGGCAACTCTAGCCGCTATGGGAGAGGGTCAAGCCAAGGACCACCACCAGCAACAGTTTATCCATGAACGTATTGATCAGCTGTTCACCGCTACTGGTATCGTTGGAGAGAAGATGGGTCACATCTTCAAGCCTGCGTTGGCTGCAGACAAGGGAGCTGTCTATGCCAAGGAGCTCTTCCTTGATCTCTCAACGCTGTCACCATATGTATCCGGTCCAAACTCCGTCAAGGTCGCGACACCGCTACTTGAGCTCCAGAGCCAAAACATCCCCATCAACAAGGCATATCTCGTATCCTGCACCAACTCCCGTGCTTCTGATCTTGCTGCCGCCGCCAATGTTTTCAAGGATGCTGCTGTTCTGAACGGCGGCAAGATCCCCAAGATTCCTGACAATGTCAACTTCTACATCGCCGCCGCATCAATTCCCGAACAAAAGGCTGCGGAAGAGGCTGGCGACTGGCAGGCGCTTCTGGAAGCTGGCGCACAGCCACTCCCCTCCGGTTGCGGTCCTTGTATTGGACTCGGTACAGGTCTCCTTGAGCCTGGTGAGATTGGTATTAGCGCCAGCAACCGTAATTTCAAGGGCCGTATGGGATCACCTGACGCCAAGGCTTACCTAGCTAGCCCTGAAGTAGTTGCAGCAAGTGCTTTGTCTGGTAAGATCTCGGGGCCTGGATGGTACGAGGCCCCCGAAGGCTACCAGGGTGTTCGACGCGGAGAGGGCGATGGTGTCCCTGAGGAAGAGCGCATGATGACTATCGAAGACATGCTCGAGAAGGCCATCAAGGATGCTGAGGCTGCTATCGATACCTTTGGCAACACCGAGTCCGAGACACAATCCGTGAACCCACCCGCAACACCAGGCTCGGAGGCCGAGACCCTGACCGAGATTCTCCCTGGCTTCCCCGAGAAGATCAGCGGCGAGATCGTCTTCTGCGACGCAGACAACATCAACACCGACGGTATCTACCCTGGTAAATACACATACCAAGATGACGTAACCCGCGAGAAGATGGCAGAAGTATGCATGGAGAACTACGACCCCAACTTTGGTCAGATAGCCAAGGCCGGTGATGTCCTCGTCTCAGGTTTCAACTTCGGCTGTGGTAGCAGTCGTGAGCAGGCCGCAACTGCCATCCTGGCCAAGGGCATCCCGCTAGTCGTCTCGGGTAGCTTTGGTAACATCTTCAGCCGAAACAGCATCAACAATGCTTTGATGGGTGTCGAGGTACCCAAGCTGGCCAACCGTCTCCGCGAAGTATTCTCCTCCAAGGACGCGTCGTCATCACAACAAGCTATCAAGGAGCCTTCGAACAACCGTGAATCGCTTGATTCACCGCCCCCGGCCGCTGCTGCTCAGCCCTCCCAAGCCAAGCAATTGACCCGCCGCACTGGCTGGACCCTAGAGTGGGATGTCCGCAGGAGTACGGTCAATGTACAAGAAGGACCCAATGGCGCCAAGTGGAACGTCAAGGTTGGCGAGCTGCCTCCCAATGTGCAAGAAATTATCGCTCTTGGTGGATTGGAGAACTGGGTAAAGAAGGAGATTGGCAGCCCTCTCTCTTAAGTGTGAAGGGAGCTTAGAAATTAGCTTGTAACATTCGTGTATACCCACTTGAAGATATGCATAAACGGCGTTTGGGTATTTGGACCTTTTTAAGCAAGCAATACAGAGTTTAGGATGTACAATGGACCCGCAAGGTCTTCAACGTAGTGTTACTTGTCTCTGGCCCTACGCCACTTCACCGAAGATAGACAGGCATACCCCTTTCCCATCCCTTCGCCCTACAACAGTGCCAAGTATCCGTCTCGCTAACGCCCTGCCCCCCACTACTCTTCTGATCAATGCTAGCATATACACTCCATCCCTCTTCCTCCAACATTTCTACCAGCGCAATCAATAACTCTCTCACTCTCATTGTCTCTTCTCCGCTAGCCTGCCATGGGTAACCTCTGAGTTTGAATTCCCAGATCCCAGGTGAATGCTGTTCTGACGCCGAGATCCAGTTGGCTCCAACGCGAGAGGGGAGCGAGCTATACAGCGAGGTAGGTGCGTCGATAAAGCGAAGTCGATCTTGACGACTGAAGGATACGACACACCATTCATGCGGTGTCGGGGGCGGGCTTTGGTTTCGGAAGAGCAGAGTATCCTTATCCATAGCGCTTTTGCTGATGTCAGTGTTTAGCGTCAAGAGCCATCCTGATGCATGTAGTGTTGCTAGTAGGCCGTTCATCAGACGCCGCGCGTGGATACCTTCTTTGCCATGCCCACGCCAGGGGTAGCCGTTGAGTTTCATCTCCTGGCTGTTTGCATATCTGCGCTCTTCGTCGATGCCTTGGGGCCATGTTCTTAGAACGGTTGCACGGCAGCTAGAGATGACGGGTTCGGGGAAGCGTAGGAAACGGAGACGGTCTTCCCTATGGAGAGATAAAGATGCGAATCGTGTTTGGACGGGTGTTGCTGATGCAGGTACTGAGGAAGCAGCTGTGTAGGCCGGTGGTGGGGGTGCAGATGATGGTTCATTGGGGGTATTGTCAATCGAATCCCCTTTGGAATGACCAGATGGCGACTTGCCGCGAAGCTTGTCGAACATTATGGCGTGGTACTGGCAGTTTTCTTGACGTGAAATGTGTTGTTGTGGTGTTGGAGAAGACGAAGATTCCCAAGATTCGCACACTGCGCGCCTTAAGTCTTTAAGTCTTGTCGTTGATGCACAGCCTCATAGCAACTTCTAAGATATCTGTAGTCGGACCGTTTGGTCCTGTAGATGTAGCTTATCACTCGAGCAGGTAAACATCAACCATCGAGTATGCATGATACTGCTAATGACCTACCCCAAAGGTATTCGCAGTGTAGGAATTATCTAGATAGGCTAACAAGACACAAAGTAGGGTATGCCTTTACCTAATGTATGTAATACGACTTGAAAGAGAACAGTAAGTTCTTTAGAGACGTCTGATGCGACAAAAATGTCCTCCTTGCCTGGTGACGCTGATGTTTTGTCTGATGTCGAGATGGAAGAATCTCCAGGATATGCGTCGTAGCGGCTTGGCGGGGCGACACCGGACATTGAACTCGCTTCCCCGACTACTTTTTTTTGGAGCGGGTATCGTTGGGCATCTTATCTCTAGCTCCCGTTCTTCACTGCTCGGTACCGCAATTGCCCTGCGCTGTTGCTCCCTCTACACCTGTCAATTCTCAATTTCCTCCTTCCTCGAAATTCTCGATAATGACGCCATCACCTTCAGAAGCCGTAGCAAAGGTTGCGCAAGCCGCAGCTGGCACCAACTCGTCCGCAAAGGTGTACAAGAGGGAGTCAAACACAGCCAGGGTGTTGGGCGCAGGTAAACATATCATTCCAAAGTCAACATCACCAATCTGACCTGGATAGGATGTGCGGGAATTGCAGAACTCATGGTTTTCCACCCGGTAGACACCACAGCGAAGCGATTGATGAGCAACATTGGCAAGGTGCGACTTATCGACGAAATTACACCATGATAGCGTCTGACTCGAGCACACATAGATCGAAAACGCAGCGCATCTTAACAAAGTCGTCTTCAGGGACGCGGCCGGTGCCTCAGTCTCTGGACGATTCCTTTCTCTCTTCCCCGGTCTCGGATACGCTGCAGCATACAAGGTGCGTTTGAAAATGTGAGGAGAAAAGGAATCGAACTGACCCCGTTAGGTACTTCAACGAGTGTACAAGTTCGGCGGACAGCCTTTTGTACGGGACTACCTCGCGCACAACCACGGTGACAGCTTCGATCGCACATTTGGCAAGGGTAACGGCAAGGCTATCATGCACGCGACTGCAGGTTCCATTATCGGCATCGGTGAGATTGTTCTTCTGCCGTTGGATGTCCTGAAGATCAAGCGCCAGACAAACCCTGAGGCTTTCCGAGGCCGTGGGCTATTCAAGATTGTCTCGGACGAAGGATTTGGACTATACCGTGGTTGGGGATGGACTGCAGCACGTAACGCGCCAGGCTCATTTGCGGTATGTTCGAACACCCCACGGAAACAAGCAGATGCTAACGTAAGAACAGCTCTTTGGTGGTTCCGCGGTCGCCAAGGAGTATCTCTACAAACTCTCCGACTACAACTCGGCATCGTGGTCGCAAAACTTCGTCGCCTCGATCGCTGGAGCAAGCGCATCGCTCGTGGTCTCTGCTCCTCTCGATGTCATCAAGACCCGTATCCAGAACAGGAACTTTGAGAACCCTGAGAGTGGCTTTAGGATTGTGTCCAACATGATGAAGCACGAGGGATTCACTTCCTTCTTCAAGGGACTGACACCCAAGCTGCTCATGACCGGACCCAAGCTCGTCTTCTCCTTCTGGTTGGCTCAAACGCTGATCCCTGCTTTCGGCAAGATAATGTAATGTGTTGCGATGAACTTATCCTGATGTCTGTAATATATGGGAGGCTTGGGTTTACCGGTGCTAGGAACTAGCAGGTTGGGCTACGTCAAAGGCAACGACGTACGAAGGACCGCATACCGCTGCGAACGAATGACACATTCTCCAATCCATCAAAAACTAGGCTGAAAACCGCCAACGTGGTGAACTGAAAGTGATGATGCGTGCCATGGCTGGCTGACACCAGTGGACCCTGGCGGCTGTCACGTGCGAGTACTGATCGCATCTGTTGAATTATGATGTATGATCAGCCACTGTCTTGGTGTGAAAACGGGTCAGACTAAGAGTCACACGTTAGACAGTGTACCGGTCATGTCACTGGAGAAAGTTAGGCGGCAGAATAGCAGGCATGAATGTGATGTTCCATGGCGCGACGAGCTACGGCAACTTGTGACCACGGATTTGGGCTGAATGCCAAGCTAATTCACATCTGGTATCCGCGCATTGCACTTCGTCCACCTCTACTTAACACCGTCCGCCTCGACGACTCGCGATACCCCACGACTGCTGCTTCTGATAACCCCCAACTTACGTCCATAGTCTTTACCTTGTTCTCAACCCCGCAACACCGCCATCATGAACCCTGAGTGGTACGTAGCCTCCGCGCAGCGCCCACCGCCATAGGCTGGGGAACATCGACACCAAATCTGGGGTTAGGACCATGCTAACGTGGATACCTGCAGAGTACTTTTTAAACCGACTGCAGCCCTGTTGCTGTCGTCCCCGCCATCAACGGCACCCGCTGACGGTTCGCTGCACAACAGATACGACTACCTCTTCAAGCTCCTCCTCATCGGTGACTCTGGTGTCGGAAAGTCCTGCCTGCTGCTCCGTTTTGCAGACGACACATACACCGAGAGCTACATCTCGACCATCGGTGTTGACTTTGTGCGTCTACCCGCGCACTCGCAGCCTAAGCCGGCGATAAACTAACAAGGACCAGAAAATCCGAACGATCGAGCTCGATGGCAAGACCGTGAAGCTACAGATCGTGCGTATACTCGGGAGTGCTGCGTCTGGGAGCGGGTACTAATAGTCATGATAGTGGGATACCGCCGGCCAAGAGCGTTTCCGAACCATCACATCGTCGTACTACCGCGGCGCCCACGGCATCTGCGTCGTTTACGATGTCACCGACATGGACTCATTCAACAACGTAAAGCAGTGGCTGCAGGAGATTGACCGATACGCAACCGAGGGTGTCAACAAGCTCTTGGTGGGCAACAAGTCCGATATGGCGGACAAGAAGGTCGTCGAGTACACTGTCGCAAAGGTACGTTCATGCCGCTGTTCGCCAAGCACTCACAATATCTAACAACAACATCAGGAATTTGCAGACAGTCTCGGCATCCCCTTCCTCGAGACCTCCGCAAAGAGCGCTACCAACGTCGAGCAAGCTTTCCTTACTATGGCCCGCCAGATCAAGGAGCGCATGGGTACCACAACCGCCAACACCAAGCCCACAGTCCCTATCGGCCAGGGCCAAGGTGTGCAAAACGGATCCGGCGGTGGTTGCTGCTAGAGAAGAGGAAGAGTTGTTATGTGTCGGAGAAACGTACCAGTGTCTACGGACGAGCGACATGCGGCGAGGGTGTTTTAAGCTCCCGTCTTTATGCGATGCGAGGATTGGTGCGGTACTACCATAATGCTCACTGACTACATGACCGCCATGTCTCTTCCATTCGTCACCGTCTCCCCGTTTCCATTCCGAACTTGTGTGCTAGCATGGCGACACCCGATCGCATAGAATAGGGGCTCTCGTTTGGATTTCTGGGATGTGCTGGTGTCTGCATTACAATTTGTGGTGGCCACTAAGTCTCTTTCCTTCGGTGTGTTCAGGTGTTCTTTAATATGGGCAATCAGATTTTATCTCCTAGCTTTCGGTGTCTGCTCGACAAACCACAAATCTGCGTTCAGTGATGTGAAGGGACCAAAACTATCACGCCAAAACTGATGAATGCAGGTACAACAGACAGCCGACTATGATAACTTTGATGCTAACGTACGAAGGAGCTTGTTTTTTCTTCTTTTCAAGCATAACCTTGTGTCGGAAAAGGTACCCTGAAGGTATATACTTGAAACATTCTGCGGGTATTGTAACAACAAGAACAACGTATACCTTTAGGGTACACTTCAAATATTAAGTACAACTTAGAAAAAAAGCTTCTTTGTTCTAAACGTCCTACTAGGACTACTAAGCAATATTTTTGTCAACGAATATCAGCCCTCGAAGCGCCCTTCTCGGCATGTACGACGTGCCGCGTATCCTTCGCTCCTTCCCACATCCGGTAAAATGCAGGCGCTGACGTATGCGCGAAACTCGACTAGGCCTCCAGGCAACACTAAATACTCCGGTCCACGGGCATCGGTCTGCAAAAGCAATCTCAATTGAAGCTTCTTCTTTACTCTTTCGTTCTAGAGTTTTTTCTATCCTTTCCAATGCCTCAAGACACTGGTGCACTAATCTGAGCACTTTTGAGAGACGCCGCCCCTTCGCTTTCCCCAACGCATCCTCCAACGCTTTCACGTGAATGGCGCATTTGAGACGACCACACCCTAATTCTGCACTCTGGAGTATGTCTATTCAAAATGCGCCTGTCAGAGCGGCTCAATGGCTCGGTCGCGAACTCGGCCTCGCCACTATGAAACAAGCCGGAAAAGATGTCTACATCATCATCCTGGCGCGTTACATTCGCCTGTTTGCGTATGGCAGCGTCGCACTCATCCTAGCACTTTTCTTCCAAGAGCAAGGCTTTTCGGATGAACAGATTGGACTGTTCATGTCATTGACGCTGCTGGGAGATGTAGTGATTAGTCTTCTCCTTACTCTCATTGCCGATACGCTTGGTAGACGTCGCACGCTATTACTAGGAGCGGTGTCTATGGCAATATCCGGCGCCGTTTTTGCCACAACGAGTAACTATATTGCTTTGCTTCTCGCAGCTATCATCGGTGTTATCAGTCCGAGTGGAAACGAGATCGGGCCGTTCAGAGCGGTTGAAGAGTCGACGTTAGCGCATCTGGTGGCCGAGGACAAGAGATCAGATGTGTATACCTGGTACGTTGTCTTGGCCGTACTGGGCACGTCGACGGGGTTGGCTGTTGGTGGTGTGGCCGTCGACAGCTTGCAGGCTACCGAGGGTTGGACAGATCTGGACGCATACCGCGCGATCTTCTGGATCTACACGGGTGTTGGTTGTGTCAAGGCTCTGATGACACTCTTCTTGAGCCAGAAGTGCGAACACAATGACTGGAACGACGAACGCAAGAAGACTGTTGCATCGGCCGAGACCGAGCCATTGTTGAACGGCAATGAGACGGAGAATGCGGATACTCCGGCGCGGGAAGCAGCGCCCAAAGAGACTAAGAAGTTCTGGCATTCTATCAGCAAGATTTCGAAGTCCAGCCGCGTCGTTCTCATCAAGCTTTGCAGCTTGTTCTTCCTGGATTCCTTGGGTTCCGGCATGGTTCCGTTTAGTTTGATCAACTATTACATGGAACGTAAGTTCGATCTGCCAAAGGGAAAGTTAGGCGGCATCATGTCTGCAACGTGGTAAGTTACATTTACAAGCAAGTCTTAGCCCCTAAGCCATGGACTGATCAACGAACAGGTTCGTATCGACACTCGGTAACGTCTTCGCCTCAAGCTTAGCAAAACGTCTTGGTTTGATTCAAGCCATGGTGTTCACTCACCTTCCCTCTTCAATCTTCCTCGCGCTACTTCCGGTTCCATCAGGACTTGGCCTGACTATATGTCTCCTTGTTGGCCGCTCAGTGCTCAACTCTATGGACCAAGCGCCCCGATCAGCCTTCCTTTCCATCGTCGTCTTACCGGGAGAACGAACGGCTGTTATGGGCGTGGTCAATATACTCAAAACGCTGTCTCAGAGTAGTGGACCAAGTGTTACTGGTGTACTTGCTGGGAACAATCATTTCTGGGTCGCATTTGTTGCAGCAGGTAGCTTGAAAGCGACATATGATTTGTTACTACTCGCGTTCTTCGGCGGGAGGGTACAGCCACGGAAGGAGGAACTTGAAGCAGTTAGAGTTCTAGAAGAGGACGATGTCGTTGAGGAGCCTGTGAATATACAGAGGGCGGCTTGATGTACGTTACGAAGGAGGTTGACTAAGTATACGCATAAACAATTGGTAGACCGATGTTGTCTTAGGATAGAACTTGATACGATTCATGCCATCGAGAATGTTCAACGTGTCTGTTGTTGAGGCTACACCGCTAGGTAAGGATGAAGGCTGACAAGGCTCTACCTCGGCACACTTTTTCTTAGGCTTGCCTAGGTAGAGAAGCCTCCCGTACTGTCGGACATCACTTCGACATCACAGCTTTTAGCATTCACTATACCTACCGTTCGCTATTGCCGATCTTCGGCATGGCCGTTCTAATCTTTCCCTAGACATGCACGCTGTCTGCACGATTCGGCCGGGTCAACGGCCAGCTCGTCGGCCAACTCTCCGATCGTCGACACTGGCGACCTAGCCAAGGACAGGCCTCCTGGGCATGCACAGCGTGTGCACGAGACCAAGTGAGCGATGAATTACCCGAATCTCCAGCGTCCGTCTCGAGCTGGCTAACTACACCGAGAAGGTCGCATATTCCATCACCCAATCATGCTCGAGCACGGCCGCAGGAGATGAAAGCTCCACTTGTCTGCACGCGACCCAAACCCTGGCGTGCATGGTTCGCCGCTACAACTACGCTTACCCTAACGATACTTGGACCCCGCAAAATTTTATGCTTAAAGACCGCCTCATGCCCTACCGCCCAATGTCACGGTAGCAGTTCCCCGGATTCTTTACTTTTGTCTTGGTCGAGAGTGAGTGGAGCAGCGTTGCGGACCCCACTATCGTCCTAAAAGAGTTCAGGCGATCGTCATCGGCCCGACCGTTTGGTTTGGAGAAAGTTGACGGAGAGCAACCATGGCGGAAGAGAAGGATATTCAGCCTACGACGACTCCGCCTCCCTATCATGGTATCGATCATGAGGCCGACCACAAGCGTGCTGCCAACAAACTTGTTGACGACGCACGACTCGCCACCGACAATGAACGGAAGATGACCCTGATGCAGGGCATCAGACTCTATCCCAAGGCGATTGGATGGTCTGTCCTTATCAGCACCTGTATCGTCATGGAAGGCTACGATGTTTGTTTGCTGAACAACTTCTTTGGTTTTCCGCAATTCAAGCAAAAGTACGGCGAGCAGCTTCAGGACGGTTCTTGGGAAATTCCAGCACCATGGCAGGCCGGACTGTCGAACGGAGTCATCGTAGGCGAGATCATCGGGTTGTTCCTCAACGGGTGGATCAGTGAGGCCATTGGATACCGCTACACTGTTATGGGATGCTTGCTTCTGATCATTGGCTTCACTACAATCTTCTTCACGGCTCAGACGGTGGTGCACTTGTTGATTGCGGAGATCCTTTGTGGTATCCCATGGGGTGTGTTCCAGACGCTCACCATCACATACGCTTGCGAAGTTTGCCCGGTTGCTCTACGCGGATACTGTACGTTTTCTAAACTTTACTACTCGATATGCAAGCTAACATGGATTAGTGACTACCTACGTCAACTTCTGCTGGGGTCTCGGCCAAGTCATCGGTATTGGTGTTATCCGCTCCATGGTCGACCGAGATGATGAGTGGTCTTACCGCATCCCTTACGCACTCCAATGGATGTGGCCCGTTCCTCTAATCATCGGTGTCTTCTTAGCGCCGGAATCGCCTTGGTGGTTAGTCCGCAAGGGGCGAATAGACGATGCGAAGAAGGCCCTTCTCCGACTCACCAGTCTCGACCGAGAAACCGATTTCGATGCCGACGAGACGATAGCAATGATGGTGCATACGACCGCTCTCGAGGAGAAGATTACTCAAGGAGCAAGCTACTGGGACTGCTTCAAGGGTACTGACTTGCGTCGTACGGAGATTGTGTGCATGGCCTGGGCGATTCAGAACTTGAGTGGAAACGCTTTCTCTGGATACTCATCTTACTTCCTCCAACAAGCTGGTCTACCTGCATCAACTTCCTACGACTTCGCAATGGGCCAGTATGGTATTAACATGGCTGGTGTTTTCGGAGCCTGGTATCTCATGAAAGTCGGTTTTGGACGACGGACACTCTACCTCGGTGGTCTTTGCGGTTTATGCGCTATGCTGTTCGTCATGGGCTTCCTAGGCCTGGTACCGGACTCTCAGCGCGAGAAGGGCGCCATGGCTACCGGAGCCATGATGATCGTATGGGCTATGTTCTACCAGCTGACCGTTGGCACCGTATGCTACTCCCTCGTCGCTGAGCTATCTACTCGCCGTCTCGCTATCAAGACCGTGGTTCTCGGCCGCAACCTTTACAACGTTATCGGCATCATTACCTCCGTCCTCACACCTTACATGCTTAACCCCGGGGCTTGGAACTGGTAAGTTCCCCAATTCACCTACCCATCCACATACTAATCACATCACAGGGGCAATTACGCCGGCTTCTTCTGGGCCGGCTCCTGCTTCCTAAGTATCATTTACACGTACTTCCGCCTTCCTGAGCCCAAGGGCCGCTCGTTCGCCGAGTTAGACCTGCTTTTCGAGAAGCGAATCAGCGCGCGCAAGTTTGCGAGTACCTCCGTCGACGTATTTGAGGATAGTCATGTCCAGGGGACTGCTGCTTTTGGCCGCTACGAAGAGAAAGTTGATTCTGCTGTGAGAACTGAATCTGTTGCTGCTGGTATCACGAAGGTTTAATGACAAGAAGATTTAGGGTGCGATGTAATATGCGGACAAGTGTGTATGAGCGCATGATGCATGTTTCGTATGATGGGTTGATGGGTCTATTATCACTTTGATTGACTTCTACGTGACGATTCGTACGGTTCTGAAGATTCTCTTTGCATGCTAGAGCTATGCAATGCAATGCAATGGAGGTGCGAAAGCCTATGCGTGTTCTTCTCTATGCAATATAGCCAAGCCCTCGTCCTCAGCTGATTGGACCTTGCATCCTAGGCTACTGCGAGAGCGGGGCACTATGCCGCAGGCATACATACCCTCTGTCTTTTCCCGTCTACAATCCATTGATGCCCTTTGACACAACTATGGAGGAGCGAGGCTCTCCCGACGGTTTCACTGATCCACCCCATGATTTGGTCACATGTGAATTCATGGAGGAGATTACCTGGAGAGATGAGTGCGGTCCAGATTTTCTGAATCGATTGCCATTCTTGCTAATGGTTAGTAATATATAGATATATGGCCTCTCCTCAAGAGCGCAAGAGAGCAGTTGAGGCAGCAATTGTAGCAAGAAAAACATGCCGCGAGTTGGCCTGCGAGTTCCATGTTGTATTGCCTAGAGAGCTCCGGAACATAATATACACGTACATCGTCGGACTATCGGCCCAGCTTGAATACGCTTTCGACATCCATGGTAGCATTCAAATCGGCTATCTCGACTTGGGACCTGAGGAAGTTGGACCCATAGACATATTTGGTGGTACTGGCCAAACGCAGCCCAATTCCTGGGCCTTGGATCCAGCGTACTTCGGAACCGATGTAGCGAAAGAGCTGGCAGAAGTATACTACACATCAAATTGTTTCGCGCTCACGTCAGAGGAGTTTCTACATCCATTCCTGACTGCGGACCCATTTACCCTCGGTATAAAGCCATACGAGCGTATGCGACGTCTTGACATTACGCTTGATTTCGAGTTCACTACCATGGTGGACTTTACCAGTATGGCCACCCACTTACAAGCTCTGCAACTCATTCCTAGCAGGAAGCGCAAGACGGAAATCTGTATCAGCCTTATCACGTCGTTTATAAGACATCGGGAGCATTACAATGACACCGACTCTTGGTACACGGTAGAGGATGAGCGCAATATGCTCAATATCCTCGAGCTGCTCAGATGGCCAGTATACGATTTACTGCACAAAGGCCATGCCATTCAGGTTTTCCACGAAAATCTAGATAGAGGGGATAGGATGAGTCAGGAAATTGCGCAAAGGAATTTGACAAGGCATCGGTTTACGGATCTCGAGGTGTGGTGTAAGACTGATTTCTTCTATATGACTAAGGAGGCGTGGTCAAAGGTATGTAGTGGTCACCCCAATTGTGTAATGACCATTCACAACACCTGTGTTCGTTTTCCTGGCTAACAAAACACTGTAGGAGAAAGGACAAAACACGGTTGCAGATCCTGCATCTCACTATATTCCCCAACTGCCCACGATAGAGGACGAGAATCAAGACACGGATCAGATGGACGAAAATTCAGGCCTCGAACAACGAGTTCGCGATGCTCTTAACAGGCGATGGGACAAGCCTTGTGCCTTGGACGGATTTACTTATGTATACGACAAATGCGTGCGTCGATAGTATCTGGAAGCAGTCTTGATGATCACAAGCAAAACGAATTAGATTAAGTTGCGAACAATATGCACAAAGCATCGCTCAAACCAAAATCCACACCACCAGCCAGCACCAAGACGAGCCTAAGCCGCCGTCTCAAAGTGAAAGCTTAGTACAAGAAGAGTAACGGAACAAAGGAAAGAGCGTGCGTTGCAGCGATAGTGAGAAATGAGAGAATCAACGCTCAAGGGTATGAAGGTTTGTGACAAGCCATGCTAAACATATGTAGTCATACAAAAGAGCGATCCGTGATGCGCGAGTGGGTGGTCTGGATGAAAACGGTCGAGACGTTTACTTTCCACCGGAAGCCAAGTGGTCGGCGGCCTATTGAAATGTGTTAGTTTGGTTTCATTGGTGCAGGAAATGTGATTTTGCTCACCTTGTTGATGTCGTAGTCATACTTCTCGAGCGCAGACAAAGCGTCGTTGCGATCATAGCCCATGCCGGTCAGCTTCTTGAGAATAGGGTCATCATGCTCGGTTCCAGTGCTGATCGCACGACCAAGCGAAGGCATCTGGGGAGACAGTTGATGCGACTTGGATGAAGAAGCGGCTGCCTCGTCATTGTCGAGGGTGTCAAAGACAGACTTGCCAAAGTCTGTGGATGCTTGCTGGGAGTGGGAGCCCTTGTCAGTCTGAGAGGACTCAAGGTTGGAGAAGATGGCGTCCCAGTCCTGAGACGAGGCAGCGGGTTGAGGCTGTTGGGGTTGTCCTCCGAAAGTCTGCGAGAGGTGTTCGAAGTCGCTGAAGCTGTCGTCTCCGCGAGGCTTGCCGGTCGGAGTCTGCTGCGAAGCCATGGTGTTTGACTTGGAAGCAGCTGGCGAGTCAAACACTGGGTTGAACTCATCAAGGCCCTCACGGTGCTGCGAAGAGAACATGAAGTCCTCATCAGCCCTGTCATCCTCCTTGGCATCCGCTAGGTCATCAAATCCGGCGTCGAAGTCATCGTTGAAGGCAGACTTGCCAAGTTGAGGCGGGTGGGTAGACGGCGAGGGACCCTTGTTGTTGTTATTGTCATTCGCTCCATAGGATATTGCAGAATGGTATTGATCAGAGGGTACGGTCGATGATGGAGTGTCTAGAGGAGGGGGTGATGTTGTTGCAGACTTGGATGGACCGCCAAAGAGAGCGGCTCCATGGCCACCGGGAGGGTTGTACGACTTCTCGGGGCCTTGCGCTGTGTCAGGAGACCCTGGTGATGTAGGGTCTTCGCGGGAGGGAAGGAGACCGCCAAACTCTGGGGGAAATTGATTCGATCCACTTCTAGTCTGGTTCACACTGGACTCGTAGGTAGGTGGCGACTTTTGCGCGCTGGGAGAGGGCAGGCCACCAATGTTGGAGTCCAGGCGAGTAGTCGGTGGTGGGGCTCTGTAGAGCTCATCGCTCGATGCAGTACCAGGTCGCTGCTGTTGCTGAGAACGCTGCTCTTGTCCGGTACTAGTACGCTTCTGGTTCGGCGACGCAGAGGTAAAGTTGTCGTCGAAGCCACGCTCATCGTTGCTGTCACTGTCATCATCATGGGCAAGGTCCTCGATCGGAGGGAACTCCTTGTTGAACCTGTTAGAGTTATCCGCAGTTGCACTCGTGGTGGATGCAGTAGCAGTATTCTGACGGTTAGGGCCAAAGCCAGCGAAAGCCGCATCAAAGTCGTCCTTACCACCGCGAGGCTGTTCGCTAGTAGTGCTGCCGAAGGGGTCGGCGCGGTTATTGTTCCTGTTCGGACCACTCAAGCTGCTCTCACCAGTCTGGTTCTGCTGAAGCGGCGTGGCTGCCTCTCGTGGGAAGGCTCCAGGGATATCTTGTCCAACACCAGCTGAAGGTGCTCCGAAGTTCGTAAAGGTATCCTTGCGATCCTCAGCTCTGGTTGAGCGCTGAGTATCACTGGTGACGCTGGCAACGGGAGAGGCCGAGAAGTTGCGGTTGAACAAAGAAGGGTTAAAGTTGTCAGTCTCGGTCCTGTTTGTCTCGGTCCGCTCTACGGTGGGCTTCTCAGCTACAGGAGTACTGGCAGGAGAAGCCTGCGAAATCGTAGGTGTCTCATTACCGGGAGCACTGGGGCCACCATATCTGCTAGCAGGGGCAGCGGCTCGTACGGAAGAGCTGAATGAGTCGGACCTCTGACCACCTTCCCTAAGGGGCAGGAATGAGGAGCCGAATTGGCGAGACTCAGGGGGAGCTGGTGGGTCTGCACCACGTGGAGACTCTTGGTAAGAAGAGAGAGGAGGCGAGGTAGAGGGTGTGGGAACACCGGGACCTTCTGAAGATTGTACTGACTGGCCGGATGGGACAGAGAAGCTGGGTCCTTGGCTCTGGTTCTCGGGACGGAAGGACACAGGAGGTGCAGTGCTCTGGGGTGTGCCGAAGCTACCGAAAACGCTGTCAAAATCCTTGTGGGGTCCTTCACGCGCAAAGCCAGACGGTGACATGGTGTTTTCAACGGGCTGGGGTGACTTGCGGAAGAACGGGTTTGTGCTTTGGCTTGTCGTGGAAGCCGCAGGGCTGACGACGGCAGGCGTCTGAACCTGGGGGCTACGGGTACCCTCTTCCTGAGACTTGGTCAAGTCGCTCATCTCGTTCTTGATCTTGTCGCGTTCTCCCTCGTTGGTGGCAAGCTGCTTCTTGTTGATTGCCACCATACCCTTCTGCTGGCGAGCATCGTTCCTCATCTTGTCAAGCTGGGGGCGCAGCTGTCCAATCTCGGCGTTGAGCTGACGGATACGCTCCTTCAAATTGTTGTTCTCGCGTTGATCAGCCTCAAGTTGACCTCCCACTTGACGGTGCTGATTCTGGAGATCCTGGTAAGATCCCTCAATCATAGCAAGGTCCTGTTGCAGCTTTCGAGTCTCGTTGCGAGAGCTAGCCAGTCGGTCCTCCAGGGCCTTGACAGCCTTGACCTCCTGGTCGTACTGGGTCTTGAACTGCGATAGGCGGAGCTCGAGGTCGCGCTTCTGAGTGTTGACACTGTTAAGATCTCCCTCGGTCGCGGTCTTCTTGTTCTGAACCTCTTGCATCTGGTTTCGCAAAGTGGTCATCTGGTTAGACATATTGGCCAAGTCAGTTGAGTCTTGTGTTAGCTTCTTGTTGATTTCAGCAACATCCTCTCCGCCCAACAAATCGTCCATTGCGGATGGTGTGGAGTGCTGTGGTAAGCCAGAGGCACCAGATTGACCAGTAGAATGCGCGGTGAGAGTCTGACCAAACGATGAGCTAGGCATGAACGGCTTGAACGTAGAGGCAGGGTTTCGCGGTTGAGGTTGGAACGGGTGAGGCGAAGTTGGCGAAGTCGGTTTGCTTCCAAATGGGTCAGCCTCGAAGGGCTTGCTGAAGGTAGCAGAGCCACCTGTCGACTGGGGTTGCTGAGGGGCGGGAACTGGCGCTGAGAAGGCGTCAAGTCCGAAGAGGTCTTCGGCAGCTGATTTCGCGGCGCGAGGAACGGGTGGCGCAGATTGGGGAGCAGCGACTGGTACTGCTTGGTTGGCGGCGGTACGTAGGCTTGGTGGGATCAAACTAGGTGGTAGTGTTGCTGGAAGTTGGTCTCCTTTCCGTTGTTGACGGATCAGGTACATTGCGACTGCGAACTCGTCCTTGGACAGCTGACCCTCGGAATTGATGTCTGCAAGGTCCCAGATTCCCGCGAGGACATCTTCGGGTAGCCCGGAGTCGCTGAAGAAGCGCACTGCCTGGTCTCCAGTAATGAAACCACGACCCATGGTGTCGACCGTCTTGAACAGGTTGTCGTACGAGGCCTTTTCTTGCGGGCTAATCAGCCAATCGCTTCCAGTCGGTTGAGGTGGTGGAGCCGGTGCTCCAAATGGCGTTCGTCCAAGGGGACTCGATTGTCGTGGCGCGTTTTGCTGACCGCTGAATTGGCGTGGGATGGACATGGACTGGTCGGGACGTCCTGGAGGAGGCGCGAGTTGTCCGCGTCTCGAGGCGGCCTCGTACAGGCCTGGAGGGAGCGCGGTCGGGAGAGCCTTCATGTTGCCTGTTCGGTATGAAGCTAGCATGTGCATGGCGATGATGAACTCGGTCACATTGAGAGCACCGCGCTGCTCAGTATCGGAAAGATTCCATATGCGACCGAGGACTTCGTTGGGTAACCGCGCTTTCTCGAAAATCTCTTTGGCATTTTCGCCTAGGATATGTTAGAAAAGGCATGCTACCAAGTCACCTGAACACATACCAGAGAGCACGCCATTGACAGCACCAGACTTCTCGAATAGGCCTGCGTATTCGGCAGCCTTGGCAGGTACTAGCGGAGGTACTCGGATGGGGCCGTTGCCGCTCATCTGAGGTTGTATCGAACCAGTTGGTTGTGGAGAGAAGCTAGGAGCGGCGGGAGGGGCTGATGGGATGTTCAAACCCTCGAACTTGGGCAGGGGCGCAGCTACGTGAGTGTCAGCGCATTGTAATAGCGGAAGCTGTCAGGGCCATACGTCTAAAAGCCAGCTCGGGAGCGGGATCTCTGCCAGCCTGGTAGTGTCCGATGAGACGCAGGACCTGGCAGAAGCCGGCCATGGTCAGGAGACCGCGGTTCTCGGTGTCTGCAATCTGCCATATCTCACCCAGGACGGCTGGTGCTAACTTGGTGCGCTCGAAGAACTTGACGGCAATCTCGCCTGTTATGACGCCCAGTTTTTCTGTGTCGGCTTGCTGGAAGAGATACTGGAAGACGCGCTTCTCCTCAGGCGTCAGATTGAGGACGGGCTGGTCTGCGCCGCATTAGCTTGGCTCTCCAAGTGCATGTCTGTTAGCATGAATAGGGACATACTCAATTCGCCGCTTTGTGAGAGGTCCGCCATGGCTGTGTGGGCGCAAGAGACGCTTCCCGTAGATATAAGGCTTCTGCCTACGTGTATGAGGCTGAAGCTTCCGGCGCTGGCGTGTAATGGAGCGGGGAAGCTTTGGGCGGCAGGGCACGGGAATTCCGCAGGGCTAGCGATGGGCGGCTAGACGCGAAAAAACCTCGAGAATGACGCAGAGATGGCCCAGCGAGGGATTAAAGAGAAGCGATGGGGGTATTGATGTTGTTTGAAGTGTGGGAGATGCGCCGGAAGCTTGATCCTCGTCGTCGCTACTAGGCGGAAGCTACCTGGTTTAGTGCTGGGTCGATGCTCCCAACTGTTTATTGGGTGCAAGCACGGCAGCTGTCAATCTTGTGCGCATCAGCCACGCTGTCTCATGCATGCCCGACCACCCAGTCAGTTACCTGCACATGGCCGGCCTCCGCATTTCGAAGATCCCATCAGCCAATCGAACATGGCGAATTTGTTCCGATGCGCATTTTGACGCACTTGGCCATGACCATGGCGGATACGCATGTGGAACTGATGCTGTTGTATCAGGATCTGTGCTGTGGTATCAGGATCTGTGCTGTGGTGGTTGTTGTTGTTGTTGTTGTTGTATTTGTTGTATTGATGTTGTGCATTATCCAAATGTCGTTACTTCATAATTACATGTCTTGTACAAGAGTGGTGAAAATTCGCCGGTGGAACAACAAGGTGTAGATGTTCATCGCCGCTCACCACGACCCCGGTCATTCTTCTCCCTCCAACATCTAACAAAAGCCAGACTAGGGCTGACCTCCTCACGCCTGCCCCAGGCCCGTCCCAAAAGCCAATCGGTAACGCTGATGACTTTGGCAGTTCGGTCCCAATGCTGGCCCTCTTCTGTATGCTCGATGATGTGGTTCAAGATGCGCCCTTCTTCGTCAAACTCAAACTTGAACAGTCCAGTAAATTCCTGATGAGGTCTCTTAGATCCTGCGACGATACTGGTAATCTTTTCAACAACGTCGCTGACTTGGCCGTGCTCTTTCTTCTCCGATTTGCATGTCTGCCATCGGACGATAAGCTTCTCGTTGCGTACGTTGCTTGCTGTTGATCCGCCATTTTTGACCATGCGCTCAGATAGTATCTCAAGCTTCACATTGCCGAGTACTGGGACTTGGCCCCATGCAACTGGTGCTGTCCATAGTGCGGCCGCGTACGCGAACCTTCCGCTTACGGTGGGTAGATGAGGATGGGTCGAGGGGAATAGGTGAAGGCTGATATGCGGAGAGAGTATGTCTTGCGGTAGGGGCGAAATGAGAAGCGTCGGAAGGCGATCGTGGAGGACTCGTATGGCTATGATCCCGTTAGCCATCTACTCTGTTGTTCCTGAGAGGGACCAACGTACTGTTTCCGAGTTTCAAGTTGCGCTCGTTCAGTCGCTCCTTCTCGCGCTCATCGGTTTCCGGATGCTTGCATGGCGACGAGCTGGTGAACCAGTGCCTGGACACGGATGCTTGTCTGGTGCCTACGGCTGTAATAGTTCTTTTGTACTGTTTGAGCCCCAACAGCCGGGGCGCAGTGAGCGATCTTGCTGGGGAAATTGGAAGTTGCGTGCGGGCAAATGTCGAAAAGCGCCGCATCAGACCGCTGGTCATCTGTGTGGATAGGGATATGCGACCATAGGTAAGGATATGCTAGGTGGTGAAAGACGAATTGCGGAGGATTCGGCGTCTTCGTGCGCTAGTCGTACCACGGGAAAAGAAATGGGTGGTGCATGGGTGGGTCCATCCCGATTCCCATATGCCGGGGTATCGATCGTGACGTAGGTTTAGCGACCATGTATACTTCCCGCTGTATGCTACCGTCCTCGCCACGCCCATGTTCGCATTGAGATGTCCCGGTGGGACTATCGATATTCAGTTGCATAATGACGCCTATAAAGATGGACATTCCTCTGCTAAGGCCCTGCTTGGATCAACAACCAATCTTTTCTCCTCAGATTCTCTAGAGCGCCTACTGGACAATTTGTTTGTGAAGGGTAAGAGTGACCCCGCAGTTACCCCATACCGACACGGGTACTAACAAATCCATTGTTAGCCTGCGAAGATACAGGAACATTCCTCAATCCCCCACACTCTCCGCAATGGCCCCCTCAGGAAAGCGCATCGTCTTTACCGGCGGCTCAGGAAAAGCCGGACGTCATGTTATCCCAGAACTCATCAAGAAGGGTTACTCCGTCCTCAACCTCGATTTGACCGATTTTCCTGACCCGGAAGCTGGCGTCTTTACCCTCAAAACCGACCTCACAGACAGCGGACAGGTTTTCAACGCACTCACAACCCATTTCAACTTCGCCGGCTACGAAGGTCCTCATGTACCCGGTCCACCAGATGCAGTCATCCACTTTGCCGCCTATGCGCGAAACATGCTGGTACCCGACAACGAGTGCTACGCAGGCAATGTCAGATCAACATACAACGTTATCGAAGCAGCATGCAAACTTGGCGTCAAAAAGATCATCATTGCCAGCAGCGAAACAACATACGAAGTCTGCTTTGGTCAAGGAGATCTCGACTACTCCGCCTTCCCCTTAACTGAGGACATGGACGTAAATCCCATGGACACCTACGCCATCTCAAAACTCTGCGGCGAGCGTGTGGCTCGCGGATTTGCGCGCCGCTTCGACGCTGACATCTACGCGCTCCGCATCGGCAACGTTATCGAACCCCACGAGTACGAGCGTGACTTCCCAAAGTACATCAAGTCTCCAGAGGTCCGCAAGAGGAATGCTTGGGCGTACATTGATGCTCGCGATTTGGGCCAGATATGCGACTTGTGTGTAACCAAAGACGGATTAGGCTTCCAGGTCTTCAATGCGACAAATGATACCATCACCGCTACCTTCCCGACGAAGCAGTTCCTTGAGCAGTACGCGCCGAATACGCCCATCACACGGGAGATGGACGAGTGGGAAGCCCCACTGAGTAACCGCAAAATCAGAGAGGTTCTCGGGTTCAAGGAGGAACATAACTGGCGGAAGTACTACAACCCTGATCAGTAGAAACAAACGTGCTCGGAATAGTAATACTCTCCCAAAGCCGTAGATAATTCAAGTACCATGTGTTCAAACAAGTTCAAAGACTTGAGCCATTATACTGATCCAATTGTTGAGATCCTACAGCCCACCCCCTTTCGCTTCCACATCACTCTGTTCGTGCTTTTCACCCACCGCAGCAACAACATGTCCATCGTCCCCACCCAACCCTTTCTCAGCACCACCGCCAAACTTCACCCGTCCAGTATCTCCTTTATGACCCTGCGTACCAATCCTCAAGAAAGGAACAAGAAGCAGTCCTGGCACAGAGACCGCAGCCGCGAACCAAAACACAGCTGCAAACGGTTCAACAGCATTGTTCCCATAATAACCAGAGGTAGCAGGATTCCTTTGTACGGCGTCAAATATGGCAGTCGCGATACCATATGCAACCGCAGTACACAGACGAGTCAACGTCTGGAAGAGTGAACCCGCGATGGACTGTTTGTTCGTAGGCATTGAAGAAAGAACGTACATCTATGCACAATCAGTACCAACAACGAAACAATCTGACAGAAGCCGACGTAGAATGGATGATCCAACTTACATTAGCGACAATAAATTGGAAATCCACGCCGATCACACACAAACACAGTGCGGGGAAAGAAAAGGCCCAATACGAGTCTCCAAATCTCTGCACGGCAGCAAGGGTAAACGAGACGGTTAGCGCGGCAGCACCGATACCCACGAGTAGTTTGTTGGAAACTTTGTGTTGGATCAGTGCTGCGACGGCGTTGGCGGTCAGGCCTACGACGACCATGGGGAGCATGTGCACGCCGGTCATGAGGGCGTTGTAATTGAGCTCTGTTTGGAAGTAGAGTGCGATCCAGAAGGATAGAACCGGGAAGCCAAGGAAGCCGCAGGAGAGAATGGTGAGGAGCTGATTTGGCATGTACGTCAGTGGCTTCGGTGATCTGATAGTCGTAAGGAAAGGAAGGCTACTTACAAGAGAAAAATCCCTATCGTACCATATCTTCATGTCAATCATAGCATACGGGTACTTGATCTCCCATACTATGAATGCTGCGATAAATACAACGCCTAGAATCAATAGCACAAGAACATAAGGTGTCTTCCATCCATTCGGCGCATCGCCTCCCAGACTATTTCAATGTCAGCTCAGTACTGTCTTTGCTATGGGTAAAAAACATACCTCAAAGCCGCACAGAACATGCCGATACCAAAAATAGTCAACCCGGTACCCGGCAAGTCAAGCTTCTTGATTGTCTCTCTATCCAGCCTCTGTTTTGGCGTTGTATCTTTCGGCACAGTAAAAGCTGCGATGATACTCGTGCAAAAATACACTATAGCCAGTAAAAAGAAGCCAGCTCTCCAGCTAAAGATCTGGGTAAATAATCCAGATAATATGGTGCCGAAAACAAAGCCCATGGGATTCCCGGCACTGAAACAGCCAAATGCTCTGTTCTTCCTTGGACTAGGTTTTTCGTAGATGGCGCCGAGCATGCCTTGAGCTGGAGGCACGGAGGAAGCAGAGAAGATACCCAGGACGCCACATAGAATGTCGAGAGTCATGCCGGATTGGGAGAAGCCGGCGCCGAGGCAGAAGACGGAGAAGAAGAATAGGGAGCCAATAAACATGGATTTGCGGCCAAAGAGATCTGCTATGCTACCGAAGAAGAGGAGGAGAGAACCTGCGGTAAGCCTTTGCTCAAGTCAGTCTTCGGTTTACTGTGACTGAAGTGAAGGAATTCTAACGATGTCGCAGCATTCATCCACGTGATTTCCGCATTCGTCATGCCTAGATCCCGGGCTGCGAAGGAACTCATGACGGTGATCGCGCCGGTTAAGAAGCTGGTCATAGCTACAGCCATCGTTACTGAGACGATGAACATGCACTCTTGGAACGTGGACGTAAAGCATTCTGGTCGCGCGTTGGGATCCTTGTCGCTGATTGGTTGTGAGAGCGCTGCGAAGAGTTCGGCATCTGTGTCGGCGTCCGCCCCCATCTTGCTTGCAATTGATAGAATAGATGCAGACGCGAGACAAGCGTAGAAGACCGATGCAAAGATAATCTACGAGACTTTGGGGGGTCATGAAACAAGATCTGATAAGGATTGAAAGAAAGTGCAGGCAATCAAATTATTCAGCGCGCGGAATTGCTCCATGAGGCGTTGCATGGTGTCTAGCCGCTATTTAGGCAAGTATGGCTGCGCTATGCTCGGACTGGACCTGGAAGAACGTTTATGAGCAATTGCTGACTCAAAGAACGAGCGCATTGAAGATCACGCTGTGGATCCGCGGAGTATATTAAGAATGGGCTGGAATTAAGCAACAAGGACGTTGAACGTGGAAGAATAAGAGGGATGGGTATCGTTGATAAATATACATTGTCTTACAGTTTGACCACCTTCCACTCACCTAGCTGCATCCGCCCTAGTTGACCTCCCAATGGGCCCTGCACCTCTCTGCCATTGGCCCAGAGCTTCTTACCTGCCCAATGTTCGATGAACCCATCTGGTCCTGATACTATGATCAATCTAGAGCCTTTCTCTTCTTGTTGTCTTTGTATCCTCTTCTCGATCTCGCTTGGGTCTGGGAACGAGTTCTCTTCATCGACATAGTAGTTGACACTCAAGCCCTTCGTCGCGGCTTCGCTCCGCTTCTTAAGCGCATCCAGCTCCTTCACTAGAACGCCCTTGGGCGCAGCGAGTGTGTCCTCTGCGTGTGGTGCTTGAGAGACAGGCTTGCTAGAACCGAAGAAACTCTTCCACCAGCCGATCCTATCTTGCGAGCATGTTGTGCTTCTATCATCGCTAATGCCACCTTCGCATTCTTCACGACGTCTATTCGCCCATAGTATGTGCATCCGGCTGCCAGTCCTTCTTCCTAGCGCCTGCGCGACCTGCATTGCGGGTGCTACGCCGGTTCCTCCCGCTAGAAATATAACCTCAATGATATCGCGGGGAAGCTTGAGTTCGGTGTTCGGTCCGCGCAACTCGACAGTGGATTGTACTGGTAGTCGGTGCAGATACGTCGAGACCTCGCCTCCCTGTTCTTGCCGTATGAGCAGCCTCATGTCTTCCGGCTCATTTTCACCATGCTTTTGATCCGGTGGTGTAGGGGGCAGCGGTGTGTATGCGCGCGCAATCTGCAGCTGTGGTTGCTTGATCTGAACGCTCCAGACACTTCGCTTCCACACCTCCTTCACGCTTTCCGTATCCGATACGCCATTGCTGTTGCGCAGCGTGAAGATTGCGCTCGTAGAAGAGACGGGCTGCTTGTCAACAAGCGTGTACGGCGTGAAATCACGCGGGTTCAACGATGCGTCGGATCGGTCTGTGGATCTGGTGAAGCGGTATGCGGCGCCACCGACGGCTGAAGTACCAAGGACTATCAACGGACCTGCTCGCCGTTTGAGCCAGGACATGGCGTGTGTGAGAGTCGGCCGTCTTCAATAACGAGTAGTGTTCTTGCTTGTTGCAAATGCAAAGGTAGAATCTCGACATGACGGCATGGCCCATGCGCGTTGCCCGCTCTAGTATGCCGAGGTGTGACCATGCCTAAGGGCATCGTTGCTAAAGGGATATACCATACCTTTGTGATGTTTCAAACTCATATTGAAACCGTCAGAGACCATACCACACTGACTTCTGATATCAATCAGCAAACACTCCTTCCAGACGCTGTATGCTGTTGCAAGCGAAAAGACTCGAGTTTGCAGCTGTGCCGCGTGCCAAATGTTTGTGTAACGCGTCTCTGACTTCTAGAACACGAAGCGGGGGTTTTCAGGAGGTGGCAAAGAGTCCGATCTACCAGGTGAAACAGCATTAGCGATGGGTTGGCCTTCCTTTTTGAGGACTTGCACACCTCGAATGCGTCGAGAAGCTAAGCGGCCGCTTCCGTTGGACCCTGCATTTGGAACCACTTGAACCTAACCAAGTGGCGTCCTGGCATGAGATCGCTATCTTCCACCGTGTGACACAATCATCTTCTTTCATCCTTCTCACCGCTCCTCTGCTATCTACCTGTTCAACTTTGATCCGAGTATAACTCTTATCCACGGCTCCGCACCTTGCGCCGGCGAACCGCCGGAGTTATCACGGGATAAGATTTCAGCCCTATCGACATTTCCTTCAACTTTTCATCAGCCGCGTCACAACATCAGACAGCCACTCAGAAGCTGATTCTAGGCATCTGAAACTCTACTCATCAGATCACACTCAAGAACATCATCAACATCGTCCGATCGCTTCGGGCTTTACTTGATATTGAAGATCGAGAGATGGCGCCCGCGATTCTGACTCAGCGCCCAAGGATACTCTGTCTGGACGCCTACGACTCTTTTTCCAACAATATAGTCGCTCTGGTTGAACAGAACGTGGATGCAGAAGTCGTCAAGATCTTCATTGATGATCCAGTTCTTGCAAAGCCATCAGCTTCTGGGGAACATGCTGCCTTTACCGACTATTTGAAAAGCTTCGATGCCATCATTGCAGGACCGGGACCTGGCTGGGCAAAATGCGACGAGGACGTTGGCTTGATGAAGGAGCTCTGGAAACTCCGAGAGGATCAGATCATCCCAGTGCTTGGCATTTGTCTTGGGTTCCAGTCGCTATGTCTTGCATTCGGAGCCGATATTGAACGACTCAACGAGCCAAAGCATGGGATTATCACAGCCGTCCTACACAAAAGTCAATCAATCTTCCGGGGTGTGGAGAGTCTGCTAGCAACCCAGTATCACTCTTTGCAAGTCAAACTCGACCATACTATCCAGAATAAGCGGGCTGTACGATATCCCGCACAACTCTGGGAGCCCACCGAGACCTGCCCCCAGCTGGAGCCGTTGGCATGGGACTTTGACAGTGACCTCAATGGTGCCGTGCTTATGGGTGTCAAACATATACAGAAGCCGTTCTGGGGAGTTCAATTCCATCCGGAGTCAATCTGTACGAACGACGAGGGTAAGCGCATCATCCGAAATTGGTGGGAAGATGCCCAGTCCTGGAACCGAAAGCGCATGTTCCGGAACATTCCCAAGCATGGTCTGACTTCGAATCTGTCATCCTCGCCAATGACTGCCGACGATTTCCGACGGGAGTTGGGCGTCCACGACACAGCAAAACAAAGCAAACGCTCTTACACTGACTTCGTCGCAAAACTTGATAGCGACACGATCACCCCATTCGAGCTGGCTTCGCTCATTGCGCACGGAGACGGACAGTCGTTACCAGATCTGCCGCCGAGCACTGTGCATTGCGCAACTACGGGAAGCGGAAGACTCACAGTTTCGGATGCCTGTGAGCTGTTCGAGTTAACAAGAGGTGAAGCCATAGTGTTGGAGTCCGGACTGCAATCGAATCTGGTGCCTATGGCTGTGGGGACAGGCCGATACAGCATTATAGGTGTTGTTATTCCCGAGGAAACTCTACGCCTGCATTATTACGCGGGGACTCGAAGAATGGAACTAAGAGACGGCAAAGGCCAAGTCCATACTGATTGGACAGTGTCTGACCCATGGCCCTACGTGAGAGAAGTTATGAAGAGCCTTCAACCCTCAACACCACCGAAAGGCTCAACATGGGCTCCTTTCTGGGGAGGCTTAATGGGCTATGCATCGTACGAGGCTGGCTTAGAGACCATCAATGTCCACGGTCACGAAGAAGCTTCGTACCCGGACATTTGCTTCGCTTATATAACGCGGAGTATCGTGTTTGACCATCAGTTCAAGAAGATCTATGTCCAGAGTATTCGCGGGCCTTTCGATCAAGACTGGGTTATCGACGCCACGGAGAGGCTGTATGAACACGCAGGTTTCAAGTCGCGTGAAACTACACCAAATTCTGCAGCAATGAGGCAGGCGGACCCTTTTGAGGCGCATGGCACGATGCATCAGTACATCGATTCATGTGTTCAGCTCACCGTCGGTGAAAGCGAGTACTGCAAGAAGGTTAGTAGATGCCAGGACGCGATAGCCGACGGCCAAAGCTACGAGTTGTGCCTCACGCATCGCAACGAGGTTCGCGCTCGCAAGCCAACGGCCTGCAGAATCTCGCACGCAGAGGACAACGAACATTCCTGGAATCTCTACAAGCGCCTCACTGGTCAAAACCCTGCGCCTTTCAGCGCCTACATGAGGATGCACAACGTACACATACTGTGCTCCTCACCAGAGCGGTACATAAGTTGGGACCGGTCGCAGACTGCACAATGCCGACCTATAAAGGGGACAGTACAGAAGAAACCTGGCGTGACTGCCGAAATGGCCCAAGCTATTCTCTCATCTTCGAAGGAACGTGCAGAAAATCTCATGATCGTGGACCTTACACGCCACCAACTTCATGGCGTCTACGGCTCCGAAAATGTCCGAGTAAGCCAGTTGATGGAAGTCGAAGAGTACGAAACGCTCTGGCAACTAGTTTCTGTCGTCGACGCAGTACCTAGTGGCATATACAAACCCACCACCCCAGAAGATTGGGAGGACCCTGTAGAATACGCCCCCAAAAAGCCTGCCAAGCAATCCGTTCCTTACCTAGGATTCGATGCATTCGTCCAGAGTCTGCCACCAGGTAGCATGACTGGTGCGCCCAAAAAGCGGTCTTGCGAGATTCTTCAAGATGTAGAAGAGGGCGTAAGACGGGGAATATACTCAGGTGTGCTGGGTTATCTCGACGTCGGAGGAGGCGGCGACTTCAACGTCGTCATACGTACTGCCATTAAAATTGACGATGAACAAGGCGACGACAAAGGAGATGTCTGGCGTATTGGCGCTGGAGGAGCAGTGACCAGCCAAAGCACTCCAGAAGGCGAATTCGAAGAGATGATTGCCAAATTTGGCAGCACCAACAGAGCGTTCATGCCTTTGCCGCCACCAAAGCCGAAGACAAAAGGTAGAAGGGTCGAAATCATCGAGCCTGATGATCCAGAATTTGCGGAGCTGCTGGCAAGCATGAGGGGTGGAGAGGAATTGACGCTCGACGATGCACAGATCATGTTGAGAGCAGTAGAACGTGAGCTAAGAAGAAGAAACGCTGCCGGTGAGGGCGATGATATTACGGAGGTAGAATGATTTGTTTGATAGGAGTTTGGAATGTCGGAGTTGCTGAGCTTAACCTGAGATACCATGTTTTGAGATAGAGATAGAAACTTCTGGTTTCAACACCAATAACACCAATTGCTTTATACATGAACTCTTTTCGCAATGCTTTCTGAAACATCTTAGTACTGCCACAGGCCAAATGCTCACTCAAGATAGTGAGGGAGTGATAGGTACGTGCGATGACTAAGCGCGCGATTGGTGGGGAAACGTAGCATCGCCGTGTACCCCAACATGTAGCATCACGACGCCGACGCGCGACTTATCAAACACAGCGACAATGGCGACCGAGGCGCCAGACCCACGAACCTTCCAGACATGGGAAGACGCGTTTCAATACCCGATACCCGTCATTCGTAAGCTCGAACAACAACTGCGCAACAATGCCGACGAGAATCGAGAGAAGCTGCGGTCACTCGTGGGGTATGGAATACTAAACCAATATAGGAACAGAGTATGAGGAGGCTGACGAAATAACAGAGCGAGCTATCGTAGTCTCCTCGACACGGCCGAAACGATCATCGACATGGAAGTGCGCATGGAGCAGGTTGAAAGTAGGCTTGCAAGAGTAGGGCAGAGTTGCAACTCACGAGGCCTGGAGAAGATAATAAACAACGCGGGCAAGATGGATACGCATACACGAAGTCGCGGTCAGTCTACACAGATACATTGGGAAGGGATCGTGGGTTGACGGGCAATAGATGCGGAGCGTTATACTTTCGCATCCCAGCTCTCAGTCATGCGCAATGCGCCTGTGGTCATGACGCGGCTTATGAAAAGAGAAGGATCCTATCTGCTTATTGCAAAAGTCCTGGTCATCTCGAGACTACTCCACAAGTCGCTCAGCCAGTCCAGCAACAAAGCACCAATCGTCGATCAGCTGTGGGAGCGACTGCTGTCGGTACGGAGGAAGCTTCTCAGAAGGATTGACAAGCGCCTCTCGAATACAAACGGCGAGACAGCGAGCCTGGTGGAAAGCATGTGTGCGTATGCGCTTGCGACGAGCTCCACACCGACCGATGTCTTATACCATTTCCACAAGATGCGGTTGGAAAAGGTGAACAGTGAACTTAGGGCAGGGGGCGATGAGCTTGCGAAGCATGGCATTAGTGCGCTCAGGCTATGTATCCAGACATGTCTTGATACACAAACCATCTTTCCGCGGCGCTTAGCAGAGGCTCTGGGAAAGCTGAAGGCGCACCCGTTAATACAAGACCCCGACGTTCGCGGTCTCTACGAGCTGAATCTGGATGTACACGACCGGTGGTTAGGCGATGAGGCTCGGAACTACACGCCATGGCCGCGACATGACGAGCTGCAGCGGCCGGAAGCAGAGCGAATACTTCACCGCTGGTCAAAAGACGCTATCGCCGCTTTTCTCAAGGGTGTACAGAAAGCACTAGAGGCAGAAGAACGACTAAAGGAGGTTGCGGACTTGAGACAAGAGCTGATCGAGACTTGGATATTGTCCGGCTCGCGAATGGCAGGCATCAAGTCAGCCAACGTTCTCGATGATCTGCGAGACACGATGAATGACAAGCTTGAGGGTATAGTGCGATCGCGTACAAATGGGCTACAAGATGTAGTTACCGAGCTTAAGAACCGACTGGATATAATGGCCTCGTCAGACAAAGCCGTGGCGCTTTCACTCTGGGACACGACCAACAGGGCGTCGGATCTGAGCAATGGTGCGCAAATCTTCAAATCCACCATACTGAACACCTATCAAGGGCGTGATGAGTCTGTTATCAGCGTCACATCTGCCTTTGATAAGTGGATGGAATCTGTCTTAGAAGTCAAGAGCATTGTCAAGAGCATGAAGGAAGCGCGGTGGGACGATACTTTCGCAGACGATATCGACGACGAACCCGACGACGAGCTTGGTGATTCAAAACAAGCGCTCCTTAGTGACGATGATCCGAAGCTGCTGGAAGAAGCTACTCAGGAAGCCCTGAGCGAAGCAATGCAAAACCTAAGTCGCAGCTTCAACGCGATCGTCAAGAAGTCTGATGGAGAACAGTCAACACAAAAGGCAACCTTCATGCTCCGCGTGGTCAGGGAGATTGGCGATCGGATACCGCAGCTGCGGCTCCAAGATAAGGCAACACCTCTAACATCGCCCTTCACTTCAAACATTCTTCAACCTCTGCATAATACGCTGGCTTTGCGCGTCACGCAACCGACTGTGAAGGCTTACAAGGTATCGCTTTCAGATCCAAATAGAGTCAAGACGAGTAGCAATATCCTGTGGGAAGGGCATCCACCATTACCAAGTCAGCCGTCACCCAGTGCATTCAGGTTCCTGCGCGAGCTGAACAAGAACATGGGAGTTCTCGGTAGCGATCTCTGGGCGCCTGGCAGTGTTTATGTGCTGAAAAGTGGAGTGGCCGACGAAGTAGTCAAAGCCGTCCAAGAGCATCTCGACGCCATGGATGCGCATACCAAAGAGCCGAGCCCACCTGCTGATAACACCAACGAAGAAAAGGAGGAAGATGAAGAGTCTGCAACGACCGATGAGATGAAGAAACCAGAACTCACCATATCAACGTCGAACCACATCGAAGCGAAGGAGCAGAGAGTCAAACAGCTTATTTTCGATCTCCTCTACCTCCAGCGCTTCGTTGGCAACGCAGGCGAGGATGACGACAAGTTCACGTCGCTGGCTAAGAAAGCAGACATGGCGGGTTTGGACGAAGTCGCGTTGAATAGGCTAAAGAAGAACGCAGCGGATTATGCAAAGAAGACGTACCTGCTCTTCGCGCTGCTAGCTTAGCCTTTGTATATGTACCATCATCATAATACAAGTTATTACAGTCTCGAGTCTTGTCTACTATTCTATTAGGAAAAAGAAATGTGATGTTCCCCTCTGTAGCATCCCGCTCTACCGATCGTTGAAATGTGAGTAAGGTGGCTTCCCGGTCTCTGCCCGTACCATGTTTTAAGGATCAAGAAGTGGCGTTTTTCATCTAATGGTCCGCAGAGTCTTGGAGATCGTCGGAGAGACTTGGGAGGCAAACGGGTTTCAACGGCCGCAAGCTCCAGGAACTACCGCACAGGAACTCCACTTAGTTAACGCCACGGTGGGTCCGGTACAAGACGTCGAGTGTAAGTGTGGTAGAGGAATGTCCCACGCTATACTGGGTATACATTCAGCCAGTATCTTGTACTTTGTACCTATGCTAGTCAAGTCATATGCCAGAAACGAATGCCGAAAACGTCAACGCCGTGTATGATGGATATCTCAAGATAAAATGCTCAAACCCAGCTCCCCATCCAAACAACGTCCCCTCCAAGAAAATACACCCTTAGTCTTGCAATGTGGCTACGACACATCCATCCTATCTTCCGTCCTCAAATCCTCAATCTCTTTCCTCAACATTTCAATCTCTTTTTCCTGCGCCTTCATCTTCTCCAGCGCCATCTCAATTAACCTCGCTTTATTAACCGTCTTCTTTTCTCCAGGCACGGAACCTCCAGGTGGCACGCCTTTCCCACTCTTCCCATTGCTAGCATCATCAGGCGAAGTTTTCTCACTGCCGTCCTCGCCGTCCTTGCCCCTCATGATAACAAAACATGTGGTGCCACTTCCAAAAGTAACTTCGCCGTCAAGCAGGAACTCTGCTAGGTCCACCATGGCATTCTTCATCCTGTCACGGCGGGCCTGTTCTGCAGCGCGGTGCGTGGCGCGCTTCATCATTACGCCTGTGGCCATGGCGGTGCTGAAGTGCAACCCCATTTCTAGGTGTTGGCCAGAGGAGATTAGTTCGTAGTTTGATTTTGAGGCTAGAAGGTCAGCTTGGGGGGTTGTTACGCCGCCGGCTCCTATAGTAGGTCAGCCTGTGTCCTTGACGTGTGCTTGTGGTTCGATTGAGATTATCAGGTCACGGGACTTGACGACAAGAAAGAGATGAGAGGCATACCATTGCTGTCAGCCGGAATGATGCTATTACTTCTTCTTGCAATGGCAACTTTGTTTGGTGGTGGTGGTGGTGCTGATGATGCGTGTGATATCGAAGATATTGTACTTGCAGTATCTGCGGCTATTGATGGAGACCGTATCGAAGATACTGTTGGTGATGTGATGGATTGTGTGGTTACTGATGGTGATTTCAAAGGGCGGATAGGATGTATCGGCAACTGCACTGGCTGCTGCTGTGGTTGTATTTGCGGTGGTGGTTGTGCCTGCACGTTTTGTATGTGTTGCACGTGTTGTTGTTGTTGTTGTTGTTGCTGCTGCTGCTGCTGCTGCTGCTGCGCGCTCTCTCTAACCGGACTATACCTCCGCCTCTTCTTGAATAACTGTGGCCATGTTCTACTCAGCGGCCCCCGGCCCTCATTTCTGTCGTTATTGGACGGTCCATTTGGCTGTGGATATGGCTGCATCGTTCATCGAACCGCAACACAAAACTTTTCGCCTTGTATGTGATATTCGGTAGCCTTCAAAAAGCAGCCGTCGTAGTATTAGCGGAAGTGCACCAGGGAGGGTGTGCCCAACGCGGGTTGGATATGTCAGACTGGGCTACCACCCACAAGACGCGACAAGAACAATGGACGAGTAGTGAGCTCACCGCCAACAAAGACCAGTGCGAAAGTAAGGAAGTGACAGATCCAAGACTCTGGGGACCTCGAGCTTGATTAGCTGGGCTGCACACACGCAGCCGTGTCGCAGGCGGATAGAGAGCTTGTGCGTGAGCCGTCGAGTTCGGCCTCATCCATGGGTCGAGAGCTGCGGTCGCAGGAAGGCGTAGTAGACGCGCGATCTGGAACAGATTCCGCTCATGCTTGCACGGCGCCGTTAAAAGCAAATGGCATGCGCAGTGCGAGTGTTTGCGAGCGAAGCTTTTGCTTGGCGCAACCCAGAGATGTGGTGTTGTTGCTGACTTGGATGCACGTGAAGGCGTAGTCGAGCCAACCAAACCTCGCCCCGTGAGCACATGGGCTTGGCGGGTTGACGCATGCTAAAGCGCCCCTGTCTCAAACCCAGAGCGCCGAGGGCTTAGTTGCCACTCTTACTGCTCAAGAGGGCTATCAAGTGACATCCTTTCCGTGGCAGGGTCGAGCCTCCGCTGCGGAAGCTACTCCTTAGTACCGCGACGGAGCATCGCGGAGGTCACCTTCTGTATTCGGAGTTGGCTATGAAACAGCCGACAGCTTATGGTTGCGGGGAGGATCAATGAGCGCTGAAGAGGAAGACACGTGTTGGAGATTCACTATGGGAGATGCTGTCTTGGCTTTTACCGGCCTTCGATGCGGTGGTCTAGATACAGATCATGATGATCGAGGTTGTGCTCAGGATAACCTTAATTCTTATCAATCCAGGAAGCTACCCCGCGGGGTATGCTAATCTTATCTGATTGCACATCAAGGTACCTGCCTGCGTGAATATCAGTGTTAACTTTTCGCATTGTTGGATGCGGTTAAATGGACACTTGATCCTCGCATACAGATGGGAAAGTTACATTCGCTAAAGAAGTGCAGCTAGATCATCGCGCCATATCGCGCCATATCGCTAATCCGCGCTATTCGTTCTACTGACCATTTCATAGCTTTCATAGCTTTGCTTGCCTTTGGCATGAACTCCAGGCACATACTCCAAGTCTTCATCTTCCAGATCGGTATCCAGGTCCTCCTCATTCAACATTTTTGGATTGAATGAAAAGGCGCCCTTTGGTACGAAAGTACTTGTCATGACCAGCACACAAATTATGGTGAACTGTACCGCAGCCACGTTCAATATAGCCCCGTGAATTTGGTCATTGTGGCGATCCGAAACGCGATCGATGTATGTACCAAGGGAAACGGATGCGATCGCGTACGTGACGATGTATGTACTATACAGGAACGCCATGACGGCTCCGAGTGCGGATACGTTTTGTGTCTTCGATTCGATGCGTGCTAGCGACGCCTGGATGTATGCGGCCAGCGATACGTCGCCAGCAGCCCACCCGAAACTGATGGGTAGGAACGTGGCTGCTACGATCCAAGCTTGGGCCACGTCGTTTCTCGGCGGGTTCCAGAATGGCAGGTACCAGACTATCAGCAAAGCCAGCGCGTCTAGCCGCAGCCATGGTATTGGAGTGTGCACCAAGTTCGTGAACATGAACACGAATAGGGCTCCCAGAAGTTCACCAAAGTTTGAACCTCCTACTATGATCTGCGACCAAGCTGAGTTTCCAAAGTAGCGTCGTGCTACTGCGGGAGCGATCGCGTTCTCGAGGTATCGGTGCGCGTAAAGTGCGATGGCATATCCAGGCAACAGCCAGATAAACTTGCGGTGTTTAAAGATGATCTTGGCACCAGTTCCAATCGACTCGAAGAAAAGGTAGAAGCCACCCATCACAGCTTTGATGTAAGTCGGCTGGCTTTCCAAGATCAGAGACCTACTCTCCTTTGGTATGCCAGCTTCTTGGATGAAGTACCAGAGTATCGATGCCGCGGCGAAGAAGATGGGAGTGATGATGAAGCTGAAGTTGTTCCCAAAGTGAGGAATGAGTGCGAGTGCAGTGCAAAATGCACCAGCAGTACCGCTGATCTCGTAGAAGATGTGAACTAAAGAGTCCATTCGTCGAAGCTTCTGAATGTGGCCGCCAACTAAATCTCGCGGGATAACTCGCCGGATCAGTTCGACCATGCCGTAAACTATACCACAGATGCAATCTAGTGATTATCAGCAAACGTTGGAGAATATAAGTAGTACCAACTGCCATACTTGTCCAAACGTGCTACTGAGCGACAGGTCCAGGCAGCGGAAACCAGGGCAGGAGGAGTTTGAGAAGAAGCCGAGCTTTGAGTATGATGAAATTGCAACTTACAAATGGGTATCATGGCGTCCGTGTTGTAGTCACCGTAGTAGCTAAAGTCATTCTCCGGCCACCCGCGTGGTGCGAACTTGCCACCAGTTGCAGCATCCAGAATGAGTAAAAGACTGCTCATGAAGGCGAATATGAGCACTGCGCAAGCCAGAACGTTCTTGGTAGGATATCTCTTGATGAGTGGTGCGATTAGAATGGATCCAACACACTGAAAAGCCTGGTTAAGCCCCGTCAACACACCCACACGCTGAAATGTAATGGAAGTGTGCGTCCTCTCCCCAAGTTCGTCGTATCGATTGGTCGCGAGCGCAATGACAGATCCGTTGAAAGCCTCGAGTCCGAACTTGTACATCATTATGCCAGCAATGTACATGGCGATGTTCCGTCGTTCGACAGGCGTGTATATACTCCATGTTTCCTGAATGACAGCAATAGGCCGGAGCATGGTGACAGTCGGAGCACGTAACGTGCGATGATGGTGCTACGGGAAGCAACAGCTAGCCCGACAAAGCGGAGAGACCTGGTTTATACTTCCACGATACCGGGACGCTGGTGTTGAAGAGTGGACCAATTGGGGGAGAGGGCTATCGCATGCGGTACGCTAAGGCTTCCCGTGGAGGTTAAATGTATGCGACGCCCGCATTTGTGACGAGGAGGCATTCCAAAAACCTTGTCGTTCGCGTTAATAGAAAGGACGGCGTGCTGCATTTGACAGCCAAGTTGCACGGCATGACCCCAGTCGTTGTGAAGGCTTGGCGCGTCCGTCAAAAACTGGCCATTCAGGTGACCCACGTGGGCTAACACCTGGACCGCCCGGGGTAAGCATCTAAGCCGATAAGAAATGCCAACCTGAACAATGCGTCGTAGACGAGCAATGCCCCTCACCCAGCTGTTGCAACTGCAATATGCATGTATTGTACGTGGTATCGCTACTTCACGATAAAGCGGACGAGGTGTCATGGAGACGAAACGACAGCAAGACATCTTGCGCAGAAGTGCATCACGCCTCCATTCTCTTGACAGGCCATCAGGTACCGGCAATTGCCCCGGAGTGGGGATCTGTAGCCCGCTATCGCAGGACTAGCTCTTGAGCTGCGCATCATGCTAGGTGCGCATCAGTGGAGTGAGACGGTCACGGAAATAGTCAAGTCAAACCAATTTGACATGGTGTGAAGGGTTCCTGCATTAGAACCAAAATTCAGGAGGACATGGATGCACTGGATGCTCGTTTAAGAATCGTCTGTACAAGTCAGTCTAAGGGAAAGACTATGAGCTAAAAGACGAAGCTGACCTGCCTGGGCCTGAAGCTCCCGCACCAGGAATCGACATTTACTATCTTTCGTACAAGAGCTGTGTCGCGAGTAGGCTAAAGACCAACATCCTGAGTTGGTCTCTATCGGCATCCTCATTACGCCTTCAACAGCGATGCACAGTGGCAGCTGTGGGTATCAAAATGTTCATCGCGCCAGATGAGCGGATCGCAGGCTCTCAGTCGGAATCGTCCTCTTTGTGCCGCCTGACTTCCTTGGCTCTCGCAGTTCTCTCCTCATCTTCGGCCTCCCTTTTAGCTAGACTGTCGCGCATCCTCTCCTCTTGCTTCCTCCAGTGACTTCCTTCTTCGTAGTCTGCACTAATGCCCAGTGCCTTTCGCAGTCTCTCGCTCTCTTCCGCTTTTGCTTTGGCAAGGTCGTGCACTTGGTGCGATTTCAGGCGCTTCGCATTTGGACCAAGATCTTTGCCGTCTTTTCGTTCTTGGTCTAGCTTGCGGCGCAGGCCTTCGCACTGATCATCGATCTCGTCTTCATCAACACCCTCATCTTCAAGCTTGTCGCGCAGCTCGAGGACTTTGACTTCAATTTCGCGCTTTGCTTCGTGTTCGAGGATCTCGGCGTCTGGTTGTCTGGGGCGGTGCTTGGCCGATTCCCAGTCTTTAGGGTACGGCTGAATCTTGTCGCGTGGTCGAAGGAGGGATCGGTTCTTCTGGACGTAGCCCGAGGTACCGCTACCTCTGGGTGTAGTGAGGCCTACGTTGTCGGCCATGATGTGTAGTAAGGGTGGATGGTGCAGATGGGTGTTGAGTTGGTGAGTGTTGCTGGCGAGAGAGAATGATGGATCAGGGCTGGTTTGCGGAGAGCTCGGAGGTGAGGCCCAAGCGCAATGATCGAATCGCTTGCCCCACCAAAACTTTCCCTTGGTACAGTCAAGACTCACCCAGAGATGGAGTCACTACTTTGTGGTACACACATTCACGAATCTCTCTCTCGTCGTTTTTCACACGCTCTCCAACCGCCATGAGCACACACGACGCGATGCGCGACGACACCGCCTCGGCGCCCGTAGAGGTGGGGTACAGAGAGCTGCCCTTCCCGCCAGTCACCAAAGAGCACATCTTGAACTGCTCATACCACAAGTGGCATCCTAAGTTGGTTTTCACTCTTTTTTATGGTTTAGACGATTTCTAATATCCATAGATACCGCGGGGTAACACCAAAAGCGCGCCTCATTCCGCTCCCAACGGCCTTCCTCGACTACCTCCGATCGGACGGCATCATCCTGCCCCCCGACGAGACCGACGACCCTTCGTGGTCAGACAATGACAGTGGCATCTTCTCGGGCGCCGACAACAACGACGATGATGAAAACGAAAGCCCAGACCCCAGTGCCAACTGGCGCGACACTCACGAGGCCATCGAGCGTACTATCGAAGAGCTGGGCGGCAAAGTCGCGCCCAAGCTGAATTGGAGTGCGCCGAAAGATGCGACTTGGATAGCCGCAACCAACAGCATGGAGTGTCGAACACCAAACGACATCTACCTACTGCTAAAGAGCAGCGACTTTGTCACCCACGATCTGGCCCACGCCTTCGATGACACAGCCGACCAATCTACAACACCAGATCCAGAGATTCCATACCACCTCGTCTTAAGGAAGTGGATTACACTCAACCCTAGTGTTGAGTTCCGATGCTTTGTACGGAACCGACGGCTGATTGCCCTCTGCCAGCGGGATCTAAACCATTTTGACTTCTTATTCAACATGCAGGACAAGCTGCGCGATACTATCCAAGACTTCTTCGACGCGAAACTGCGCGACACCTTCCCTGATCCCAACTTTACTTTCGACGTATACGTACCGCCACCGCATGACAAAGTCTGGGTCGTCGACTTCAACCCGTGGGCTGTGCGGACTGATCCTCTGATTTTCTCATGGATGGAACTTCTTACCATGGAGGTACCTGATGCATCCTCATTTGAGGAGACAACTGTGCGCCTGAAGATCGCCCAGCCAGGAGACAAAAGCGAGCCGGTTCAGGCAAGTGGTGACAACGTAGACGAGGACGAAGACACGGATGAGGATGAGGATGACATCGAAGAGCTATGGCAACCAGAATTCCGGCTCATAAGAAGAGACGACCCAGAAGCATATGGTTTCTCGACTCCGCAGTACAGTGCACATAAGCTCCCTAGAGACGTCGTGGATGCAAGTAGTGGCGGAGAAGGTCAACTGCGCGAGTTTGCGATGCAGTGGGAGGAAGCGCAGAAGTTGGCTGAGCAACAACGAGCCGAGGACAGTGAAGACGATTAGCTTGAAGGGACTACCGTAGCGTAATGGAGGAGTCATAACTGCATATATCTTGGCGTAAACAAACAGACGTTTCCAAAATCGTGATTGGGTGTTTGTGAAATGTTGCTTTGAGCAGTGACCAGTCTCGTCGCGTGAGGCTCTCGGTCCGCCACCGTGACTCGCTCATGCAGGGCATCTGCTTGTTTCACCGCTCTACACCCCACATCCATGATTCGTTGATATCGGATTTCCTATCTCTTCCACTCAACCGTACAACAACACGTCGCTCGACACTTTGTTTATGCTCTCGGTCAATTTCTGATGCAATAAATTCTGCTGAACAAACTATACTTTTAAAAAAACATTGACCATCACGATTTTTCTTACTACGACAAGATGAGTGTTCAAGACAGCAGTTATAGCGGCTTCTTATCGCTACCAACGGAGATACGATGCCAAATCTACGATTACCTCCTCTCCGAGGCACACGCGATTACGATTAGTGCTGGCTACACTACATGCTTTGGCAGCAGGATACGAGATCGCGCTCGCAAAACCGAAATCCCCGGCCTACCGTTGGATCTCGCGCCGTTGGCACGACGCCATCATGATGCGGCTCTCCTCTCGGTCGCGAAACCACCAACGATTCCTATTGACAACGGACATGTGCAAGACATTGAGGGCGAGAAACTAGGTTTTCCCGCTCAGGTGGCATTGTCATTGACTTCTCGAACGATCAATGACGAACTAAATGATTGTATACGGAGGAGAAGACATATCGCGCAGGCGCGTTCTACCATTGACGCCGATGGTGTCGTTCAAGATGACGGCGAAGACAAGGAAGGATTGTCACTTTACGTATCCTATCCATATGGTGTCCTGGTGTTGAAGCATCAATATCCATACCTGTTGAAACAAGCGCGAAGGGTATATATCTCCGGGTACTACACTCCCCGCCAGGAAAACTGGCTTGATCCTTCCGATCTAGAAACAAGCGACGACGAACGCTTGACGCCATCGAGCAGTTTCGCAGCACCATCGTTCAACGTTCCAGCATCAGGGCCAACAACAAGCTTCACACGCTCCTCCAGTAACTCTTCGAGACGAACAGCGCACCACGGCGTATCGGTCAACTCCTCGCGTCCCCGCCTCCGCCTCGACCCTCCACTTTCCCGCGAAACCCGACACGCGAACAGCGTACCTAGGACTTTCCCACCCTTTTCCACGTCCACAGCGACCGAAGCCCCCGCGGCCCTCGCCCATCTCATCTCCACACTCTTCCCGAAACACACAACCCCCCTCACAAAGCTTACAACACACATCCTCTTTCCCGGCGAAAACTCCTATGGCACCGTCTGGGGCGACGACAACAGCCCCGTCTCACACATCCTACGCAGCATCTGCGGCGGGAAAATCGCGATGAGAGTCATGAGGGGTAGCCTAGGGACAGGACTCAAGCTGACGGCAAGACCGAAACCGGAAACCAGGATTGTGAGCACAAGTTGGGTGAACTGGAAGAACGGCGATGTTGGAGGGAGAGTTGGAGCGGGATCTGTGAGGCGGGCGGGTGGTAGACTGGGTGTGAGCGATTTGGATGCGTTCTTAATGGGCGAGGAGGAGTCTTAGGTTGGCGATTTGGTCGAGACTAAGAAGGAGGGGAAGTTTGTACTGAGCTGAAATGGCTGCTGCATAACATGTTCAGTTGTTATTGGCCTTTGATTGTATGATATTTTTTGTATGATATTCGCAGCTCAAAATCCTTAGATACGCTCGACGCGGCGTCTCAACAGCCCATATGGATAGTCTGGTGGGGCTTGGCTTTCTCCTTTCATGTCTGGGAACACCTCTTCTGTTCTATCGTAACTATAGCCGTCCTTTCCAATTACGCACCTTCCAGACAGTGCGTACGTCATCAAATATGTCCTTTAGACTTCTCATCCTCTATGTGACGGTAGAACGATATCTCGGTTGGTAGTCGAAGTAGCGTTTTCAAGTAGAGAGCGTCCTGTTTGTCCATCGACAGCTGGAAGGTACCTGCGGTGGTCTCTAGGACGAGACAGGCGCGGTCGTCGAGGTGCTGCCTTCACAGTGAAGCTAGGTTCGGAAGTCTCGAGTATGTTGACTCGATGGGTTGTTATCGATTTGCAGGAAGAGGGCAGTATCGGGGTTGTTCTACGCCCCCAAACAATCGTTGAACTACCAACTGATCCATCGAACCGAACCTGGGATTCCTATAGCAAGGTCTCGCGCATCTGAAAATTCAACTTTGACCGTGCGGTCACTGTCTTCCGGATGGGTCAGGTAAAATGCGACAATGCGTAGATGTTCAGGCACTTCCAGATCGCGATTCAAATCGTGGTCAAGTAGACCCAGTTCTGCTCTCGCGCGTTCTTGCTCAAGTCGCAAAGCCTCTTCTGCAATCTGGCCCGCGAGTATACCGTCCCAAAAACCCTCTCTTCGTGGATGGCTCAGCATGAGTCGTACAGCGCGTTTGCGTAGTGCTTGACAAGACGAAGGTGCGCGGACTGCTATGAGCCAAAGCACGGATGTAGGTCCCGCTGGCGTCTGGAATATCGGTGTCTGGGTACCAGATAGTGGCAGAAGTTTGGCGGCGAGTTCAAAGATGCGTACAGACTGTGCGGCGACGTCGAACGTCTCTTTGAACGGCCCTCGAGCATGCTTGAAATTGTTCAAACAGGGAAACTTCCCTACCAGATCAGACCTAGGATCGCGCAGGAGGTACTCCATCTGGGCTTGCGTCAACTCCAGAGCAGTGAGAGGCTGGAGGAACTCGTCACCGAAAGGATGGGCTTTTTTCCAGAGATGTTCCATGACAGTCGCACCTCGATGGAAACGCATGATGAGTTCGGTGTATTCGTTGTATACCTCATCCGCTTCATCCGCTGGTCGCAGTTTAGTCTTTTGGTTGAATGCATGGATGCTGTTCAACAAGCTCTGCGTGTGTCCTAGCATCGCATGCAATGCAGGCATGCTTAAAGTAAAAGTTGGTGAGGTGCTTAATGTTTTTGTCTTGGGCTTCGCAACCCATGTCCGCGACAGATGTGTGGGCATTATCGCTCTGATTTGCGTATCAAATCCCACAAAGATGGTGCGCAAGGACTCCATCTCTATCGGATGACCAAACTTTTCGCCTTCCTCTTCATCTGCCTCGTTCAACATCCGGATACCGCTGCGTACGTGCTCGATTGCGTCTCTTTGGTATCCTTGGAGACAGCACATGGTGGTGAAAAGGATAGCACATGTCATAAGGGTGATCTTGTCCGTTCTAGCTACCTTTTCACTTATCTTCTGTTTCTGTAACAGGTCTTGAATCGCTTGATTTGATTGTCGCAGAGCAAATTGTAAATACTTATCCAACATGGCAGTTTCGGTAAGATGCGAGTCGCTACCTTCGGAGAAGCGTCGATACATCGCGCCCAGAGCAATGATGCAGTGTTGAATCGCTGGTTCGTGATGAGCGGCCTGAAGCAATTCTCGTTGCCAGAAAGGCGAATCAAGAAATCCGCACAAGTTCGAGACAGCATAGGAAGTGAAGAACTCGAAGCTCTCCCGTTCTTCTTTGCTATTGAGACGCATGGCTGGAGCAATGAATACTGGTGACCCAGCCCGCGTAACGCTCCAGCTTGATGCGGATTGGGGCGAGCCTCGCATTGAGTCTGGTGGCGAGGGCGTTGATGATTGCGCAGGCCTGAAAGTCGGATCGTAGCCATCGCACGTACGGCCTGTTGACGTACATCGCCTGCAGTGCGGCTTCTCCTCATCACACTTGACTTTGCGTATTCTATACAGATCAGCAAACGGCCATTGGATACGCAGCATTGTAAGAAGGCAACATGATCCTGCTGCACATCCAAAGTTTGAAAAAGCCTAATGGTAATGCTGCTTATACTTCCAAACCGAGAGGTCGCGTTGATGTTCAGCGTCTGATGTGGTAGTCGCGGGATCTTGAGCTGGATAATTGCGGGAAACAAGCCCAACCTCGAATGTAGAGCCAGTCATACCATGTTTATGAGAAATTCCACGCCCATTGATGCGGAAACTTACTTGCACGTCTTGCAACCTGAGCGGGCTTTAGGTTTCCAAGCTCTTTGGCGTGGTTTACCGGACACGGTCGCCATATCGATTGGGAAAATTCAATCTGACCAATGAGAGGGGATCTGAGGAGAACCGGATATACGAGTGTACGAGCAAGCAAGTAGGAGGTGTCGGATCGAAGGAGTTTACGACCGCGCAAATGACATCGGTGGTTTGAGGGTTGTTTTGAGGCTGCATGACATTATGCAGCATTGGGGCGCGGTCGTCTAAGTGGTTAGGCTACAACGACTATGGCTGCGGGCCTTAAGCCTACGGCTATTATTATCGAACATAGCCAATGAGAAATCGGCTCGACAAGGTTTGCAATCCTTGAGGGCGTAACGGCACGAGGAAGGTCGACGGAATTGCATCCATCTGGACGTTAGTGAACCATTATTATTAGATCAAGTGTAGTCTACAGCAATGATTGCGGGGTCTGTAACCCGGGCAGGTCCTTTGTAAAGACCGGCAGTGTGAGAACAACCGAGATTCAAAGCGTTGGGACTTGGTATCACCAGTCAGTAGTCGGCCATGAACACGCATTTCTCCTTGCTACAGCCATGTATGTATGAGCCAGAGTCATTTCAGTGAAACAACATCGGCGCCAATCAGTGTTTTGTCGCATGGCCGACTGAACATTTTAACGATCTCATTCAGAAATTCCGCCAGAGTTTCTGTACAAAGCCTTGCTTTCCCTGCGGCTCGGTATGTGGATCGCCATTCAAGTATTCGTCTTTCGCATCTAAGTCCTTCCGCATGCCTGTGTCAAGATCAACCTCTTGACTTCTCCTGAACCTCGTCTTGAAAAGAACTTTGTATCCCACAAACATGATTCCGAATATTGGTAACATGATGTAGGCGTCGACGAATGTCCCTGCGTCGAATGGGCTTAGTGTTGTCCAGCCCTGTACAAGAGCGAGGAAAACGTTGGCGCTCACTCCAAAGTAGGCGTTCCATGGATAAGCGAACGACTTGAACGGCAACATGTCGGGCGTTCGACCTTGTGCTTTCCAAGCTTTCCGAAAGCGAATGTGTGTGAAGGAGATGGAGCCCCAAACAAGAAAGGTGGATACACCAGACAGATTGACGATATAAGAATACGCTTGGCCCCCTCCGGTGCTGACGTTCATCATGGATATCGCGCCGAACAGGTTTGTGAAAACAATCGCATAAATCGGTACTCCACGGCTATTCGTCTTCCCCAAGAACCTAGGCGCCATTTTCTCCTGTGCCATGAACAGTATCGTTCGAGATCCGATGTATATTGAGGAGTTTGCGGCGCTTAAAACCGTAATAAAGATGAACGCGTTGATAAGATGCACACCACCTTGCCATCCGGCATTTTGAAGCGCTATGGTCATAGGACTCTTAAGTGCACGGCTGGCTCCATTCGCTAGTCCGTCAGCATTCGATGGGCAGGTGAGCCCAAAGAAGAAAGCGACTCCAATATATACGAAGAGGATTCGCCAAATGACTTGCCGGATCGCTAGCGGTACAGCTACCGAAGGGTTTCTGGTCTCTGTAGCGGCCACAGCGACCGCTTCGACACCGGCGTAAAATGTCGAAGCAAACACAAACACCGTGGCTACTCCACGGAAGCCGTTTACCCAAGGGCCGGGGTCGTGCCAGTACCGGAATCCGAGTGCTTCGTTCTGCCCAATCAGACCACCTGAAGCATATATGATGGCAAAGATGAAATAGGCGCAGAGACCCGCAAGCTTGACGAGGGCAAGCCAGAACTCTGCCTCACCGAAAGACTCCACACCCAACATCTGAAAGCCTAGGAATGCGAACCAGAAGATCAGGAAATAGCCCCACAGAGGTACTTGCGGGCCCCAGAAGACCATAATCGAGGAAATGACATTGTACTCGTTGGCTAGCACACATGCCCAGACCAGCCAGTACTGCCACCCTACTGCTACTCCGAAGGCCTTGTCAACGAATCGATCGGAAAGTGTAACAAAAGCACCACCGGTTGGGTACAAGGTTGTCATTTCTCCCAAGGACTGCGTGATGCTGAACGCGATGAATCCGATGACGCTGAAAGCTATGAGCAGAGACGCAGGGCCTCCTTCTGCCAATGCTCCACCAGTACCGACAAGTATACCGGGTCCAATGATTCCAGCGAGCGCCATCATTGATAGGTGGCGAGTTTTGAGACCTCGCTTGACTCCGCTAGGATCGATACGGTTGAAATCATCGTCGTTATAACTTGCTGTGCGCGACGGTTGCTCGACGTGAGCTTTCGAATCGAAGATGGCCATGCCGAACCGGAAGATGGTGATCAGGAAGATAGACGCATAAAACTAGACATGCCATCATTATAAGCGACTTCCTAGTCTTCACTTGGCGTGGGAACGGTTGATGTGCGACGAATAGTAACAGACTATGGCTTGGTGCATGTTGCCATTTTCATAGTGGATTGCGCGATAAGAGGGTCTGAGTGTCTGGACGGCGAAACTGCAGAATTTGTTTGCACACAATATTACGTCGAAGATTTACAGTCGCCATGTCTCAATTCTGGACAATTTAGACAGTATTACCGTGTCCGGTGCTTGTACTGGAGTAGGATCATGAACCGGATCGCGGGGGCGTACGGCAGAATAGCAGTTAAGATAAGCATGATCTACTAGGTTAATGGGGTTCCGATGTTCCGTTCCTTCACCTGAGCGGCACTTCTCTCGGTAAAACACTCGTCCTAAATCCACTAATCGCGACCAACAACAGGAACCATCGCAACATGGTGTTTTCTTCGTCGCATCACTTCGCTTTGGAAAATGATGAACAGAATTTCGTGTATGTCATCTCAGCACAATCAAGCAATCCCGCTGTCTAAACTCATAGCGAAATGTGTTAAAGCCAGCTCGGTCACAAACGTGGCCATATTTGTTAGGGAAGCAGTGGTTATCATTCATAATACTCTATAGAACTCATTACCCATATATACTCAGATTCCATTATCTATCATCCATCATTGACGCTGAACCAGTCAGGCCTTCGTTAACAGCGAGGCAGAGTCGCATTCCCATCCAGCTCGCTTGGACAACCAGCTTAGTTCTTGCCGCCAATCTCCATGCGCTTCTTGAGCCTGTAGGCGATGGCCCTCTTCCTGGCAGCGGCACCCTGTGTGAAAGCAACAGATCCACCAAAGGGTCCGGCAGCAGCACCGTTGCGGACGCGCATGACACAGACGTTGTTAACACCAGCGACGGTCGCGTCACAAGTCATGCCAGCCGGCATCTGTACTTTCATCGCGAACTCGGTGTTGGTGGCGAGAGAGATACCCTGAACACCGAGGCCGGGAACGTCCTGGGTAACGGTAGCGGGCTGCATGGCGGCCTCGTCGGTACCACCTGAGGTTCCATCGACGTCGGCAGTGAAGGGGCCGGCACCATCCTGGTTGATCTAGAAAGACTGAGTTAGACTCAGATGTGGAAGAGTAGGACTCATAGCTTACCTGGCGCATAGTTATGGTGACGGTACCGTCAGTAGCACATGTGGGCAGACCGCTCGATGCACCCTGTCCTACTGCGGCCGCTACGCGTGCCTCTGGTGGGCCATTGACCTTGTCACCGCCTCCACCGAGCAGTCCAGCGATACCAGTGGCACCAGCTGCGCCGCCGGCACCTCCAGCACCGCCGGCGCCTCCGCCAAGAAGACCACTAAGGAACTGACGCTTCCGGCCAGGCTGCTGGATGTTGTCCTCGACACCAACACTTCCAGAAGCACCGTTGTTCGCAGGAGGCGCGGCGCCCTGTCCCATGAAAGCACCAACCATGACCGCAGCATCGACCTTGCCGTTACCCTGTGTGCGGCCGAGAGGACCTGCCTTGCCGCTGGCGATTTCCCTGTCCCTGATGATGGCGGTATCGGCTTGAGAGCCGCAGCCGCTAGAATAACGGTTAGTGGTCTGTATCGGGAATTGGTGGTGCTTAAACACACTTGCTAGAGCAGTCGCGGGGAGTTCCGTCTTGGATAGTCAAGCCTGGCATAGTAACTCCATTTGCGCCCTTGATTTCAGTGACCACACCGTGGGCAGAAACAGCAGCCGCAAGGGCGAGGATGAGTGCTGGTGAGAAGTGCATATTGTATGTGTGTATGTGATGTCGAGATCAACTCGGTGGATTAGAGGATATGATTTGTGAAGAGAAGGCGAGGAGTGAAAAGCACCAGGCTGATGAAGAGTGAAGTATTAATAGAGAAGTTGAGAAACTGAAAGCTGATGGTTGTAGAATCGGCTTCAACAGGAGGTCTTATACATTCTGACCATCGTCCATTGTTGACGATCTGCTTCGCATCACATTCTCCATCGGGACGATAGCCGCCCACTCCAACCAACTCGTCATTGGCATCTCAAGGCCAGTATGGAGACATGCCAGCTCTTGTGTCAAGACGCGTTTTCGAAGGTCCTCTGGTAAGGCCAAACGTGCTTGGCTACGATGAGGCGTTTCCCTCCGGCGCTTGGCCGTGGCGGAGTGCCGATTTCCCAGGCGTTGAGAGGTGCCAACGTTCCAATTGCTAGTTTCGTCTGCGCCTGGGGATGAAGGCTAAAGGCGCCAAGGCGAGAACACTCAATGCAAGATGGTTAATTCGCGAAACGCTGTGCTCGGAACTGCGGCATTCTACTAAACAAGCAAACACATGTAAGTTTCACATATTGGAACATTATGTTATTGACCTATCAGGACTTCCGCCTCACGTAAACCCATTCCCATATGCTGAAGGCAATGTTTAACAGTATTGAATTGCTAATTCATGGCAGCTTCACCGCAGCGCCGATAGCACTATGGTGTTCCTGCGACATCCACCAAAGAGCGTTCCCCACACTACATGCATAACATGTCAGACCGAACACGGTTGAATCCGAATATGCAAAACCACCAACTCAAATCACAGGTTTCTAATTACTCGCATATATCCTGTTCAGCATCAATTTAGGCGAATTTTAGTGTCCGTGATCCACCCGCGGGTGCATAATGTTGCAGGCCCGTCGCCACTAGTGTTTCACCAAACAACACAGTCGATCTTCAAACATGTAATGCCTGGTTCCTAAAACTCAAGACCTAGTAATATATGCAACGGACCCTGTAATCCGAGGCTGAGATGGAGAGTCTGAAGGTGTCTATGATGGTTGGTAAGTGAAGAAGTCGAGATGTTGGTGGTGAAGTGGAGCGGCCGGAATGGGGCAGGTGGCGCGAACTTCGGCTTCACACATGAGGTCAGCACGACATCAAGCGTGCTGATAGAAACTTGTGTGCTTTCAAAATTCACATGCTCCTCGCTTAACGTCTTTTGAAATCTCGAGAAATCCTTGCCATGCTCTGTCAGATGGAATGTCGTCGACTCGCGACAGAGAATTGACCTTATATAGTTCCAAAAGCTAACAGAAGTTATAAAGTAGCAACTGCTACGGCCTCACCACCAACAATGAAACTAGCTACTTACATGTATTATCGAAGACTATGGAGAAGTGCGCGAACGTGAGACTGGTTTCAAAACTGTTCCGGCTGGAGCGAATACCATGGTCCGATATATTTAACAACGCCGACATCCTATACATTGTCCAAAGGCTCCCGTACTAAGCCAAAGCAGTTTTCTATGTAGTGGTCAAATCCTCTATGGCCGCAGGTCTGCTCGGCGAATCAGCCGTTGATGCTGCAGTTCTGTAACCAAATGCCAGTCCTGTCACTCGAGACAACAGGAGTTGACTTACGCATGCCCAGAATATTCCGTAGCCTTTCGTCTCTGTGTTTCTTGAATTTAAACAGCTACCATCGCTTGGTGTCTTCGATTTGGGCAAGACGACGAACCTATGTGCAGTACTGTCGTTTTTCTGTAACTGTAATCAAACTCAACCAGGATGACAACAACAATGCTTGAAAACATAACAATGTATTATATAAACGAGGCGAAGATGGTCTCACGCCTCGAGCAAGGATAAACGTGTCCCGAAGTCACTCCCTATGTACACCGACGCCATATAGAAAGTGCCCTATCGACGTAGAATTTGCTCAATGGTATACCCGAAGTCATTAGCGCATTAACCGTTTTATCCTATCTCATCAACCCATCTTTATAAATCCGTTGCCGCTTTCAATCCATTCCCGTCCCTCTCCTGCCCAAACCGGACCGTCCCCCACTAACACTCCCCCTATGCATCCTTGACCCTCCACCACCATGCATCATATCCAAATCCACGGGCGTTCCCGCACCAAGCGCAAAGCCGTAGGCTTCAGCACCCTGACCCGCGAAAACTCCATCATCACCTAGGCTATGTTGTGGCGGCGGCTCTACGTTGAATGGCACAAAGTAACTGCTCATCGGATCGAAGAAATTGTTGTTGTTGGCGCTGTTACCCAGACCCATGGCTTCGAGATTCCAGAAAGCGTTATTGAAATCGGTAGTCAGATCGGGGAAGGGGGAGAGATTCGTAGGGTCCATCTGGTGTGCGTGCGAGGGGTGAATCATCGTAGGCGAGGTATTAATGAGTGGGAGAGAAGGGTGGTGCGTGTGTTGTTGGTGCGCGTGATGGGAGCCTGCGAAGTCGGCGAGGAATTGTTGGGGAGAGGTATGTTGTTGCTGTTGTTGGGCGAAGAGAGCGGCAGGGTCGTAGCCAGCGGCGATAGCGGCGTCTATTGCGTCTTGTGAGGCCATGTTGAGCTGATTCATCTGCTGTTGCACTTGTAAGCGGGCAGCATGGCTCTGCTGGGAGTGACTGTTGTGCCGTTGTAGCCGTGGCATATCTTGGTTGTTTGACGCTGCGAGATCCGGTTTTGAGATGGACTTCGATTTGTTCTTGCGTGCTTGCTTGCGCTGTTGATCGGATTTGGACGGTGGGGATAGCGATGCGAAGAACTCTTCCACGCTTTGCAGATCGCTCTTGTGTCCCAGGACAGCATCAGTACCTGGCTCATTTGGATTTGACTCGGCTGCGTCCTCGTAGTCTGTTTTCGAGACACCGTGCGGGTATCTGTCGAACCAGTCGCCATACTGAAAGATACTACCCTTCTTTTTATCACCGCTTGCATTCGGTCCCTTCAGCTGCGCATCAGCATGTTGGCGATACAGCTCCTTCAGGTTTTCTGCAATGTAGTGGAACATGCCCCAATACTTCTTCATTTTCGTCAGGTATTTGACATTGTATGCCAAATACTTTTTCGATTGCGCCTCCAACTTCGGATTCTTCGAGAACACGCCATGGACATGTACAGTCGAGGAGAAAAAGGCTGAATAGCCGGCGAACGGTGCGACGACGTTGTGATCCATAGCTTCGTTGATGAGCATCGAGATTTGATTTGCGGCATCGAGCGCGGAGCGTGCGGACTCTGTGAGGAAGTCATGTGGCATATCCTTCGGAGGTCTGCTGCCGGCAGTCGAAGGCAACGCGAATCTGTGCATGAACAGCATGATCTGTTGCCATAAGATATGAAGATACAAGAACGAGTTTGCGGTCTTTCCAATAGCATGACTTTTGAGGTTCTCGGGGTTGTAGACGAGCATCTCAGGCAATGCCGCTTTAAAGTCCTTCGCCTCTTTCTTAATAGTGTGCCAAGTCGATTCGGTTGACCACATGGGTTCTTGTTCTCGTTCCTTTCCTCCCAAGTTCATGTACTTGATGAGTTTCCCCCATATGCAAACCAACCGTATGGTGTATGCCGAGACGCCCATATTATCGCGCGGGTTTGCCAATTGACCACTGTCGGGTGGAACGGGGTTCGGCACGTTGCCTTCTAGGTTCTCGGTTGGCGCATGTATTTCGTGTACGTAGAGATGCTCCTTGACTGGTAGTTGCACTTCAATGTATTGCTCGTGTACGAAGAGTGGTCGGTCGGTACCAGACGAGTTGAAGCGGTCCATGAGGAAGCAAGACCACATAGTCCGCCGCCGTATTTCCCGATCAGTAGCGCTCAGGGGCTTCCTGTCTGGCTCGTTGACGAGCGGGTCATATTCATTTTCCTTGTGCAGTTGTAGTGCGTATGCCATTCTTTGCGCCATACCCCCAAACATCCAGCTCCGTCCACCTTGACAAGTACCGAACTCATGTAGTCCGAGTAGCAGGTAGACTATCAAAATGGTGATATTCGGTGCGTCGTACCGCTTCAACGCGATCTCTCGTGCCCGCTCAGCCCAGTTGTCGCCCCGTAAGAAACATGGCTCTGTCCGTAGTTGTGGGTGGTTCGAAAATCGTGCTGATATGGCGCACATGGCTAGTATTAGTACTGGGGGTACCTTCCCAGTTGCTAATTTTCGCATGAAGCTCGGCTTGTGCAGGAGAGGATAGCTTTGACCATATACATAGTCAAAATACACCTCAGCCAAATGCTCTTGTATTTCTTTCGACGGCAAGCTTTCCGCCCCTTCTGTCAGAAGTTTGCTCTCATCAGATTCCTTGCCATGCGATGTCGAGCCGGCCGTGTCCGGATCTGCGCCTTTTGTCTTCGACCATTCGTCCAGTTCGTTGCCAAATGCTTCTTCTGCGGCGCGCTTCTTCGTGGTGGGTGTTTTGGGTGGGGCGCCGGGGATAGCGGGCTTAACGACGGATCTGCCCACATTCGCAACAGAGGGTAAGCTTTCTTTCGGTATCAGCTTGATTACACGATCCTCCATGCGCTTCAGCCTTTTATCCAGCATAGCCATATAGTCCGTTCTCGGTGCTGCCTTCCTAGTGGTAACCTTGTAAACACAGGGTATCCGACTCCTCAGGCAATGTTTGCAGGCTGGCTTTTCGCCTGAGCAGCGAATCTTCTTCCTCCGACATGCAATACAAGCAAGTGGTAGCCTTTTCCTCTCCTTGCCAGCCTTTGTCTTCATCTCGCTCCAAAGCGGCGGATCTTGAACGTCGTCCTTGCTCCTCCGCGATGTCGTCGAATGATCTGTGCCGTCATTTCCACTGAGCTTCATGGCGAGCGCTGAGGCCTCGTTCATGGGGTCTCCAATGGCGAGCATGCCCATTGTGGGCGCACTGTCGGGACTGGTGTTGTTTCCGTCGTGGCCGGGGCTTCTTCCAATGCTCATCCGATTGGGATGCGCACTCCCGCCACCACTCATACCCTCTTCGCTCATATTGCCAATACTGCCTCTGTGATCCGCATATCCAGATTCTATCTTTGGTTGTACCCCATCGAAATTGGACCCGAATCCTTGACTCTGCGCAAATGTCATGTCGAAGTCGGTGAAAGAGCCCATGATATTCGTGGGACTTGTCCCGGTCGCGTTCGGAGAGGCTCGAAGTTCAGGCAGGCCGTACTCGGCCAATATCAATGAATCGTCGCTGTCGAAGCGCGCGTGCGAGGGAGTGGCTATGGAGGTTACGGTTGCGCCAGAATCGGCCATGTTCTCAACGACTGCCCGCCGTGTTTTGTGCTGATGCGTGGCGCCGAGGCAGTCAGTCTTACATCAGGTTCCAAACTTCAAGATTAGAACAAATGATTCATATGCGCCAGCATTTCAGACCCCAAAACAACATTTCAGGCGAATTCAGGCGTCGAGACGTCGAGATGTCGTGTGCTTGAGTCGGAACGCCGGCCGAGGAAAGGGAAATGGTAAGCTCCGACTTCTCCACAGGATAGTCACGGCCCTTGCTTGGAGACCAGTGGGGGCGCTAGTCTCTATATCAAGGCGCAGGTTGCGTATGTGGGGAGGAGAATAACACGCGAGACGGGAGCGAAAAAGCAGCGAGCAACAGGCGGACACAACTCGGGGCTGAAAGAGACAAGAAATGAGGTATGATGACGGTGGGTGATGTATGAACGCCTTCCAAGAGGTGGCTGCTGCAGCCTATCCCTCCGCCTATACTATGGCTGCATTCCCCATGTCGTCAGCAAGGGACGGAAGCGGAGCCATGTAATGGCGCCTTCACGATTCGCACGCTTGCCTCCCATTGAGGTCCGATTAAAACCATGATCAAACTCGTCAGCCCACTCAAGTCACTGGCCGCTCGTTGGCCGATACAAGCCACACAATCCTGCCCTTCCCCACATGGCAATCCTTGCAGTTCGAGACCAGGTGCTGATTATTCAGACATCACAAAGCAGTTTCCAATGCCTCCAGGCCTTAAGCGGACAATGATCGCCGCTTGGGGCTTTGCGCTGCCTATCCTCATACAACATTTTGAGGCGCCTCATATGCACATATATCTTGTATAATTCGATACAGGCTTTTGCATATCACGAGGGCGTCTCCGTGGAGACAGGCGCAGTGTGGCTGGCGAGTTTGACGGCGGGATGCGTCGCGTACCAGGTAGTCGCTGTTTTGCGGGGCGCCCGCCCTATTCAACGTTACGACACGTTAGACGCACGCGAAGTATATGAGCTCTTCATTGCGCCTCTATATATTATATATGTCCTATTTTCCGATTCGATCACTTGCATCCAATCTCCGACGTCGTGCTTTCGCGCAAAACGGTGCGCCAGTCGCTTAAGCCTGGTGCCACGATCTTGCCTACATATATGTACGGCGGGTGCATCACGAGGGTTGTGCACAATAATCACTCTGTGACTTGGGCGAGTGGACTGTCTGCAAAGTGGGAAATGCGACCACCACCGGAAGAATGCGTTTCAGTATTAGACGTGCATACATACACGCTGACTGTTAGGACCAAAGATGGACACCTGTGGGCTCTTGGAGTAGGTGCGTCATCGATTTGGAGACACGAACCAACCCCCTGCCCCCAGTTTTGATGTTACGGACTGAACCATGACAGGCCTTCTGGCTGGCCTCGGGGAGCACGGCCCTGGAATCGCTCGATGATTCGAGATAGCTTTCTTTCCTGGTTCGTAATTCCGTTTGTCCTGGGAGGCCGCTCTTCTCCACTCAATCCCTGCATGTCACTCTTACAATATGAGTGGTTGATTTATCCATATTTTTCACCATCTCGTGCTGTAAACTTGACCACTCGTGTATGGCAGCGAACTTCCCAGATGTAGGTTCGAAGCTATCCCCTCGAATCTCAACTGATCCGTTCGCCCGCTGCCGTCGGTTCCAGACACGAGATATGATGTGCATACAAGCCGTGGAAGTTGTATGCGACATTGCCCGAGGCTATACTGACTCGGTACGCGAATAGAAGAGGTGAACGTACCAATAATCACACGCGACGACCGGTCAACCGAACAAGGTTCATGGGTTCTATGGATCGCACGTGTGACGATACCGTGGTACTATATGTCTTCAAGTAACGACTAGGGGCCGCCCGAATACCGCTCGTGATAATTGCACTCAGAAGACTAGGCTCAGTACATCATCGACTAAATCACTTACTTAACTTTACACGACCAATAAAATCGCAAATAAAGAGCGACATGTTTTTTTCTTCTTTATCCGTCACAAAGTGAGGAACATTCTAGCCAGAGCAAACAAGGAAGCAACAGCGACAATGGTCGCAAAAGAAAACAAATATCGATAATGCGTATCATCCCTTTTCTCACTTCAGTTCTCTGTCGCCTTTCTCGGGCCGACCCTGCACGGGTACCGACAAGTGGAAGTCCATTCCGTCTTGGCCATTTCGGCCTCAGCTGCGCCGTGGTAAGAGCCATAGGCTGAGTAGGGGCTAGAAGTGAATCATGTTAGGCTGAGTCTTCGTGGATAGTGAATGAAAGAGCAATGGTGATGGGATTCGGGGTGCATAAGGAAGTAGGGAGGGTGAGAAGAAGGTTACTCATATGATTTGTACCAAGAATCACCCGCAGCCTTCACCTCCTTAGGCACATCGCGCTTTTCGCTGCTAGCGATATTATTCATCATCTCCTTGGACATGCTCATCATATGGCGCCTCGCCATATTCGCGTCCATCTTCTTAGCTTCGGTCTCCACGGCAGCAGAATAAGGAGTGTTCGTCTCGTAGCAAGAATATCCACACTTAGCCATGGATGCCTTCTCTGTCTCAGCCTCAATGGCGGCAGAGTAAGGAGTTTAGGTCTCGTAACAACTGTAGCCTCGCTTGACCATGGCCTCCTTCGCTGCCTCGGCCTCAACTTCAGATGGGTAGGTAGTAGACACCATATTCTGTGTGGCTTTCTACTACTGGCTGTGGAGTGTCGCGCTTCATGTTTGTAGCCTCTAATTTTGGTAGGTGGTTAGAAACGCCCTGACGTAGAATGGGGACGAGTATGAAACGTACCTTGCTGCATCTTGACCGCCTCTGCTCCAATTGCGGCGGAGTGCGGCTCGTAAGAGTAGTATTGGCGATATCCGGCATACTTGGTATAGTCGGTATCCTGAGCCTGATGCATTGAGCTGTCGCTGATCTTGTCGAGCGGCGCAGCTGCCGTCAGAGCTGCAGGACCCACAAGAACAAGTTCGAGATGCATGATGAGAAGTTTTTGTGCGTGGAAGTACCGAATGCGTCAAGGAATCTCTAGGGGGTAACCTTAAGAGAAGGTTAACCTTTTGTATATGTTGTTTTATAGTTAATGTTAAGCACAATTACAATACATGTGTTAATAGTAGTGAACATGGCGTAAGATTTTATGCGTATGCACGTAATATTGTGTTTGCTCGCAACTGGAGTAAGCATGGAAAAGCCGCGGAACAGGTAGCTCGCGGAGGTGCAATGAACTTGTAGTGTCAGGTTGCGCAGATCCGGATTTGATACAGTGATAGTAGCTCAGAGTCCCGTGAAGTCATGGTTCATATGCTTCGAATAGTGTACACCGCGTTCATATTCAGTAAGCAAGGCGTATCTTCCCTGTGAGAACGACTGTTGATTGGACAGTGAACTTTGGGAGATGAGTATAGCTGTGCATCGTTGCTACACAGTCAGTGTCATGCGTCCAGAACAGATCGCAACAACTAAACCAGAGTACAGGATTGCTTGTTGTGAGCCGGGGCCGTGTTTAGTGCGGAACTTCTCTGGATGAGAGCAAGGGCGAGCAAGCCATTTAGCTAAGTCATGCTAGCGTTGACAGAACTTTACGAATATTCTTCAATAGTACCGTACGATAGCGACTAGCAAGACGACTGATGCCTTAATGAAAGTAGTCTGAACATTGTTAGTATCAATTGTGAACATATGATAGGATCTGATACTGTTAGCGGAGTGATGTATATGGCTTTTCGCATCGCACGATTAACGTGTTTGACATATCTGATGGCCATCACAGTGTCACTACTTGTTACATACGGCTGGGATCGTTGTACTGACGCCCCATTCACACCAAAGGTCGTACATGTGAGGTTATGATTACTACAAGGCTCAAAAGGAGGGCCCTTTTATCAATAACGATTACATGGTGCGCTTACACACAGCGCACTGCTTGGATATACTACGGCAGACTCTAATGTTGGGGTACTTGGTTAAGTGTGGTGGCAGGCTGGCACTGAGCCGGACCCAACGCCGTTTGTGGACTTCAACACGAAGCATTCGATGCCGCGGCTATGAGGCAGTTCGAGAGTGGGCGGAAGCGCACCGGCTCCCGCCGGAGACAGAGGTGGACATGAGCCGATCCTACGAGATGTCGAAGCCAGGGAGCTTTATCTTCCCTGAGATCCCATGAGGAGTGTGGAGCTGGGCATGTTAGTGGACTACTCGAGCAGTGTTTTGTCCTCTATAGTAGTATGTCTCATCCCTCATGTGCCCTTTCCGCGATAAGTTGGGCAATATGCGCTGCCATGGCAGATATGTGAGATAACTCGCGCAATAATCTGCTCAGTTCTGGCGAGGCTTGACGACGCCGTCGTGCACGATGTAGTAAACGACTGTACTGTCCGTGTCCACCGAGGCCAACAAGACCCGCTTGGTCGTCCTCCATGGATTGGTAGGGTGTTCTCCTGCTGTGGTTGACGAGTCTGGTACAGGTGGGACCATGCTGATCGCATCGAAGACTTGGGCCAGTCCACGCAGCGTCCATTTCTCATTCAGCCTCGTGGGCAGTATCCATTCGCGCTCAGGCTCTGCCTTGACCTCCAAGCCGCCTGCCTCTCCCTCGGCGCGCGCCTTCCTTTCGCGATCGGCCTTCTTCAGCAATTCGACCTGCTCATCGGGGTGTACGTAAAGGCGTTGCGGGGGAAGCCCAGAGACCAGCGGGCGGGGCAGGGGCTCGTGAGTAGTCGGTGAGTGTGTGTGGACGTGGAGGTCGGACCAATAGTGCTGGTACTGGAGGTTGTGCAGTATCTGGCGGGCGAGCGATATCTCATTCGGAAGGTGGCTTGACCCTGCGGCTGACTCGAGAGCCGTTGATACGAATGTCTGCAGCGGGGCGGGCGCAACGGCATGTTTCATATCTGTTCTTACGGCAAACGTCGTCATGATGGAGGCTGGGCGCGGAGTCGTGCTGGTGGTTTATTGGTGGTGTAAGGTTGCGCACGGCGTCGGGGGGAGAGGAAGCTACTCGGTTGCGGAAGGAGCGAAGATCTTGAAAGACACCCCACCAGTCATATGAGGGCAGCCGAGCAACTATGGGAAGGAGCGACGCGGCGTACGCAGCAGGCAGCACCCATTCTTATAGCTTGCCCATTGTGACTGTTTTCGCGACTCAAGACTCATTCCAATCTTTCAAGGAACGTTCAACACTTGACACCATCATCGACAAGCCGTCATCATGCTCGCAGCAATCTCCATCCCCACACTACTGCTTCTGGCTAGCGTTGCCGTGGCTCAAGAAGAGACACCCTCAGTCGCAACCTCGCCATTCGTCAGTCCCACACCTGAGTCGGAGGCAATCTTCACCATCCAAACCTCTGTTGATCCTGATCCGTGGTCATGTTATATGGACTGCGTTCAACCTCCATGCCCGCCATGTAAGTATGTGTTCTTTGGCGCCACAGACATGATTAACGTTAGTAGGCACCGGTAGCATGATGAGCATCCCGCCTGTTACGGAAACAGATTCTGTTGGTCCTGTTCCCCTTCCTAGCCCAACGGACGTGTCAATACCACCCGTCACAGAGTCTGTCGTCACAACCCCTGTTCCCTTCCCCAGCGCAACGGACGTGTCGATTCCCCCTCAAGAGACGTTCATCTCCAGCGGTGTCATGTCAATTCCGGCTGGCGAGACACCCCTGTCTACTGGCTCTCTTGATACACCCGTAACTAGCCCTTCCTCGAGCGGCAGCTCAGGCGCGAGCGCAACTAGCTCTGGTCTACCAGAGCAAACGACCAACGCTGCCGCGCCCTTGGCCAAGGGCCATGAGTTGCCAATTGTGGCCGCTATTGCTGGCGCTTTGGCTTTTCTGTGAGTATAGAACTTGGAACAGAAAGGCCGGCAGGGCGTTGGGGCTTGTGCAGGTTAGCATGATGTTACCAAAGCCATGAATGCGTTAGGTCACATCGGAGCCACTCCGGTCGGCCAAACTCAACACATTGGAGCAAATCGATCGTTGTGAGGGAAGCATTCGAGTTTATATCTGCTGAAAACGTCGTATAAACGAATACACAACATCAAACACATTTTGCCATCTATCTCGCAAGTCTAACCTTGACGTGTTCGCAGCGACGCCATAAGCTGTGGCGAAGTACGTCTACGCGTATTCGTATCCTGAGAGCGACCTAGCGGGTGGCTTGACGCTGCACGTCAGTGGGTCTGGGGTTGGCAGGAGCCGTTTCGGCGGCAATCTAGGCCACCTCCACCTCCTTCCCATCACGTCGGTGTCAACAACTATAAGGAACCGCACACTCGCAACCATGTCGATGATGATACAACTCCTGCTATCCCTCAAAGCAGGTTTTGCGCCAATACTCATATACCGTCCCAAGTGATATTGGACGGAAAGCAAGGATCTCGCCAAGGCACTGCGCAATTGCCAATCGTACCAGCGTACCAGCCAACCAGCCATCAACCACCTTGGCTGACACGTTGAGCCGCACCCAGGCTTGAACAGGGCGAATTCCCTACAAAACAAACGTCAACGTGCAATTCGCCTTCCGCAATCATGGCTTCTTCGAATAGCAGCGTACCAACGCCAGTGCCGTTCCCTCAGCCCGAAGGCGTTCGCAACCCTAACGCATCGAGTCCTACCGTAGAGTCACCCTCCACAACGACGCGCGAACGAACCTCGACCAACGCCTCGACCGTCTCGAACAGAATTCGCACCGCAACTGGAAAGCTGATGGACGTGAACCCTCCCCCTGGTATGTGGGCAGCCACTGGAACTACGGCCGCCAAAGCACCCTCATTATCAGACATCCGAAAAGGCTCTTTTGGTTCAGAGGGATGGAATGAAGATACACAGCGGAAGAGAGCAAACTCACGAGCGAGCCAGAGCGAGCAGCGGTCGCGCGCTTCTACCAATGCTGCGTCCCCGACAGAGCAAGCTGACCGTCCCTACTTTGGTGGTCAACGCAAGGTCTCGTCAAGCAATGCGTTGAACACAGAGCCTTTTCCTGCTTTGGCTGAGGAGGACACACGACAAGTAGCCGCGTACGATGGATATGACGAGCGCGCCATCACCGGAATAATATCGAAGCACAGTTCCGAGACTGGGACTGAACATCTTGACCATGACAGACCGCGAGAGCCAAAACGAACATCTTCAGGACATGTACGTTTTGACACACTCTGCTTACGTTGTACAACTGTGCTAATAACGAAGTAGTACGCCAACGGCTATGTACCACCTCCGAAACTGCCATGGACGCAGTCGTTCATGATCGGTCTCAAAAGCTTTTGGAAGTGGTTTCTGACACCTGCCGGGTTCCTCATTACACTATACGGTCTGAACGTTGTCGCCTGGGGCGGTATGCTGTTCCTCCTCCTTTGCAACGCCGCACCCGCCATGTGCACACCCACCTGTGACGACATAAATTCCCCGCGCCGGAAGTGGGTCGAGTACGACTCGCAAATCTTAAACGCACTCTTCTGCGTAACAGGATTTGGTCTCGCACCTTGGCGGTTCCGCGATCTATACTTTTGGGCATGCTGGAGAATCGGCGGATCGAAGCGCACAGAGATGGGTATCCGTCGCCTGGCTGGTATACACCGAGGATGGTTTCGGCTCCCAGGTTCAGATCAGTTGCCTGACGAAGCAGATGCAACCGTTGTCGATCCCGAAGATCCAGCCGTACCAATACCCGTCAGTGCGATCCCAGATCCACCGCCCACGGCGATTCGCGCCCCACCCACTAAGAGCTGGAAGATGGATTTCGTCATCTGGAACAATGTATGGAACACTTTTTTCCAGATTGTTCTGTGCTTCTATATGTGGCACTACAACCGAATTGAGAGGCCATCATGGGCTACTGGCCTCTTCGTTGCGCTAGGCTGCATAGTGGCAGGCGTTGCAGGCATCATGATGTGGCACGAAGGCAAGAACGTTAAGAAAGTTGAAGGCGTGCCCATGCGTAGGGATTATGGGGGCCAGCGAGACGATACCGAAGCGCAGAACATTCCACTTGTGACTACAGGTGTGGCGACGAAATCCTGAGAAATTTGCCCAGCTTCTTGCGTTGCATCGACAGAGTCGTTGAAAACGCTCATTGGAGCGGGACTTTGCTCTTTCGTTCTTGGCGTTTGATTAGTGTGGCGTTGCGTTGAACACACAACTTGGTAGACGAGATACCCCAACAGCCCACGGGCACTACATTTACTACTGTCTAATAGCGTACCCATAAGTTTCTTCCGAGTCAAAGTTTCTCCATTGTTTTTCTATCACGTCAGCTTTACATCGCACAACCGAAGGTCCCGGACGTTTCCCTCCGGATTTTGCCTTGGATCTGCCTTCTGTGAGCCTCGCGTTGACAAGCTTGCCGAGCTCCCCGGACAGGCCGAGCTGCATACTAAGCAATCCCGAAGCAGATCCGTTGATCAAATGACGTATCAACGCCGTGTTATGTATGCACTGGTGACAGTTGCACGCGCTCTTGGTATTTATTTAGCCAAGGCCTTGTGATCTTACTATCTCTTACGGTATCGCACCATCTTCTACAACATTCACTCCTGATATTCTGTCGTACCTTTATTGCTACATCTCGACAGTAAGAAGCTTCTTCGCAAACAACCTCGACAGTCAAAAGAGATGGCGGCTCGAGAATACTATCTCGGCACGCAAGCTGCACATGAACTGCCAGGCAGCCACCCACCAAACCCATGTTCATCTCAGCCACAAAAGCCGCCACTGTATCAGCAACCACCCGCGCAACAACATCCGCAAGCAAATGTCCATAATCCCACATATGCGAATACGCCGCCACCATCATACTCAGCATACCCTCAACAACCGCCGCAACAACCTCATGGTTACCCGCCTCAACAACAATACCAGCCTTATCCTGAGAAGAACAACGCTCAAGCGATGACAGCGCCATATCCGCAAACACCACCAGCAGGCTACTACCCCCCTCAACAACCGATGCCACAACCGCAACAAGCACCGCCCCAAAACAACGGCTACCTAGGCGCGCCACTCCAACATTACAGAAGTCACTCGCAACCCGCCCGCGTCCGCTTCGCAGACCAAGATTCGGATCGCAGCACAAGTCTAGGCTCCATGTCAGATTCCGACGACTACTCACCACCCCGCCACAGCAGTAGCAGACACCACGGTCGACATCGCAGCCACTCCACCCGCGACTACGATTCCGACCGTGACCGCGACCGCGACACCCGTCGACACAAGCCTAGGAAATCTCACTCGTATGACAAAACACACGAAGAGAAGCACAAGAACAGGGATACTTTCCTCGGCGCTGGTGCGGGCACCATTATCGGGGATGCCATTTTCCCTGGTTTGGGCACTGCGGCGGGGTTGGTGCTGGGGGGTTATGGAGGCAGAAAGTATGCTGATACGAGGAGTAAGAGTGATTATGATGGAAGGAGTAAGGAGAAGAGAAGTCATGGGGGTAGTAGGAGGTTGGGGGATGATGGGTGGGATGAGAAGACTAGGACGTATCGGAAGGGTGCTGCTGTGAGATGATGATCATGTTTTAACGTTTTGGCTACGATATAACGACGTCCGTTCCTTTTCTTTCTACAGTTGACGAATACACGGATGCGATGGTATACGGATGTTTTGGTTGGCTCGCTGGCTGCTGGACAGCAGGGTCCTAGCCATTAGTATAATGATTATTCAACTTCTCTCTTCACTCTTGTTTGCTCCTTGTATCGCGCGTAATAAACATTATTGATTCGGCATGTTCGTCTTCAACCGCTCGAGAGCGATAGCGCTACATGTCCATCCACCTATCCCTATATGTGTGGCGCACGTCTTCAATCGTCCTTGCGATAGCGTTGCAACCGTGCTCTTATATCCTGTCCTCCATCTTACGTGAATGTATGTCTTCGACCGACCATGCGGTAGCATTCCATCCTCCACTTTACTTTTACATGGACGTATGTCTTCAACCGATCTTGCGGTAGCATGCCATCCTAAACCCTTTGGTACAAATACATAATGAAAATGTAATGGATGTACGTCTTCAACCGCATTGTGCGGTAGCGTCACACCCTACTCTTTACATCTACCCCCAAGTCCCTAGAGAAATCTTCTAGTAAATGCCGGGAATAATCCTCCACGGTACGAGCTCAACATAACGGTCCCAGTCCTTGCCGTACTTCCTGCGGCACTTCTCCTCGTCGCGGCGCTCACGGTGAACGAGCAAGATGGCGAAGTACACCATGAAAAAGTAAGTGAAGATCATGCCCCAGCCCTTAGCCTCACCAGGCACTGCGTACTTGCCGTAGCTATTCTGAAAGAAGTACGCATCGGTTTGGGTCGCAGTGATGGGAGACTGAGCAGCGTTCTTGATGAGGTAACCGGACATGGCAGTGGGTAGGACGTAGCTCCAGCTCATAAACCAGTCACCGAGGTAGTTGATATGACGCGCCATACCCCACCAGCCACTGACAAGGAGTCTGGAACCAGCAGCAGTCTCGATGTACTTGAGGTGCTTGACACGGGGGTCCTCGGGGTTGGTCCTGAAACGGTTCTTCTCGTTGTTTACGGAGCGGAAGATGTAGTATCCAATACCCTGGACAGCCAGCACGCCAATGACACCAGTGGGACCGAGATCGACTGGGTAGATAGATAGGTAGCGAGTCTGGATGGAGTAGGTGAAGGGAACCCAAACAAGGTCGCCGAAGGAAAGCATCATACCAAAGCCATCAGCGATAAGGTCGATGGTGGTAAGGATGGCGGGTTCCATGTAAAGCGCGTCGAAGATGTAGACGGTATGGGCGACAGTGACGAGAATGATGCTGTCAGTAACGCGGCCAAAGTTACGGTACTGCTGCATGATGAAAGCGAGGTCGAGGATGACCCATCCGAGCATACCAGGGCGAAGCTCACACCAGGCCTTGATGTCTACTTCCCCAAAGATGGGCAAGTTGACGCGGGGGTTCAGCTCACGTCCAATGAACCAGTCGTAAAGCATGTTGCCAGTACGGCCACCAGCAGCAAGCTCGCGCATGTTAGGATCCTTGGGGTGCTTGACGCTGAAGGAAGCGACGTAGCAGTAAGTGGCCAAAAAGTAGGAGATGAGTATGTTGCTCGTCAGGATGCCAACGTAGTTGTCAGTGATAAAGGTCCAGACGGGAAACTCAGCACCTTGGGAGATGGTGCCAGCGGCGAGAAGAGTCATGATGAAAAGGGCTGAGTTCCAGGCTATATCACGTTAGCTTTGAGAGGGGGATTATTTCCATGGGAACAACATACCATTGAACCTGTACATGAGCCTTCCGCCGCTCCTAAGCTCTGTTCCCTCAACTTCCTGACCAGGAAGAAATCGATAGAGAGCTAGACTCAAGAAGTAGTAACCCAAAGTACCAAGGAAAGCTTGGGTGTTAAGCAGACCTGAGAATCCAGTCCATCCTACCTCCTTCTTCAGCTGCTCGAGGCTGAAGCTGTAAGGGTGGAGTAGAACAGGCGCTGGGCACCCAGAGATGTCATTGCACAAGAATGTGAAGACGTAGACCAAGACTGGAAGGCCGAAGGAGATGACGAAAGCTCCAGGACTTGAATGAGGTTAGCGCCGTGATCGTGAGGAGTCGCAGGACGCGTAGATGGACTTACGGTCCTAGAAACTCATAGCCATGAGGTTCCTCAGCCATGGACTTGGTCGCTTTGTCGCTCTTCGTTTTCGACATGTTTCTGATTACGCCCCGTCGCGTTGTCTCGGGCTATATCCGCAAAGTAAGCTCGCTCGACGAATAGGGGTCCGGTCGCGTCTTCACAACAAAGGTTCCTTCTTGTAACTTTTTGTCTTCACCGATGATGATTGTCGCGCCGCCTGAACCAAAGACGACTACAGATGCAGTGTCCTATATAGCAATGATTGAGGCTGAGCACATCAGACGATGGAAAAGATGTCGGAATCCATTGCATCCGTAATGACGCGCACACGCCGCCTTGGCCGCCCTAGCCACTTTGGGCCTTACCGCCCGGGGTCCTGCCGCTGCAAGGCACTCAGACATGGGGTGCGGCGCCGGAAGCCAACGTGTTGCGAAGATGAACAATCGTATCATCTCCACCCTCACCGTTACCACGCCTTGACCCTCGCATTGCGTAGTGTGCAGATCAACTACGCGATGATATCTCTAATCTACTCCCTCCTGCTATTAGCAGCCTCGGGCTCATTCGCAGCGGCCGCCTCGGACAAACAGCTCAAGCCATGTACCGTCATCTCGCCCACATCCGAGCGCTTCTTCGATCTGAACCCTATGCGGCGCCTTCCGCCATCGGAAGCAGATGGCAAGAAAAGTAGCAAAAAGGAGAGCGAAGAAGGCAGCTGGCATGCTAAGGGTTACGACTACAATGCCAACTTCACAATCAACTTCTGCGGACCAGTGGTGGAAGAGTTGGATAAGGTGCAAGATCTAGACAAGGGACTGTGGGGGAACGTCAGTGCATTCTATGAGAGAGGAGATAAGCAATGGGCGATAGGGTGAGTCTACATCCTATACAGTGGGGAAACATGGAGGGGTCCAAGTCAATATGCTTGATTGCGACCAGGCAGAAGGATACATTGAGGCGCAATGCTAACAAGTTACCACTCTTAGTCTCGAGAACTCTGAACCTATCTTCCGCGGTCGCAAGCTCATTTTAAACTACACTGGTGGTTCGCTCTGCCCCTCCTTGTCGTCAAAATCCAAGCGCACGCTCGAACCTACTTCCCTCGATACCCGCGAGATCATCGATGGCGACGACGGTGACGATAAAGATGACGGAGACAAGAAGAAGAAACCTTCCAAAGACACGGAGCGTCGCAAGACAACCATCATCTCTCTGCTTTGCGACAACGATCCGCTTGCGAAAACCAGTGTATCCTTTGTCGCTGCAGTAGACGACTGCTCGTACTTCTTTGAGGGTCGCTCACCCTTCGCATGCGGCGGTGTACATCAGGACACTCAGGCACTAGGCCCCGGTGGTGTCTTCGGTGTCATCGTATTGATTGCTGTACTCGTATACTTCGCTGGTGGTTGCGTCTACCAGCGCACAGTCATGCACCAGCGCGGATGGAGACAGCTGCCCAACTACGCCATGTGGGCGGGCATCTGGCGCTTCTTCTCTGTAAGTCTACTCCGATGTTGCCGTAGAAGGAGTAGTAGTAGCGCCCGGTGGTGATGATGGATCCACAAATGTCTTGTTGGTGTTGCTGACATCGTGAAGGATATGTTCATCATTCTTACTTCGTCGTGTGCGCGCTTCATGCCTTCCCGCCGGGGCTACAGTCGCGTCTCGCTCGGCCAGGATAGCGGGCGGAGGGGGCGCAGGAATGAAGATGAGGATAGGTTAATAGACAACCTGGATGAGGAGTGGGATGATTAGACGCGCCAGTACGGCATAACGACGCGGCGTTTGGGGTTTGGTTATGGACCATCAGTCGCTCAGGAGCGCATAAACACTAGGCTAGTAGGCTCTGGTCTGAATGTATAACATATCGCATACACTGCTTGGGTTCACATTCACAAGTGCACAGGTCTGTAGAGTGACTAGTAGAGAGATGCATTGGTAGCGGACTACCATGAGACGCTCGTGCCTCAAACGATCACCAGGCGAAGAAGACTCCCCAGCACTTCCCGCACGTGCTCGCATGTCGTAAACGTGAAGCCCATCAGATCAACTCGTCGCTAGATGAACTGATACCCATTTCGAACGCCCGCTTAAGGAATCAACTAACGCCAGGGGTATAATGCAGCGGATTATGGGACAGTGGAGTTTTCAATAGCTGAGATATCGCTGTCCCGCATAGGTCGGGAGAAGATCTATATCTCCTCCCCCATGTCGTCCTCAATTATGACATGTAAATCAGCATGTTTCATGCCCGTGTTGCCCTTCTTCTGAACAGATGGCTCGGTGTGCGTCGGATCTGTCCCATCGACGTCATCCTCGATGGACTCGTGCGTAGAGTCAAAGATGTCATGATTATCTTCCACATCGATATCGATGCACTCTTTTGTTTGACTGTCTGCACCGTTCATCTTCGCAGCCTCCTCTGGTGTGATTTCTCCATTGACAATCGGCTCAAACTGCGCATCAACGCCCTCCAAGATCCCTCTGACCTCTGATCTGAGCTCGCTCTCTTCCTTCGACTGCAAACAGACGGGCTGGTTACCAGCCAAACCACCAAACACCCGCGTGTAATCCCTGTTCATAAGAACAAAGATCTCGTCGGCTTTGGCCTCCATGGACTCTTGCAGTACTTTACATAGGTCGTCGAGATGCTTAACGACGGTTTTGATTGCTTCGTGAAACATCCTGTGTCGCTCCTGCTCAACATGATTTATCATGTGCTCTTTCATACGCTTGTACGATCCTGGGCCACTCTCCTCAGTGCACACGTCATAGGCGGTGTGCATGATCTTCGCGATACAGGGTGTAAAATCGCGGTTTGCGTTGCGCTGGAGCTCGTTCATCTGAGTGAAAAGGGTAGCCCCAAGATCTTTAAAGAGCTGTGTATAATTGCAGATTTGTGTTTTCAAGATCGAGAGACTCGCCAGAGTGACACTGTTGGTTTTCGCACGCTCTTCGATGGCTTCATGAAACCCATGAAGAAGTGTGCTTGAGTTGTCAATATACGTGTCGACGGCCTTCGGGAGACGTGTCTGGAAGGCTCGCTCCCAACCTGTTGCCAATTTTTTCTTGATAGGGTCCAGAAGATCAGCGTTGAAGTCACGATGACCGGCCACTGCAGAGTGGTAGACACCGTCGCGTCGAACAACAGCTTTGTATGATGACCACGCGAGACCCCCTTGATCCTTGTGACCCCAAGCATGTGCTGTTGTTGGCGCAGTTTGTATGGCTTCATTGACGAGCTCTGGACACCTGTCAAAAATTTGAGACTTCATCTCCGATCGCATCTCTCTGATACAGGCACGGATTGCCGACTCCGACCCGGCAGTCAACTCACTTAGTCGCCGCTGTAAGTAGCTGATCTGTTTTTGCTTGTCCTCACTCGTCATCTTCACACCTGTTCCGTCATTCGACGTCCAGAGACTGAAAGTATTCAATATCTGGCATATGCTTGTCAAGAATGCGCGGCTGGTCTGTATACGTCCGCCTTCAGTAAGCTTCCTGCAATGATCTTGAAGCTGCGGGATTTCCGTGTCCTCTGGAGTGACAAAACCGGGCACTCCATCATCTTTCTGCATGCGGCCGCACATCTTCTGGTACGCTCGGCTACTGACACAGAAGACTGGTAGCGACCTAGCAACCTGGTCGTAGTCGCGCATTTCTTCGTCAGGGTTGAAATTATCCTCGTCTTCCTCGGCGGCATTTTCTTGGTCGATCTCCTTGATACCCGCAGCGAAGTCTTGCTGAATAGCAGACTTGGAGTAATGGTTTCTGCCTGCAATACAGATGCGGTTGATGTTCGTTTTGATATTGTCCTTTTTTGCTTCTAGTTCGCGAACCTGGGGTTTCAACTCGTCGATAGAGTGCTTGATCTGGATTCCTTCACGTCTAGCGTTCTTCTTCGTTTCTCTTAGCTCTTTGAGCTTTCCCTTGATATCCGCCTCGGATAAACGTGTCCTTTTGGCCTGGAATGTCACTTCAGTGTCACTCTCAGACTCGTCATCATCAGAGTCTTGAAAATTGTCGTCCGTATCGTCATCGAAATCCTGTTTCTTCTTACGTGGCTGCATGCTCGAGCCTGCCTTCTTGCGTTTGTGGGTCTTCGGTAGCGGTGCAAACGCTGGCTTCCCCTCATCCAATTGCTCCTGGAGTGTTTCCCAGATTTCTATGTCCTCACTTACGCTTGACATTGCAATTTTGTAGACCTCCCGCGATTCGTTCAGGTCTTCAATCTTGCGCCGAATTTGCTTAATCTGCTCATTGCATTGTTCCTGGTGTTCCTCAAACTCTGCGACCTTCTCTTCAAGCCCAAGACTGTCAATCGCCTCAGTGATGGAGATGTCGTCAGTTTTCGAACAGATGAACGTGACGCTTGAAAAGCCACCATCATATTTGAGCTGCCGTTTGAAAGAGTCACCGAGAAGGGTCTTTGCAGCCTTATCGTCCACGGCCCGATTGATGGGAGCAACGATCCACAGGCCAGTACATTGCTTCATGTATCCCTGAGCAACAGCAGCTCTGGCGGCGTTGCTGTCATGGACACCTGGCAAATCCACAATGACGGCGCCTGTTGATAGGGCATGACTCTTCGTGTAGATCTTCACAACCTTGATTAATGGCCAGTACTCCACCTGAAAAGCTGGCTTGGATGCCTTTTTCTTGTTCTCGTCTTTCTTGGAGGCCTTTTCTTTACTATCAACATAACGTTGGAGCTCTTGGTAGAAGTATTGCGGTCGAGCTGCGCTAATCCTCTTCGTGGTCCCGAGCACTTCGGCGACAGATCTTATGGACATGAGCGAAGGAACATCGCACTCGCCTAAAGCGTCTTTGGAGATCGAAGGATAGACAGAATGAAACTTCGCCCATGCTATGCCAGCATCGGAATTGGGATCTTGCGCTTCACGCGAAAGTGTACCATTCTCGGAAAGAAACTCGCGCAAGAGGGCGGTAAGCTCCATCTCCCAGTCCACTTGGCTGATAAACTCAATCTCGGCACGATACTTGGAAGACGGGTCGGTGCTGCTGTTCCAAGAGATTTCAGTGACCACCGCAGTGCAAGCGCGCATGCAGTTAGTCGGGACAAGACGCTCTTCGTCAAGCATAGCGTTGATGACACTGCTTTTTCCAGCTCCTGTATTACCCACCACGCCAACCACGGTGCGCTTTCGCTCGGACCGAGGAAGGAGCTTCTCAATCGCTTGTACCCATGACGCAGCATCCGCGTTAAACGCTGAGTATTGCAAGAATTTCTCGTTCAAACACCCCATGATTTTGAGGGACATGGAAACAGCAGCCTCAAGAATGTTAGGATCTTGCAGCTCGATGACTGAGCGAATGCATCGGTCAATAGAACCTAGCTCTTTTCGAATACTCAATTCTGGGGAGACCTCCCTGTTGAATATCTTGTTGGGGTCAAAGCTACTTTCCGGCTCAACATCACCACTCTGGAAAACAGATGTATCTTGGAAAGGGGTAGGAGACTGTCTCTCTTCCTTGACGTGAGAGGCTTCTGTGTCTCTCTGCGTATTATCGCTCATTGCGCTCAAACGCCCCCTCAAACGTTCAATCTCAGTAGTTGGTGTTTCGCTGTCTATGTCTGGAACAATGGTCTGCAGGGAGCTTGTCTCGCGGAATGCGTTCGCTGAAAGACGCGGTGTGCTTGTTCCATTCGTAGATCGCTGCGATGGTTGATGGAACTCGTCTTGAAGAGGTTGCAGAGCAGGAGGTCGTGATTGGTACCATGACGGGTGTCTGACCGCCTCTTGTGCAGGCGAGATGCTACTCAGTGTACTGGCATACCTTGGTGTCACTGGTGGAACATTATTTGATATGGACGGGGTTGCTGAACGGCCTGATGCGCTTTGGGACGAGATGAAGGGAGCCGTGAGGCTTTCAGGTAGTGGATCTCTTCCCATTGTTCTAAGACCGGCATGATTGTGTGTTGTTTGCGTGACGTAACCACTAGACGCAGCCTCCTGCCTCGCAACACCGGCTTGCATCAACTGTTCCTCGAATGTTGGTAATTCGCGTGTCTGATGCTGCACCATTGCTTTCAATGGGCCTAAAGCAACAAAGACTACCAGATCGTCACCCGGCAGCAAGAATGACTTGACGACGTCGCTCTGATCGACCATACGACCCTTGAAGCTAATGCGAATGTCTGTAAGCTCATGCCGCTGTTCGTAAGTTTCCTGTATCTTTTGCATGGAGATTTTCTGAGAACATGTCAGCGAACCTGTGAACACATGCGCGTGAAATGAAACTTACGCTGTGACCGATCATCCATATGAAATCGGCTTCCTCGAAGTTATCATCAGTGGACTTGCGGTGATCGAGTACGCCAATCCAGCACCGGCGTGCTTTGAGTTCTTGTTTAGGAACCACATGTCTGGCCCGTCGCTGGAATTCATCCCAGTCCATTTCTAAAAAGCAATCATGGACGAAGTGCTGTGGTGGTGTATTATTGACGTACGCGGAAGCGGGCTTGACGCGTTAGGCAGTAGCTAAATGCAGGAGCGTGCAGGATGTGGAATAGTGCTAGTGGGGGTTGTAAAAGAGTGAAGCGACAAGAATGGACGCATTGGCCAGCTTACCACCGTTAGTGCGTATCACGGTGAAGGGGAGATACGCTGTGATGCAGGTAACGAACGGCGGTTCGCCGAATGGAAACAGTGGGGCAATCGCGCCAGAACACGCTAGAGTCGCGCTAGCACATGATGCGCCACGCTAGAGTCGCGCTCCGTCTGATCTCTTACTTCCTTTATCGTACGACGTCACCACGTCGATTGCTGCACGAAGCGGGTTCGCGCTCTATCGGCGCAAGCGTTCTTGTATACCCCATGTTTTCGTTTTCTGCACAATTTCATTGCGGGTTTCCACGATCATCGCCTACAGCTCGTCGGACGCGCGGTCACCTACAGCACGATCGAGGATTCGACACGACGTGATTTGAAGCCGTTCGCAGCACTGTGGTTACCAAAGGTCTCATCTGGATTAGTCGTAATGGTACCGACCTTTTCATGCGTCCATTCAGATTTAGGATGAACGCGCTAATGTTCAGCGGCTCTACTGAATGATCCATCAGCTACATGACACGCCCCATCATTCCGTACGCTAAACAGGATGGTAGCTAGCTGGGCCGCCCGCCTCTCAGCGTGTATATAAAGTGGCTTTCGTTCCGTTTATCTTCTTCGCCTCGCGAAGATACTATGTTTCGGAGTTTCATTTTGAAAAAGCGTTAATCAATATGGTAATTCTCCACGTCGACATCCGCGGACTTCATAGTGACCAAGATCCTTTCGCGATCAATCACGGACGCTCTCTACGCCTCTTCTCGAACTTACAGGCACAATGTGTTGTTTTGGCATTGTTCTAGCTTCTGCACCCTCCTTCCCCAGTCATTACCCATGTCGCTTATCTATCTCGTCGCTTTGTGTCATTGTGTTACAGTGGACTCTCCACAATGGGCCTGCCCCCGATATGCGTACTTCGCTAGATTCTCTAGAATACAGGTGGGCAAGCACCAATCCCGCATCTGCAAACCATGGCGGAACACGCGCCGTTGCGACAGAAACGCGTCGCCCCAGTGATCAGTACCGGCATCAATGGACTCATCGCAGCATGCAACAGAAACGACCGCTTCAAGCTCCTAGAGGACAATAGTATCTTGTCCGGAAACTTAGATAACTCGGTTCATCCCACTTTCCGTTGGTTTGACAGTGAAGGGCCTATGCGCCAAATGCTCCAGCTAGCCTCCCATTTTATCAGCCATGACACTCTCCTCACTTTCTTCGTACCGCTGTTGTATGGACGCGAATTAACCGGCATCGTCGGCCATGTAAGGAAGACCTATCTCTCAGACCCTCTGGCGAGTGTGTCTGAAGAGAAACGCGGTCAATATCTGGCCAGAGTCCGTGAGGTTTTGCATTGCATCGGACATAACATCTCTTTCCAATTCCGACCGCCTGCGAAGCGAGTATATGCCCGTACTGTGCGCGATGCTGCAAAACCGAGCCATCCCACGTCATGTTGTCCGGCGTTCCAGCGCCGATATTCTTGTAAGATTGAGTTGGTGGACTATTTTCGCGATTATTATTCCACAGGTAAGTATCAAACAGCATCGCTATGTGCGCAATTTCGGCACGATTTCCTCTTCGCTGCAACCCTTGTGCACGAGATGGTCCATGCTATAGGTGTATTGCGACGAGGCAATTTGAACGAGCCACATATTCGAGCTGACTGTCCAGAAACGGAGTGGGGCTATGGCTGGGAACATTTCATGTTTGGTAGCGTCATTAACCCTCAGGACAAGACGACACCAGGCACGCACCTCCTCATGCGCAAGATTTGGGCAGACCAAACCTTGGCCGACAAGGCTGGAGGCAAGGAGTACTGCGATGTTCCCATGTCCTACGTAGCGCAATGGTTTCGCAAAGAGACATGGTGCATTATTGCGGAGCAAGGGCCAACTGCCATCGCAGCCCCGACAACTCACTTTAAAATCCATTTGTCGAACCAATATGGAGCCTGGATTGTGGCAAGCGATCATCCAGAGATACAGAATGACCTGGAAATCCTGCACTCTCAGTGGATGCGACATGCTAGAGGATCAGGTTCGCAGTCAGGTTCGCCACCACCACCGGCCGCTCGTTTGTGGTCTTCCAAGATTCTCTGGAAGCCTACAAACACAGCACAATTGCAAAGAGATAACGTGCCTGTTCCGCTACGCCCATCACCAAAATCTCAAACTGGTTCGATTCGTGTGCATAAACGTACTCAGACCACGCAAGCGTGCTACAAGTCGATGAAGGCACTACTTGAAGTCAAACGAGAATCAGTTGATTTCTGCCGCTCAACCATTTCCAATAGCTACTGCATGTCTCGAAAACGCCGTGCAAAATCACGGGAGGAATGTACCCGCGTGAACAAAGCCAGAAAGTGATGAGCAGCAGTAGCACTCTCGGATATTGAAAGACATGTTTCAACAGACGCGAGCTCCTCACAGTTGTTGAAGCCTGGGCTTCATGTGCTGCAAATTAGCAGGACCAACTAAGGCTGTAAAGATGGATTAGTCGTGTAAGCTCATTGGCTTAGACGTATCCGGACGTGTCGCTCAAACTAACCACATCACAAGTTACGTAGCATATTACAAAGTTCCAGCCAGCGCGAGACTGCATGGCGATTCATCGAATTCACGGGCACAGTCTTACAAGTGTTTCTCTCACCCTGTAGACGTTCCTGCAACATTTCGATGTAAGATCCTCCAACTCGGTCCCTACTACACGTCCTACCTAGCAAAGTCTCCTCCCAGAACCGCAATCGTCAGCGAATGAGAACGCCCACAAATCAGCAACTTTTCACTCGTGAGATATACATGGATAAGCTGACATCCGTCGCGATATGCTCAGCAACAGGTCCTTGTCCCATATGTCAAGAAGAATATACAGGAATAAACCACGCGTCAGTGCTACTCCGTCTTTGCAGCCACATCTTCGGCAAGCTGTGTATATCGAAGTGGTTCGAAGAAGGTGTGAATACGTGTCCGCTTGATAGGGACAAACTCTTGACGTCAAGAACAGATCTGGAAGGAACCCGGATGTGCTCTCTCGTTCCATTCGGCGATCTGTCAAACCGAAGAGGTGGAGTTTTGGATAGAACACCTGAGGTAATGCAGCGCATGCATCAGATGTAAGACCATTGTATGTTCTTCGGTGGCGAGATCACCAGCGCAAATGGTCGACTGACCCCGGAGGGCTTCCTTCGCGTCGTCCGTAATCTCTGGTATCGCAATGGTCGTCTTTACCACCGACTTCGTGATCATGCTGACAATCTCGACCCACTTTCAGTCAGTGAGGACGTACTCAGAGGGCCGATACATGATGTGCTGCCTCGAGGTATTGAGATGGAGGACAGGGCTTGGCCGCTGCTCTTCAGTATATCGAGGACTATGCTCGCTTGGAAAAAAACGGCTTGGGAGCAGAGGTGGGAGGCGATGATGCCGAGAGAGAATACGGGAGGCCGAGGAGGAAGCTTTGGAACGCATGTGGTGGTACTCACGAAGGGATCGGATTTGAAGACAGATATCCAATGGGGAAGTATCAGATATCGTGTAAAGTGACTAGTATCACAAAGTGCTTGGTACGCGCGATGTTAAGGTACAAAGTAAGCTGCTAGTGTCTGTCTGGCCTTGTTTGACTTGTAGCGTCGTATCGGCATGTTCCCTAGTACACTATCAGATGCTCGCGCCGCAAGCTTTCGACGTTGTGTTCTACGGTTGACTGTGGCGGAAAAGGCTCCGAGCGACCGACAGCACTTTCTGCATGCCCATCGACTTGACTAGGTATCAAGACATTAGAAGACTGGCGAGTTGCGTTTGGATAGATTCCAGAGTACAAAGAAGACACGGCACCCAAGTTCAATTGATGCCTTGCTCACGTGGTGCGCTGTCTGTGGCAAGTCCATTATCGCATGATGAGGTTGGTGCCGTGCTGAGGTTTCCATCGAAGCTACGGAATTTCTGGAACACCAGCATTGGGCACGGGCTCCTTACCTTCGCCGTCACCATCTTACTCCGCACTTTTTGCATGAAACTTATCCAGCTGCCCAAAACCCAAAACCCAAAACCATTCGCCACAGGTTGCTGTTCAGAAGACGCTGTTAATTGATTCAAAAGCATTCACTTGCACTACTTGCGCTGCGCAGGCGCCACAAGTGCTATCCGAATCCGGCCACAGCCCGGTCAAAATCCTCACCGCTGGTGCTTCTTGGTCGAGCGACAATAGCAAAGCTTGAACAATTACACCACCTTATTGAACAGCACTTATCTCACACTCACCTTGGTCATCAACATCCGCAGTAGCCCGGGTAGTCGTATGTCTCGCACAGTCAACGCTCTTTCTTATTGTCAACTCAAACCACAACAGCTTTCAACACACCTTACAATCATGACATCCAACTCGGATATTCTATATAATCCAGCGGATTACGCAACGCCAAATCCATTGCTTCCTGAGGAAGTGTTCGGCCATGTCGATCTTGGAACCTTAGCAGACATTCACCGGTACCTTTGCGAGAGCGAGTTGCAAGAAGACGTTGAGCTCGCTACATGGACGTGGGAGAATTATCTCAACGGCCTTTGGAAAGGTTCGCTAACAGCGGAGATCCGTACTGCCCAAGCATTCAGCAAGTTGGACAGAGCCTATCGCAGGGTGCGATCTCTCACCAACAAAGCCCAGGACAAGTGGCCATTCTTCGACAGGAACTTCAAGCAAATGTCATCAGCTACGGTTCGAAACAATGCGCGCGGTGAAGCCGCTCCCGGCATCATGTATCCAATTGACGGATTGCAGAGAAAATCACACCTGACTGGTCAGCCACCCAACGGGTCCATCACGCCTGATGGTGAGTCAAATCTCTTCAGCATCTGCTTGTATATGCTAACGTCTATCTACAGCCTCTGCTGGACCAGAGCTTCAAGTACCTTTTGGCACCAACAGGCCTAGCCGCTACCAACCATACGTGCAGAGTTACCCACGCCCGACACGGCAGACTCCTGTACCCCTTCCGCCTAATCTTCCTGCGAAGTCTTCTGAACCACCAAACTATGAGAAGCGATCTGTGCTGTCAGAAGAGCCTCCGTTTTCGATAGCCTCTTCACAAAACATCCCCAAGGACACAGGTACGTTTACTACTAGACCACTGCCTGATTTACCCAATCTCACTAGAGAGCCTCGACTCGCCCTGTCACCTCTTGGGCTCACTGCAGGTTATTTCTAATGTACGGTGCTGACAATAAAACGCAAGATTTTTTCTCAGAGCCAGAAGGCCAAGCAAAGCCTCAGTCCGACGTAACCCAAATTGGAGGCGGGCTTCATCAGGATATGTCACGAAACGAACTAGTCGCTTCTCCCTCAACAACTGTAGGCGATACCGTGTCGCGCCGCCCTAGCTCAAAGCCTATTGCAGACCCTGAAGTAGAGCCACCAGTACAAGATGCGGGCGCCGGTAAGGTCCGCGGCCCAAATGGACGCTACCTACCTAGAGACGATATCAACCCCGGATCCAAGAAGACGAAGAAGCCAAAAAAGGGATTCCAGTCCCGTAAGAGCATGAGGAATGCCGAGAAAATAGAATCTTCTGTGCCGAAGGCCATCTCTGGAGAACCTGAAGCTGCGCCAGCCGAAGATGAAGATTTTTCTGCAGGTGTTCAGTCATCTTCACCTCCAGCGCTTGGCCAGGAAGCTGAGGAGCAGAATGGAGTTGAGGAAGAGGCCAACATGCTTCCAGTCACTAGTATCGTGGTGCCTCCCGCAACTGATGCCGTCGCGCGTTCCACGACCATCCATGAGCCAGAGGTCAGGGAAGAGGAAGCAGCTTCCGATCCGGGGCCTGTCCCTGCATATCTTCTTGCTGCTGAAGCTGATGCAGTCCTATCAAACCTAGACAGGCTACCACCAAATTCAAGGAAGTCCAACAAGCGAAAGAGCGAGCCAGTCGTCCAGTCAGGGGACCGCAAGCGGGGTAAGCATGGCGGCATAGTCGGCCGCCCAAGGAAATCCGAACAGTGCAGAGGCCAAAATTCCCATCAAGAACCAGTTCCGCCACAGAAAGAGGCCGCTCTCGACGCTGGTGAGGCACCACAAATGACAACGCGTCGAGCCACCCGACAAGCGGCGGCAGCAAAGCCGCAAACTGACGTACCGGTTGAACGACACACTTATATATCGAAAGGGTCGCCAATGTTAACATCAAATCCAGGGGAACAGTCCGCCAGGGATGAAGACGAGGTGATGGGTGGAGTCGGGGATGATGCGCCTGCTACTCATGAAAAGAGTTTTGCGCCCACTCCAGATGCTATGGAAGTTCACGCCACACCTTCATCCACTTTGGAGGGATTTTCACTACCGCCGCAAACCTCAAATAACCATCTGCTGAGTGTTGGCCTGGATATGACTAGGCCTTTCGCTCTTCCTCAGCCGGGCTCGCGCCCACAACCATATCAGTCTCCTTATCAGCCTATACCATCGCCACCGCCATCTGCATCCGTCGCAAAGGAAGCAATGAATAACGGAGCAGTATCCGTATACCTACCTGGACATGTGGAGTACTTCGCTCGCATCAGAACAGGTAACGGTGATACCATGGACTTGACCATTGAGGAAGACCAGCTCGAGAGCAACGAAGTTAAGATGATCAGGAAATATGCGAAGTACAATGCTGAACCTGGCGTGGTGCCGGTCTCGTATGCGCAGTTTCGGCAGATATTTGCTTTTGCGAAACAGGACTAAAAAGATGCAGGAATACTAGGATACTATCCAGGGCGGACGGGAGGTAGTGACTGTATAAGTAGTTTAAACAACAAATTCTGTCAACGAAATGAATTCCCAGCTAATCCTCATCATTTCCTCATCGCACGTTCTCATGGTATTTCCATCTGTCATTTCCTTACTCCCACCATCCTCGTCTCAACCTCTGCGGTCCCCTCCTGTCGTACGGCTCAAATCTGCCATACCTTCCGTTATCAGTATAACTCCAATTCCTTGAACCAGTTCCGAAGACATGGTTGTAGCGACTTTCGCCTCGCAATGCGCCAGGTGTGTGCGCTGCGAACAGCCCAGGTCAGTGTGAGTCTCATGTGTGTTGTGTGCCTATTGACTTACAGTACATGCGATCAGGGTAATACCCGCCGCCATTGTCAGGATTTTGGAGGGAGTTTTGGTATGGATAACGCGAGCGTCCAAAGGGAAACATGTTGCACTGAGAATAGCGGTAAAACTTTGTGTTGTTTCGCTGCTTTGCAAAGTCTGGGCTGGTAGTTCCTGCTTAATGTGGTAACTAGAAGCTAGGATGTAGGATTTAATGTTCTGTTAGATTTCGGTGTTCTTGATACAATTATGGAGGAAGAAGTAAAGATAAGACCCAGAAAGTTTATATATGAGGAATATCTATTGATGAATGATCCACCACGATGGCTAGACGTGAACTCGACGTGTATGCAATGTTGAAAATTCCATGGTTAGCATATAATTGCTTACCTGTTATATGGGGTGTCCTGCGAATCATAGATAGCTTGCAACCTTGCTCAATGCATGTCCGTGTTGTGAATCGTATAGGGTACAATCGTTGACATTGATTTCAGTGACGTTCGTAGTGTCACCTCCCCTATAGCTCGTGGCTCCTGGACAGTACGTTACTCCGATTGTGAACTATACTGCTGCGTCTTTACACCTGGGTATGTCGAACATACCCGCTAAGTGTAAGCTACAATCCGTTCTTGGACATGGCCTGGACTTCGAGTCGTGTTCTGTTGTGTCAGCATGCTTGCATCTAGAGGCCGTCACATTCAATTAGCGGCAGTGGTTTATTTCTTGAGAATAGTGGGAACGCAGCAGGATCCACAGCCTAGGTAGCTGCGTGGTCATCGCAATGAGAATCGTTCCGGATATGATGGCGTGACGGGCTGCTGTACATAGGTACTTCTCCATGAATATGGCGCAGTCGTCCAATCCATTGGCCTAACAATTCTCGTATAAGGTTTACACTGATAACCTGATACATCTTGCACGCTTTTGATCGGCTTTGCTGTTGTGAAGCCTTCAAAGTGTCCCAAAGTTTCAAGATTCTCTCAATCTGGCGGCGACTGCATTGCCAACCTGTCAACTATGTCATTACTGAACGAACTAACTGCGCCGAATCCGTTCGCCAGGAGACAACCAGCCACTACGCTTCCCTCAACATGCCAAACATCAGGTAGATTCACCATATGGTGGACGCATCTTTTACTCTCTAGATTCTTGATCGCGACGGTGAGAAGAGCGAAGACTCATTCACGCTCCGAAGAGCATACCTGAGTAGTTTACATGTCGCTATGGTGCAGCTGCTCCTCGGTGGTCGGTAGACGTGTCTAATGTGATGGACAATAGGCTGGGTGATATGAGAGATTAAGGGACGGCACGAATCCGAGAGTCGAGCGCAAAGTGCGCGATTTGCTGCTCGGTAGCTGTTTACGCCCTGACTAGGGGCTTTTGTAGCGGGCGGGAGATAGTAGACGCACCAAAACGGAGAACATCCGTACGATTACGCCAATCAACGCCAACGGACACTCAACGAGCCATACCCAAGTAGTGCCTCTCCGCTTGTCGTCAAGTCGTGCAGGATGCTGATATGTAGTGGGTGTCCCTAGCGTTGCGCAACCATTGGCTGCCCGCCACGATCTCGATCAGTATCTCAAGCGTGTTTGTGCTACACAAACCGCAGCAACTTCTTCGACTGCTTAAACATATCCGAACACTCACTCATAGCAGTCGTGACAATAGACGGAATGCGGTTGACAGGGATCGTGTTTGCACTTGCGCTTGTTGTGAGGTCTTGCGCTGAGCCGATACAGCGGACTGGGAAAGCACCGAAAGTCGATCTAGGCTACGCTGTCTACGAGGGGAGTCATGATGCCAACACCAGTATCGACATCTTCAAAGGGTAGCTTGTCTACGTAGGGCTTCTCACGACCCAGAAACTGATCATATTCTACAGGATTCGGTATGCCGCTCCCCCACTCGGCAAGCTCAGGTTCGCTGCTCCTCAAGCCCCAGCGCTCAATAGAACGACAACATTAGCTCTAAGCGACCCTCCAATCTGCCCACAAACTGGCGCTTCTTCAGAAACGCCAGCTGCATACGGCTTCACCTCTGCGATTGGGGATGAGGATTGTTTGTTCTTAAATGTATACTCACCAGCCAACGCGAAGAATCTACCTGTGTTCTTCTGGGTCCGTAAGTCACTATATTCACAACGAGCAAATTACCCTTGTAAACCGCTAAAAGCATCAAGATGGTGGAGGATATGGTCTTTTCAGCGCCTCTGGACTGGACCCTACCGAATTCATGAACACGAACAAAAATGGCTTCATAAGCGTCATAATCCAATACCGTCTAGGCGCTTTCGGCTTCCTTTCGAGCCCTGATGTAAAAAGGCACGGTGCCCTCAACGCTGGACTCCTTGATATCAACTTCGCATTAAAGTGGGTACAAGCAAATATCGGGAAGTTTGGGGGTGATCCTCGTAAGGTCACTGTGGCAGGCGAGAGTGCAGGGGCAGGCGCTGTTCTATACCAAGCCCAAGCCTATAATAGAAAGCAGAAAGAGAACCTCTTCCGCAATGTCATCGCGGCAAGCCCATGGGTGCCGTACCAGCACGATTACAACGATGAAACGCCCACAACAGCATATGCAGAGTTTGTCGAAGCCTCCGGGTGCTCATCGAAAAAGAATACTATCGAATGCCTCCGCACAGCCGATACCGTCGTTCTGCAGAATGCCAGCGCGAGGGTTTCCGAAGCTGGACCTTTTGGTACATTTGCATTCCTGCCCGTAACGGACGGCACATTTGTTAAAGATCGCCTCTCTACATCTCTACTTTCCAAGTCACTGAAGGGAAAGCGTATCTTGACCGGTAACATGGCGAACGAAGGCGTACCACTCGCGCCACCAACGACACGAACACTACAAGACTTTCGTGACTATGTGAATGAGACGTTTCCCAGTTTCTCTGCATCTGACAAGGGCCAGTTGGAGGAAATATACTCGTTCCCTGGTGACACCCTTGACGTGAAGCCCAACGCCACGCGCTTCGCCACATCTGGTATGGGCGTACCTACGGCAGTTAACATGAGTGAGTTTGGGACGGGGAACCAGCAACGCCTTTTCAACGTCTTTGCAGAGTACGCCTTCGTCTGCCCCAGTTACTGGGCTGCTGGAGCTTTCCCGGAAGGTTGGAAGTATCAGTTCAGTGCGCCTCCGAGTTATCATGGGTATGATTTGCAAGCGCTGTGGAGTGGGACCCCGACGCCCGGGGAAAGCTTCAAGCACGCTTTTCATAAGACATGGGGAAACTTCATCACGAAGAATTCACCGGTTATAAGTGTGGAAGATGCGAAGGGTGGTGTCGCAAATTCCACGATCCTGCCTGCAGTTGGATATAGTGGGAGCAATATCCTGTGGCCAATGTGGAACGAGAAAGAGCCGAAACTGCTGAACTTGAATGCTACAGGGGGTGTTCCTTTCTTTGTACAAGCGACAGAAGACTTATACTATCACACATATAGCGATCCAGGTGTCAGTAACCAGATCAGTTTGGCCGATGCGAATGCTTGGGAGGGTGGGAGAGGTGAGCGATGTGAGTTCTGGAAAGCCATGGCTGCTAAGGTGCCGTATTGATTGTGAGAGTAAACATGGAAGTCATGAAATGTGTCTAGAAGATGGAAGCTATGGATTAAGCTCGTTCGTGATGCTACGTACGTACAAGCCATTTGCTTGTCGCAATCAAGCACATGGTGGTCATACATGGCCAGCAGGTTTACACTCCGTCATTGAACTCATAGTCTTTGTCCCATCGCTATCACAGTCAATACAATGCGTGTAGTGAGTACGAATCACTTACTGTATCCCAGGGCTTGCTGCCATCGACGAACCTCAGGTCAGTACCGACTCTGATCACGTTGTTCGGGTCATAGTTCAATGTGGATGCATGTATCTAAGCACTATCAGTTACAGTTCACGTATGGTCATCTATTGAGCGTGCTCACCGTGTATGGGGTGTGCAGCACCACGTCCCCGGCTTCGTAATTTGTCACTAACCACCGCCTATCAAAGGTATCCGAATATTCTCGTGGTCCGTCGGCGAGCAATCCCGTTGATAGCATGTTCTGGTTGAATGCATTCTTTGTTTCTTCCTCGCTCAAGCCAGTTTCTGCTGCCTTACGGTCGAACTCTGCCTCCACTTCGCGGCCTAGTGTATGACCTGCAATAATCATCAACTTTGCCGGATCATTCATCGAGAAGTAGATAGCCCACCATTCTCCAAGTAGATGAGACCGCCGCCAGTCAAGCTCACATCACCCATTGGTACCCAGGCAGTGACACTGGTAGGCTCGCCGTGACGGAGGAAAATCTGATCATAATGTACGCCGATAGCTTTGTTTCCTGGCGTGTTGTTACGCAGCAAGCTCCTACGAACACCTAGAGTGTTGTTGCCCCACCCTGTCATACGGGCGATGAAGTCTCTGAGTATCGGATGCTTACAGAATGTCTCTTTATACCAATCTGCATAGTGCGCCTCAAGCGCGAGGCCGACGAATCTCTCCGCGGTCGCTTCTCCAGGCTTCCCGTTTCCAGGAACTGCACCAGCTCCAATACCAGGGAAGTCTGCAGCATCTTTTTCGGAATCAAAGACACCTTCTACTGGCTGGGTACCAGGCTTCAGCACGCCACTTGGCGCAAGCATCTTGAAGTACTCTTTACGGGCTTCCAGGACATCGTCCCTTGGTAATAGCCCTTTCAAGTAGACATACCCGTCTTCATTGTAACGCCGGTGCAGCTCTTCCATGGGCATATCTGGAGATGACTCTTTCAGCTTTCCTACTTGACTCGGTCGGAGCAAACCATCGTTTACGAAGAGTTTCTTGCCATCGAGACTTGGCACGTCTTGCTCTGGTGATAGTGCATGAGGCATAACGAAAGGTGGGATAAGATAGCAGCAACCTTCGAGTACCCACGGGTCTGTATGGAGAACAAACGACAATGTGTTCGTAAGGCTCTTTAAATAATGCACGTGTAAAGTAGAGCCCAACTGTCACCTTCTCTCCGGGGCTGTTACGACATGATGAGGAGAAACTTACCTCTTTCGGCGCAGCCAAATTGTGGGGTAAGGGGTGGGGCAGGCGGCGCTGAGACGCGCTATCCGGATTTTTCGTTACTGCGCGGAAGCGATCATCAATGCCCGTCCTTAGTAACAGGCCAGGCGTGGTTGGACACCACCTTGCGCATCTCGGCGGGCATTTCTTGTCCTGGACTCCATCGTGCAGCATTATCGCGCGCGTCCCAGCTTCGTAAATCAGCCCGCACGGGAATCCTCCGCTACTCCATAACCACGTTGAGGTCTATCGCAAATGCCATGGTACGAGATCTCGCGTCCTTTGCGCGCCAGAACGACATCGCTTAATCATTTATAGCAATCGATGCCGCACGCGTCATTATCGGTGTAAGCTTCGGTTAGTGGACTATAGGAGATGTCGTACTGATGATCTCGCGTAGGTGATGGCAAACAGCCGACATGTGGGAGGTGTGAGCATGCTAAGAAGGAATGCGTTTATGAGAGCGGTAGACGATTTCGGCGGTCGTCGATCTCCGATTCTTTCAGCGTCGAACAACCATGGGTCTCTTTCCCTCCACGAAGTAGGAATTTATCAATATTTGCTGCGGATCTTGCTGACACCATTTGCCAGTCCAATTCTTGGACGAATCAAGCGAGATTCGCTCTCAATATGTTCAGGATGGCTACTCTCCATTTGGCAGCCCTTCAGTACACATGCCATCGCCGAGCGGTACTCCTGGAAGTGCCCAGGGCACTGCTTTGACACCAAGCTCAACTCTATTCACTCCAACAGAAAATCTGACAGTTCTGTCATTACTGAATTCAGAGTCTCCCGTGCAACCGCAGACAACAGCACCTCCAGTATTGCGTGATCATCGAGCGAACACGAGTGCATACCAGCCACACCAGGATGAAGGGGTTAGTACTTTCGTCTACCAGCAACCTCCTGGGGAGCCTGTGCTGTGGCCCCTAGAGCATGAACAAGAAGCAATGCTACTCCAGCACTATATTGAGAATGTCGCTTTATTCGTACGTACTTCTATTGAGATAGAAGCACCTCACTGAACATTGCTAGTTTGACATGGTTGATACTAGAGATCATTTCGGGGTCCACATTGTCCAGATGGCCAAGCAAAATAGCACTTTGATGTATGTACAGTCTACACCACGGACATACGTTGATCTTTGGCTGACTAACACTACCATCCAGGAATGCCATCCTAGCGTTGTCTGCTCGTCAGCTTAGTCGAACCACCGACTTTGATCCTTATATCGCAGACGCTTACTATCAACGCTGCTTTGATACGTTGATTCCAGCACTGAATGACAACGTCACTATCAAAGAAGAGCCACTACTTGCGGCCACCGTTATACTACGGCTTTTAGAGGAAATGAATATCTCGATCATCGGATCTGATCCTCAGGGTCATTTGTTCGGTACCCAGGCTATCATTCGCGCTGCTGAACAATCATACGCTGCAACATCTGGACCGGATCGACGACAGGCCATCTACTGGGCTGCTTTCCGTCAAGAACTCTGGATCTCATTAATGACGCAACGAGCGTTTAAGCTGCACATCTTTCCCGCCGACCGTTCGCTCGAGCCGGCTAACGATTCCATCTGGGCTACACGGACGATTGCTCATCTCGGCGATGTGAGCAACTTCGTTTTTGGAGAAGGCAGAAACAGCATTGCTCGCTACAATCAACTAATGGACGAGAATAGATCTTGGACACAATGTAGGCCTGACAGCTTTGATCCGTACTACTTCCGCCAAGATAGGGATGGCAGTGGAAGGAACTTTCCAGACATTCGCTTCCATCAAAAGACCCATGTCATGGGCACTCAGTACAACCTTTTGGCTCACATGCTGCTCATTGTTCATGATCCGACAATCCCTCAGCTTGGTCCAGCACATAAGGCATCACGCGCCGTGGTGGACCGAACGGTACAAGACAACGTCCGGACACTGTGTGGTGTGGCGCAATCAAATTCCAAGTGGTTTCCTTGCAAATTTGTTGCTTGTTTCGCAATTGCCTTAGGTAAGTTCAACTCGATTCAAAACACGACTTTAAACATCAACTTCCAAGTACATCATTTACTTAACGGTATCTCTAACACGTTTAGTTGGTGATCGTTTCACGCTTCGTGAGGATCAAGAGCAGCTTCGTGACTTGTGGTACGCTTGCGAGCGATCACATGGCTTCCCTCCCACAGCCACCATCGCACAACTTGAAGAGTCCTGGGGCTGGCATAACTCTTGACGATTAGGAATGACGCCACCACCTTACATCCTTGAAGTGGCTTTAACACATGCCTGCGCTTAAACGAACCCCCGGCGGTTTGGATTGTGCCTCCAGTCAAAGTATGTTTGGATCTATTTACCATCATCTACTTTCCTCGCCGTACTCATCACCATGATATCCTGCCCCATAGAAGGGTATCATATCAACGGGTATACCTGGTTGTAGTCTGCGATGGTTGCCTGCATTTCTAGGACCCAATGGGCCCTCATATCTAGTGAAATGACGGATCGGTCGGCGATGTCTCGGTGGCGACTTCTCCTTGCCGTCATTCGTGATGCTATCGAAAACCATCGTCGGCGATTTATCGGTGGGAACCTTGGCCTTGATCGCCTGGTAATTCGTTACGACCAAGACCAACAACGAATTCGCTTCCACACGCCGTGCAAAACTTTTCTCCAAACACTTTTTCAATACTTCACTCAATTCAAAGGAGTAGCGGGGGCCTGCTGGTCGTCCTTCGTCCCATGTTTGACCCTTGGGCATACTTTTGCTCCATGGTGTCTTGATTCCGGTACATACGCAGAGGATGCTGAGCCCCAGTTGCCAGATGTCGGAAGCGCCGCTGAAGAATGGCATCTCTGGAGCGTCGAACCCAGGCGTCCCTCCTGGCTGTATTATCGCGTGTTCTCGGCTACGCTCCAGTGCCAGAATATCTTCAGTCACTGCATAGCCAAAGTCAGCAAGCTTTGCTACTACGTGACCGTTCATAATCGTCAGCAGGATGTTGCCAGGCTTGATGTCTCGGTGGTAGATTCTGCTCCAACCGGATTGGAAAATCTCGTCGTCACTCATGTCAGGCTTTGGGCCACGGTGACAATACGCAAGCGCAGTAGCCACTTGGTGGAACCAGTTCCATATCTTATGCTCGTTGACGTAAAAGCTTTGGGCGACCCCTTCTACCACGTCCGCCAGGCTTCCGACGTCGCAATACTCCATGTATACAGCCCCCGCTGGAATGGACTCATCGAGGAAGTGGTCAACCATCTTCGTAATATGGTCATGGTCCTGAATCTGGTGTAAGATTTGAACTTCTAACGGCGGCACACCGGCCTCGAATAATTTCTTGCCGAACCGCTTCTCGATAAATACCATGCCCTGAGCGCTTGGGTTGCTGCACTTAACTTTGCTTATGCAGTCGTTAAGACCTCCGCCCATAGTGCCGAGACGCTGGATTACTGTCCACTTTTCTCTCGCCTCTCGTCGATATTTTACGGAAAGCTTCTTACAAAGACTGGTCATCGTGTTCGCAACTACCGCCGTCAGATTAAAGTACTTGTAGTCAAGGTCAAAGCTAGCATCGAGAAGAAGTTTGGTTTTATATTGCTCCTGACAGCTACAGGTTTCAATGTAGGCACAGGGTTTGATTTATTTGTTCCATCAATTAGCTGTTCATTCCCACCTTCAACGGACATGCCATATGACACATATTGTGTACAATGCCATGCACACGTGACGTTCAAGATTCCTGAACACATCTGAGAGCCCCCGATGATATTGTCTTGTGAATGTGATTAGAGAATAACATGCGTCTCATAGCCCACGTTTGTCTTTCCGAGAGTCTCTGTGTGACGCAGAACTGCGTAGTATAGCAAACTTCTCAACTTCAAATAGTGTCGAGCATCACGAGCTTTTAGCCGCAGAATCCATACGGACATCTCTACTCAGTGATTAATTCGCTGCAACACGCTATTGAATGGCACCAAATCTGAGACCTCGAATACCTGTGAAAGAGAAGGAGACTAGCAAAGGAGAGCGAACGGTTACTGATCCATCCTCAAATGGTGTAGACATGCAGGATGCGCCACCAAAAGCGACCTCATTCCTCCCTCAAGCGACCGCCCCCGTCAATATTGGAAGGAGCTTATCACTGCTTGGCTCCCCTGGAGATTCTCTTTCTTCACATACCCTAGGCCATGAACCGCAACCTGCTTAGATACGCCCTTCACGCAGGCGATCTTCGCCCGGCCACCCGGCCCCTCTCGCGTACTCAGGAGTCCGCCTGAAACCTTCGCCCTCGGCTGATGATATTGCGAAGCGTCGGCCAGAGTACGATAATTCTGTTAGCCAACCACCCGGCTACGTTCACCATCCGGGTCCTGCTCTACGACAATCCAATGCCACAGACTGGCCGCATGGAGTGCTCAGTGGTGGTGCACTGATCCGTATTCTGGAGGATTTATCGCGTAGCTCTCGGCATGACCACCGGCAGGCCTGTATCTGGCTGGTATCTTTCGTCACACGCTTCGGCCGCATCCACAATCTCGATGGTCTCATCGTGACCAACGCGCAGGACATGCACATACTTGTGCTGGCGCACGGGTTCTGGCTCGGAATGAAAGATGTCCCGGCTAAGGGAGATATCTTCAGGGTGCCGGGGCTGGAACTGACAGAAAACGCTGATCCAGACTGGAAAGCCAAAGCGAGAGATAACCTCCCCGAGTTACCCAGCACGTACAGCCAGAAGCATTGGACGGCAGGAGAAGTACAGTATCTGTACGGTACTTCGATAGAGAGACCTAGAAAAGGGAAGATAGTCAGGGAGAAATTGTTTGACGGCTTGGGGTGGGAAAGGGACATATGGCAAGCATGAAGCATCAGAATTCGCTACATGTTCGGGCCCTACTATCACCCAACAACGGGCTGAGTAATCTGCACCCTGGGAGTCATAGCATATCAAGCGTATTTGCAGTGAACAAGACGTACGTAAGATTTTCCTAGGTGGTAGTGAGCACGTGTTCCCAAAACGAACAAGCTTGTAGTGGGAATGAACAGTAACGTCGAGGAATTGTGAGCAGCATGATTAATAGGTGCGAGATCATGGCGTCATCACTGCGAGTTACCAGCCATCTCTACGAGACGACAGACTAGCAGCTTGCATTCAGGTACATGTATACTTGCAAGTCAGTTCTCGACATCGGATCCCTGAGTCATTGCCCTCACACTCTACGAGGTAGTTGGAGGGTTTTCGCGTGCAAACAGAAAAGCACCAGGATCGCGCAACACCAAGGCTTGAGAGTGCGATTTAACTAATCAACAATTACCAAAATCATCGTGAACGCATTTGAACTAACCGATGTCGACTAGTCGTCTATGTAAAGTCAAAACTGCTTCCAGTAGCTTGTATGCGACTCTGACCAAGCTGCACCTGCACGCTCACCGTCCTTCTAGGCCCATGACCCTCCTCACCCCATCCATCTTTGTTCTACAACACATTGTGATCTTCATTGCAGCTTTCATTATAATATTTACCTATCTATCGATTCCTTCATTTTCTTCTATATGCACAATCTTCTATTTTCATACTTACGTCGATCGTTCCGGCCCGCGTATGCATCTCACCTTCGTTTTGCACAGCCTCACTACCGGGTTGGCGGATATGATCATCCTTCACAGGTCTTGATAACGGTAGTAGCAACCGTCCCTTCGTCCAGCATAACGTTGCGCCCAGGTTGGCGCATCCTAATTGCATAGGATGGTCGTTGGGCGGAGGGGCGGGTGTGTTACCTGGGAATGGCATGGTAGGTGGGTGGATTGTGGTGATCCCCGCATTAAGCCTTACATGCAGCTAGGTCTGGTATGTAGCATCGCCACTTGGGCTCTTTGCACATCACACCACACGTTTCGGTGGGTAAAATTTCATGTGATGCATCTTGCGAGATTCCATCTTCGGTCGGAGTCAATACAGAATCCTGGATCCATGTATTGCATAGCCGATTGTAGTACAACGTTCGCAAAACAAGCCTTTTCGCCCCCAAACTCCCCGCATATACTATGTTCTTCTTTGGACCTCACATGCGTTCTAGTGCGTTTTTGGGTACTTCGGTGCTACCACTAATATAGTTAGACGAGCATGAACTGGTCAGTTGACGATGTGGGAATGTGGCGGTTGGCCGTAGGATGACAGTCACGTTGTCTTCTCTGATCTTACCGAAGCAAATGCTGGGGTAGTAGATCAGACAAGGAGGTACCAGAAGCCTGGAAACAGAGTTTGATTTACAGGTCAAATCTCATAGGTGCGTATTATCGATCATGATCATTCAAACCCTTGTCACATGAAATAGTCACTGACCGGGTACATCCCGTAGTCAAATCTCCGATCCGGACTGTTGGACAAATTAGTTCAACAGACACGAGGCTTTCCGCAAGGCATAATTCCATTGCTTGGTCTGCTCTCGTAGGGATTAGTGCTTCTCTAGCTGACAACTTCTCGTTCGCTAACAACACACTAATCAAGCGGTGCAAGCTAGCTATGAGGATGTATCTTGTTCGTAGATATTCAATGGAATGCGGGCGGAAATGCTGCTTTAGGCTATTAAATACATTGCAACGTCTGCTTCGAGAACACGTCTTCTTGTCTGCGTTTACCACGTTGCCCGCTCTGACTCCTACCATGGCAGCTACAACCGCTTCGGGAATTGCGTCAATGCAAACAGTCTTTTGGCGCATAGCATCGTAGTCTATGCAGGGGCTATTTTCCCCTTTCCGGCTATCATCCATTTTGTATAACTCGCTTGGGTATAATATCAAAATAGTCAATATAGACGCACCGTGTCCCGGTAGCTGATCGTGGGGGCGGTGCCGCAATTGGACAGTATCTTCGTAATACTGCCGCAGTCATACGCAGTATGTGCCCGCTTCGCTTCAGTACCCACATGTATAGAGACAATTAGGCTGTCAGATTGGGAACGGGTGACTTGAACGATGGTTCAGCGTCAAAAGGCCTAGGTGTCATCTGGTATCTCAGGATACTTTGAGCCGTCACTGTGCGGTATAGGGTATGGATCTGACCTACAGACGTGCCTTTCGTATGCTGTCGTGGAAAAGAGTAGAAAATGGCCAATATGGAATAGGATCTGCTTTCAGATGCTCTAAATAGCTCTCAATACTCTGCCTCATGATCATCTGCGTGTGCCTCGCCATCTCGCCTCTAGTTCACGAGCCCTTGCTGACGCTTCTTGTCTCTTCTTCGCCGCCATCTCCGCTTGGCTCTGTTGATAATCTGGAAGTTCATCGTCAGACCCATGAGGATCGTTCAGCCCCAACATATCTAATTCCGCTGTAACGGCGCCCATGTGCGATGGTGATTGCCATTGCTGGTATGCGTCGAGGGGCTGATTGAGCACAGGCAGAGTATGATTCAGTGCAGATGTTGCTCTTGACCACATGAGCGGTGGTGGCTCGAAATTCTGCCAGTCGTCTCTTTGCTCTCTTTGAGGTTGTCGTGTCGGTTGTGTTCTTGACGAATCCTGAGGGTTTTGGAGGGGTATTGGAATGATGTCAGCAGTAGTTCGTCGAGCGAAGAGTGAACCCTGAAGCTGCGGTGGACCGGTTGGGGAAAGGGGCTCGGCGTCGTTTGGCAATCCAGTCATCGCTTCCGCAAAAAGGTGAAACTGAGAAACATCCGTAAATGGCTCTGTGGGTGAAACCCATGTTGTATGAGGCCGTGGCCGACTATAAACATTATCGCGTGCCGTAACGCCGAGCGTAGGTTCGGGAAAGGTACGGGATCGCGGAGGTGATGCTGTCTCGAAGTAGGGATTCGTAGAAACTGCACGCTGCTGTTGGGGACGAGTATACTGGTGTTGCGGTAGTGGAGAGTACGGCTGATACTGCACCACATCTGAATAGTCGGACGCGGAGGAGTGCGCTCGTGGAAGGGTTGCTGGATCCTGGTGAGAAGACTGCCTGAACTCGTAGGGAGAACTCGGCATGCTTCGTGAGTAGCTATGCCTATGATGACCATTCGTATCCACGTGCAGGCTAGTAGAGTATCGATTTTGATGAGATGATCCGGGTCGGAGATGGTTTGACTCCATTTGACTCGAAGATTCGCGCCTGAGAAACCCGCGCAACGATGGTGGTTTGCGAGATCGCCTATCTTGGCCGGATGGTGACGGTGGAAGTGGCTTGTTAAGGTCCGAACTGGTTGTAATAGCAGGTATCATGGGCGGAGTAATCGCACTAGTAGAGCACACGCTGATTCGTTGCGATGTTGTTTGGTACGCCGATTGTTCTAGCTGACAGTCATGATCATCTTGCCGCCTTGTCGAAACCGGCATAGTTAGCCACAGCTCGTTTCCGCTCTGCATTCGAATAGAACGGTGATCGTGATATGTCATGTATTCCTTGTCTCCGTTGTGCTATGGACCAGTGTTAATGCGTAGAAAAAATCGACTAGAAGCTGTGACCAGCTTGTTGGTAGACGGCAAGTCCTCAAGCTTATAGTTGAGAGATGTTGGCGGGATCGTCAGCAGCTGGGCGTCGGGTAGCATGCTAAAGAGAGATGTATCGTATGCAGATGTATCAAGGCTGAAGGCAGGGATGTGCAGATCAGGCCTAAGAGCTTGGTGTTGAATGTGGAGGTTAGGTGCGGCTTGATGGCGTTGCGCTACTGCACGACTGTAGCATTCGAGCGAGTTTAAACGATGCTGATAGCTGATTCGCAAATCTGACAGCTCCATTTATTCTGTGCTTCCGAGATCCCGAGTGTGTGGTATCACCAGTGTGGAACAAGAGCGATGTATATGGTCGGGAAGGTTAGTGCGGCGTGGTAGAGGGTGGCGGTGGTTGACGGGCGCAGGGGTAAGGCGTCAGTTGGTAGATTACGATGTGTAGATGTCGGAAGGGAGTGTCCTTACAGACAGGCCTGCAGAGTGCTTGAATTATGCATATTCTAATCGTTCCGACGGGGCGAAGGCAGAAAATAGTCCCATTCAAGGACAGGTCTCGACGGAAATGGGTGCGAATTTGGAAGAGTCCATATCTGGGATCATTTGAAAGGATTTTTAGACGATTGCTGGCCTAATTCTTCAGGCCAAACGCCAAAGCTTCGGGAGGCTCGTCATGTTCAGTACGGGTACGGCACACGATGACCCCTTCCAACGCTCTCACATCGGTGACATAATGTTACCGAACTGCAAACGGTGAGGCTCAAGACGGTATGTGGTCACTCGACCTCTGTACAGCCAGCCGCTCTCCTCAGCGTTCAGCGCATGGAATTTCATCGTGCTGAGGGAACGCGCCCAGCGGCAATAATCCTACTCTAGGTATGCAACGAGTTGGATGTGTGGCAATGCGTAACGGGAGAAGCGATCATCAAGGCCCAGATGAAAGGCGGAACGCGTGCACTGCCTCTCCTAATTTTAGATAGAGGGCACGCTAAACTCTAACGTGGCAAGCAACCGAGGCCGCCACATACTCCTGTGTTCGCCCACCGTCGTACATCCCCCAACCATCAGTATCGCCTTGGACATCACCACACCTTGCTAACGGCAGCGATAAGTGTATCTCGATGTTTGCGTTCTTACCTCTCGCTAATCGGCCCCTGATACCATGTTTTCCGCCAGGCAGGACCTACGTATGCTGAGCTTCGGAAGCGCACAGGTGCTGATGCGCGTCGATGCAAACAACCCATGACAAGCATCAGCCCGTCATTTCATTGTCTCGTGATGCTTTCAGCTGCAGCGACAACAATGCAGCATTGATACCCCCTTTTCATCATTGCTGTATTGTGGTATGCCAGAAATGTCCCGAAAGTCTGTTATCATCAGTTGAGAAACCACTTTTTAGCCGGGATCTTCAGCATGACGCTCATCAGTAAGGCAGACTTCTTCATCACCTTCCGCTTTGATATTATGGCCTTGAAATCAACACTCGCAATGTGAAACGGCTGTCAACGCCCGGTCAAGGCGTTACAATGCTGGCATAATCGACTCCTTCGCTCCCGCAACAAACCCGCATCCCAAACTACCAAAATTACGATCGATCTGAATCACAGGCATTCCAACCCTTCATTTTTTCATGTCACCAAGTTCCGCACGGCTGTGAGTGACCGTGGCGATCGATCTCGAGATATCTCTACTTGATAGCACAATAATCTCATCACATGTACAATCAAGGAGGAGGTGGTAACGAGGTCGACTTCCGCACATGCTGTACAGTAGATCATATAGAGGCAATAGGCCGCAGCATCAACGCGCAGACTCACTATGCTTTTCAACGACTGCAGATCTTGCGCACCGATACCAGGAAGAACTCCTGAACAATATGACAGTGGGGAGTGCATACAACCCTAGGACTGCCTTCAGCATCATCTCGGCGATGTACACTCGAGTGACTGCAACAACCGCAGGCTTAACTGCATGAAATGTATTATCGCGTTTGAGGTTTGAACAGCATAATGTGGATCCCCTGGGCGCATGCTACTCTCCATCAGCCCCTCATCATTGGGCCTTAGGCCGTCTGCTCCCACACTGGACTTCCTATCAGTAAACGCCTTTCGTCTGGTCTTCCCGAACTGCAGCATTGCATCTACGATCGGTAACGAGAGCCTTCTACCGCATGATGGGTCCTTCTAGTGGAGCTACAATGTGCTAAACTAAATAAGTCAGCCTGTGGTGGCCTTGCGACATCGCCTTAAGGCGAAGCTGATTTAGGTCGAGAATACATCAGTACGCAAGACACTATCAAGAATCAACGAAACGTGTCTTAAATAAACTCGGATTCTAATTCAATATCGCTTTCTCAGACTTCCGAAATAACTATCTTTGGCTTCTTTTGTACGCGCATAGGCGTCGGCTTCACCACCCTAACCTTCGCCGACCATGTATCAGACCGATCATCGAGCTGAATTCCTTTCTCCCCATACTCAGCCTCATATTCGCCTTGCAGTCTCTGTGCGAGTATATTCCTTGCGACCATTGCGTATCGCGCCAACAGGAACAGTGCGATCATTCCACCGGCATATCCCAGGACATGAAGAATGATGCTAACGTTGCCGTGAGCTGGATTCATCCACTCATATACATAAAACTCCTGCGTATAACGAGTGAGATACGCAAGGCCAAGATATATCGACAGGACCCCAAGGACAACGGAGAGATGATGCCACGGCAATGGCTCGGTAGCCGATAGTATGATCTCGGTTGCCGCAAAGACGCTGTTGAGGCCGTGGACAGATATGTTGATCCATTGTTCGAATCGTCCAGCCGGCCATCCAGAGTTCATGGTCCCCCAGAAGACAATCGTGACCAGGAACGGGAATGAAGTCATTGTAGAGTAGTACATGCTGTGTAATAACTGCAGGTATTTGGGCCAATTGTGAAGCCAAGTTCTTTGCCGAAATGCGTACATGAACGTATGTACGCTCGATACAAGGAAGTAGAAGCCGAGCGACCAGAAAGTAAGGTAAGTGAAGAAGCTAAATGACTGTCCGATGGCTGCATCGCCTTGTTGGATGGTGTAGGATCCGATGTTGACATCCTTGAGCTTAATAGTAGCTGTTTCGTTCGCCAGCCAGGTATAGCATGTTATGATCGTCGTGAAGCAGTATATGCTCAGTAGGGCGCGGATGCACGCGAGAATGGCTGGTGAAACAAAGTGCGAGCGAACGAATGTGTATGACAGGTCGAAGCCGGCCCTGGGTACACCCCAGGCTTTGTAAGTGAACAATTTCATGATAGTGAACGTTGGGCAGGGAGTTATCGAAAAGAGCGAGTGGAGTGCCGATGGCTTGCTATGAATGTTTGATTCCAACTCGGTGTTAGGAGATCATCCAGTCGTTACAAGTGTTTCGAGAAAAGGAATGTGTGCATGATATAGGGATAAATCGCCGAAACACTGTCGAAAGGACTTCTTACCGCACCGATGTTTTGTAGGACTGGTACAGCAAGCCACAGCAAGACTCTCAGGCCAGCAACCCATTATCCAGAGACGCCACAATAGTCCCATTGTGCGCCAACATCAACGTCTCAGCGCCATTATTATGCAGAGGTCAGCGGCTACCAACCACATCGCCTTTGCAGTACTGTTGACTGAATCATTACGGCAGCCCTACGCTCCACACCACGTGTACCACGCGTTGTGATTCATCAGCCTTCCTTGACGATAGCACGATGTCAACCCTCTGGCGCCTGCGGAGCTTCCGATGGCGTTCACAGAAACCTACCGGTCTTGGAATCATTATTCGTTGTGATGCCGAAATTGGTTATTGCTCAGGTGGGCCAATGGCGTTAGCGAAGGCGTAGCGCTCGAAAGAGTGTGGTGTAGGCTGGATTAGTGCTAGCTCGAGCCAATCGCGCAGCCTTGCGGTAGCCCTGCTTTTCAGCCGCGTACTATGTGCGCCCAGATGTATCGAACAGCGCGGAGGGCGCGATGCATCGCGTGATGTTTGCATTCTGGCGGGTACTCGGAAATGCAAGTGATAAGAACGTGCGTTGAAAATGCTATGCTGGCGACAGCCTCATGATGCTCGGCCTAGCTCCGATGTTAGGCTTACTATGAGAATGCTACTTTTGCTCAAAGTACTACACCACCACTAGATTGCGACTTTCTCTAAGGTGAGATAACTTTCCCAGACCTTCGCCCTTCATGCAAACTTACGTTCCTTTTTGTATGCAGGAAAATTGTTGATCTCGGCTGTTTGCCCCCTTAAAAAAACCAGCGTGGCGTGTTTGAAGAAACGTCAGCATCCGCCATGCTATCTGGTACTGTCTCCAAGTTTCCACGACCTGAGAGCGAGATACCTCTTGTGAATCTCTTGATATGCGCTTCTGTATCCTTAGCTGCACTAATAAGCCAACAAAGTGGCAGTCCTCACCTTGTTCACTAACAAATTTCTCGACCGTGTCTTGCTTCTTCACGCAAACTACGTGTCAAGCGTACTAGAAGGTTCTGTAAAACGATTCTGGGCTTTATTCATGGGACATATACAATGCGCTTCAGAGACTCGGTGGATAAGATGATGCAAAGAGACCTCGGGCTATGAAGTGGTGCAACACTATTACTAGTCATTACAAGAACGTGCGTCGGTGGCGATCTTGGTCACAAGAGTGAACACGAAGTCAGATAAACACCCAAAACTGCCCCAGAACTTGCCTGGCTGCTATCCAGGCTTGCTTCTCTCGCTTCCATAAGTCCTTCCTGCCCTCTGTATTCATTCTCGTCATCGTCATCGTGGAGAGCGCACTGGGGCGCTTTCTCACGCTTGCTGAGAAGTCATATGATGAAGTCCCATGTCCGTGCTGACCGAACTACATGAGCACAGTCTGAGTCTCCACGATCTCATCAATATGCACAATGATACCCTTCTCTTCGTACGGAGGCCATGAATCCCGTTCCAGCGTGGAAGATAGGTCGGCTTTAGAGTACCCATCTACGCCAGCGGTGGCCCGCTGCGACCATCTCTAGAAATATGATAGCAGCTTCAGAAGTACACTTATGGAGCTTTAGTGTCTCAAGGGACTCGGAGAAGTGGTTCTGCAGTGAGGATGATAGAACAATCTTGATGCGGTGGTGAAGTTTTCTAGACTTTTCTATACTCTACGTCGATTCCGACTAGGCTTTCTAAGCAAGATGTTATTCAGGTGCGCTGACTGGTGCGCCCACGTTACACCGAGCTAGAATGCGGCCGGCTGAAGAACCATAAGCCAATACATCAGCGGATCCTTTCCCACCCTATGATGAGCGTGAAAATCTAACACGATCAGGAGACCTGGGACTTGACGATCTGACAGCGGAAGACTATACGATAGGCATGTCAAGTGCGTACCGGACACTCACCCCCTTACCTTGCCTCGACAAGATGGACAAGTCGCGCCGACTATGTTCCAGCTTATTGACATGGCACGTCATCCTACAGCGACTCTACGCGAAATGTCTGTAGTTCTTTGTGAAGCGCTATCATAACGCAACTCAGAATTGCCAGACCTGTTATGATGGGAGCTGCGACAGTTTTCCCCACGCTCATCGTACGTCAGGAGTCACGACTGCTTTTCCCACACGGCAGTCATACCAAGACAGACGACGACATACTAACACTCCTGCAAGATACGAATTACGAAGCATACAGACCTACTGTTTATCGTATGGACGTAGCCTGCGCATAAATGCCCTACAATTGGAGCGCGTGGTGCCGCGATACTAGTCTCGAGACTACACGGCATCAGCCAAAGAGCATGTTCGTTGTCAGTCTGCCACAGGACGGGCGTCTGGCCGCTTCTCTTGATACATCTCTATGAGCAGTACGTAGCCCGGCACATAGCATCCGGCCGATTCCAGCTCTTCCTGATTTGCTTTTTCCATATCCACGATAGCAGCAAGCTACCTACTGTTACAATAAGGCTCGGACAAGCACCTCACGCGTGCAGGCATGGGAAGATACCCACTGGTATCTGAACATACCGATCCAAGTGCCATAACATCTTCTACAGAGCGCAGAACGAACGAGGTAGCCTAAAACAGATCCGTAAAGAGCGACTGGCAACCCCAGAGGAAGTGAACAGCTGCGACGAGCTACAAAACCGAACGTCCGCTCGAAAAAGCGCTCAAGACCTACATACGCTACACAAAAGTCGGAGCGAGGATGGGGAAATCATGAACCCGAAGTCGCAAACATCTGGGTTTGCCAGGTTATGAGGTCTGAAATGGACAGAAACGTATCGTCGCATGGTCGTGAAGCTGTCACGCTGTCTTCGGGCCGCGCACGAGCCCCGACCCACCAAACTTCGAACACCGCTTTGCAAACTTGCCATGTAACTTCGGTCCCTTGGCTGCAATGTCAAACGACCTCCAATATGAAGCAACATACTCGGCAGCCTTGTGAGACGCGGATCATGCGCCATCAAGCTGACCATCCGCAGTCTACGCCGAATCGACTCGGATTGCCCCCTTTTTTCTCTATTACTTCTCAGCCTAAACTTCTGACATGCAGGAGAAAGAAGCCGAGACTAATGCAGCGGTTCCACTGGATCTCTGCCCATCGTTCGTTCAGTTTCCTATCTGCCTGTCGAAGACATTCCGAAACACTTTGGTGTTGCCGGATTGTGAACGTCAACTTTAGCATTGTTCCACACAGCAGTCGAGCTCGCGTCGCGTAAGAGTCGTGCACAACACCTTGATATGCCGCAGTGTTCACACCCCCGCAATTTGGGGATAGCATAAGGTCGCGTCAATCGCGAGCGGTGGATTGAGACGGAGGAAGTGCGGTAAAGCGCGCAGCCGGGAGCTAAGGGGCTGTTGAGGAAGCCAATACCGGCATTGCGGGTTTATTTAAGGAATTCGTGAGATATACGATTTCGGAGCTAGGAGGCGCGCGTCGAAGAGTGTCAAACTCGGCATTCTAGAACCGCTCTGGTCAAGTCGCTGCTCGTAGAGGGAGCCTCGGCTTGCGATGAAGAAGCCAGGAACTGTACATTGACAGGCGGGTCAACAGCCACCTCGGGTCTTCGTGGCGATCTCGCACATCATCCGGAGACAGAAGTTCTAGGTTGTTGGCAGTCAAGGTTTGGTCATCACGCACTCCTGGGAAGTACATCGGCCGTGTAATCTTTCCTAGTGATAAGGAGAGTATCATGCGCCTGTTCATTATGTTTAGAAGACTTGACCAGCCTACAGCATTGAGGGCGGGCTGAGGCAAACATATTGGTGACCGTGCACCAGCAATTTTGGTTCAGTCCCAAGGAAAAGAAGCGTCACAGCACCTAGGCTGGCGGTAGATTGTCCAGACTCCTATTATCACATTTCGTGATCGTTGCAAAAGCACAATACTGGCCCAAGGCCCATAACCGATGCCTCTCTGTGTTCAATGCTGACTTGGACCATTCTTCGGACAAGCAAGAGTCATGTAAGCCAACTTGAGTGTTTGGTTGAAACAACTCGTTTATATGCTGGCAGAAGCCGTCTAGAAAAGCCTCTACCTAGGGATAAACGACGACTACACCAAAATTCATGGACTGAAACTGACAAACACATGTGCATTGCAGCGTTCTACCTTGGAAGACAGCCTGTTCCTACGGTTCCGGCGAAGTCGTCACTAGGATATATCTCGGGGTACTCTCTATGTAATACCAGGTACCCGAGACATTAATGGGACTCGACATGCGTTGAGGTATGACAAAGGCTACAACCGGTCTCGCTTCTATAGAGACTATTGTATTCACCTGCCAGACTCCTCTGATACAACAGAACAACAGACTGACAGGCTAATCCCCGCTGCAAGGTGTCAAGAAAAGATTGTGTCGTCGCATCACTCAGCATTGATCTCGCGCTCATTCAGCCTCGCACTTTATGAGAGACTATTGAAGTCCTTGGAAGAGCCAAACCCAATAATCTCCAGAGTTCTATCCGGTGTCAGTGAGCTCGTAGGGGTTCCCGCGATGTAAAAGAAGTTTATCCCTAGAAATGGTCAAGTTGGCGACACGTAGTGACAAGGCTAGCCGCGGGCTTGGAACCAAAACCGCAGAAAGTTTATCACGAAACACACCACCACCACCACCAAAGTAGAACATCACAGATGCCGCCAACGCAATGAGGGCAGTATAGATTGAGGTTTCTAGGCGATATAATCCTCGTCTCATGTGAGCTGTCCGAGCAAACGTAATGTGGGTACGCGCAGATGGCAGATTGCAATGCCAAATGCGCTAACCCAAGGGGCCGGGCTAATCTTAAGGATGCTCACCTGGGCAGCTCGCCCGGCCGCAGCTTCCCTCCCACAAAGTTGGCCACATTATCTTGGCGACTGGTTCTCGACGTGACCCTTTGACTTCCAAACAGGCTAGACTGATCATGCGCGTCTTTGTGGCCTCGTCAAGACCGTGGGGTTCTCACAACATTCCGGAGTCGCCCCAACCCACATCGGTCGTTTTCACAGGTATCCACGGCGACAACAGTCGCGTTGCGCGATCGCGACTTTGTTTCTCAACGCACCAGGGTGTGATACCCAGGTCTTGAGTCGTTTCTGCGCGCTTTGAAGTTCTCACCTGCGCAATGATGCCTCAGAGTTTCTTCTACGGATGAACGCACATTGGCCATTTACACCATCACTCAACAGTACCGTTAGATGCACTTGCAGTATAGGTTTATGCATCTTGTGTCAGGCAAGGAACTCTTGTTAGCCACTTTGTACCACTTCGTATCAACAAACTGCGCATAACGTATAGCATCACTAGCGACTAGCTCCACGTTCGATATGTCCGAGGTAAAGTTGGCTGTCAGCCTCATGACTAGGCTTGCCACGTTACACACCCGAACCAGAGCTGACCATGTATAGTCTCCGACCGGTACGTCGCCGGATCGCGACGGCATCTATCCATCAAATGGCCAGACGTACGACAAGTATCATTTTCAAGAAAAGAACATTCACATGCAAGGCATTGAGTTGGACGATGAAGAAGAAGACGAAGACATCGATCAACTTATCGAAGACCTAGAGTCGCAAGATGGCGAAAACGCCGACTACGAAGAGGAGGAAGCGCAGCACCCAGGCGGTGCGCGTTTGATTCCGGAAGAACTCCTGCAGACCGACACACGCATTGGCTTGACTTCCGCCGAGGTACTCATACGGCGGAAGAAATTTGGCGAGAACAAGATGAAAGGTACCCATTATCTTGCCCCACCATCCGCGCTTGCTTACCATATGCAGAGGATTCAACGAATAACTGGGTAAAGTTTCTGATGTTTTTCGTTGGCCCAATCCAGTTCGTCATGGAAGCGGCTGCGATCCTTGCTGCAGGACTTCAGGACTGGGTTGACTTTGGCGTCATCTGTGGTTTGCTCCTCCTGAACGCGAGTGTTGGCTTCATTCAAGAGTACCAGGCTGGCTCGATCGTTGAAGAGTTGAAAAAGACGTTAGCTCTCAAGGCCACCGTGTTACGCGACGGCACTTTGGTTGAGATCGAAGCACCGGACGTGGTGCCTGGAGACATCCTGCAAGTCGAGGAAGGTGTGATCGTCCCGGCCGATGGGCGCATCGTTACAGAGAACGCGTTCGTACAGGTCGACCAGTCTTCCATCACTGGAGAGTCGCTTGCTGTCGACAAACACCGAGGAGACACTTGCTACGCATCTTCTGCAGTCAAGCGTGGCGAAGCTTTTGTTGTGATTACAGCTACAGGCGACTCGACGTTCGTTGGACGTGCAGCGTCACTCGTTGCCAGCGCTTCCAGCGGACCTGGGCACTTCACTCAAGTACTCCATGGTATTGGAACGATTCTGTTGGTCCTGGTCATCGTATCATTGCTGGTTGTCTGGATAAGCTCTTTCTATCGGTCTAACGATATTGTTACTATCCTTCGGTTCACACTCGCGATCACAATTGTCGGAGTGCCAGTTGGACTTCCCGCCGTTGTTACAACGACTATGGCTGTGGGCGCGGCTTACCTGGCTAAAAAGCAGGCCATTGTGCAGAAGCTCTCCGCCATTGAATCCCTCGCAGGCGTCGAGATCCTGTGCTCTGACAAGACCGGTACTCTGACAAAGAACAAGCTTTCTTTAGCTGAGCCATATACTGTTCAAGGTGTCGATCCTGAGGACCTTATGCTTACTGCCTGCTTGGCCGCGTCAAGAAAGAAGAAGGGCATCGATGCTATCGACAAAGCCTTTCTTAAGTCGCTACGACACTATCCGCGTGCCAAATACGTGCTGAGCAAGTACAAATGTATCCGTTTCCACCCATTTGATCCAGTATCCAAGAAGGTTCAGGCAGTTGTCGAGTCACCCCAAGGCGAACGCATTACATGCGTCAAGGGCGCTCCTCTTTTCGTGCTCCGGACTGTTGAAGAAGATGGTTCCGTCCCACACGAGGTTGAACTGGCTTACAAGAACAAGGTCGCAGAGTTCGCTACGCGCGGCTTTCGCTCACTCGGAGTTGCTCGCAAACGTGAAGATGAACGTTGGGAAATTCTCGGCATCATGCCATGCTCAGATCCTCCGCGCCACGACACGTACCGCACGATCAACGAGGCAAAGTCTCTAGGGCTTTCAATTAAGATGCTGACTGGTGATGCCGTTGGTATTGCGCGAGAGACTTCACGCCAGCTCGGTCTAGGTAAGAATAGAACACCCGCTCCGTGTAGCCTGTGATTAACTATACATACAGGTACCAACATCTTCGATGCTGAGAAACTCGGGTTAAGTGGAGGCGGTGAAATGCCTGGCTCGGAGTTCTACGACTTCGTTGAAGGCGCAGATGGTTTTGCAGAAGTGTTTCCACAACACAAGTACAACGTTGTGGAGATTCTGCAACAAAGAGGATACCTCGTCGCAATGACAGGCGATGGCGTGAACGACGCGCCATCGTTGAAGAAAGCAGATACTGGTATCGCTGTACAGGGCGCCTCTGACGCTGCTTGTTCCGCTGCCGATATCGTTTTCCTCGCTCCTGGTCTCTCCGCTATCATCGACGCGCTGAAAACATCGCGGCAGATCTTCCATCGCATGTACGCTTACGTTGTTTACCGAATCGCTTTATCACTCCACCTTGAAATCTTCTTGGGGCTTTGGATCGCTATCCTCAACGAGAGTCTGAACCTTCAATTAGTGGTGTTCATTGCTATTTTCGCTGATATTGGTACACCCCCACATCGTACGTTCTTCTTATACACGCACTGACTGAATCGTAGCGACGTTAGCCATCGCCTATGATAACGCACCATACAGCAGGACTCCGGTCAAGTGGAACCTTCCAAAGCTTTGGGGAATGTCAATCCTCCTTGGCGTCATCTTGGCCGTAGGCACTTGGATCACGATGACAACGATGCTGCCTTACCTTACCGGCGAGCAGCAGGGTGTCGAAGGCGGCATCGTTCAGAACCATGGCCAGCGCGACCCAATTCTGTTCCTTGAAATTACGTTGACTGAGAATTGGCTAATCTTTATCACCCGCGCAAACGGCCCATTTTGGTCATCCATCCCTTCATGGCAACTAGCTGGCGCGATCTTGGTTGTCGATATCCTTGCGACGTGTTTTACTATTTTTGGATGGTTCGTAGGTGGGAGAACAAACATTGTTGCTGTTGTCCGGGTCTGGGCCTTTTCTTTCGGCATCTTCTGCATTATGGCGGGTGTGTATTACATTCTGCAGGGTAGTCAAGGCTTTGACAATCTCATGCATGGGAAGCTTCTCAAAAGAAAGCAGAAGCAGAGGAATCTAGAAGACTTTGGTAAGGATAGTGGTTTTTTTACATTCGAGAAAGGACAGTTGCTGACCGCATTTAGTTGTTTCGCTACAACGGGTATCAACTCAGCATGAGAAGATTCAGCACGAGAAGATGACATAGGAGGTTCGTTCGACTGCTACTTTGCTACCACGTCAGCGATCTAGCATCAAGCTATCATGAGCTTGGTTTGATTCTTCTGCGGTCAGTAGAGGGCGTTTAGCGGCACTCCTGACTCCCAGTCACTATTTTTGGTTAGATTTTGGAAACACATATGTATTCATACCTGTTTACGATGGGAGCGGACATCAGGAGGTTGTAAACCCTCTCGCAAGTATGTTGGGGACGACGCGAGCATTACCTGCCCATATACAATACCAATACAATTACACGGTATCTCTTTTCCTCTCGAGGCTACTGAACAACTTTCATTGGTGCTCTTGCTGGTATTGTACATCTGCAGTGGCTGGTGCGATATGGCTTGGACACGTCTGACATGCATGGAAACTACGTTGGAAGCGAGCGGCTGTAGGGATACTGTACAACATGGTGATATATGCACCTGACATTCGTTGTTCGACGATGATAGAAGCCCAAGTCTGGAGAAGTCTCAAATAATATCCTCCACGAAGTCGGGCTTCGGACGGCAAACGCGGGGACGTCGCTTACCGTACCAGCATTTTGACCCCACCTTCGGCATCGAAACACGGGCGTACCAAGAATCACGTAACATGGCATAACTTGACCCACATCACCCTCCTGTTCACTTGATGCTAAAGTAGTTGAGAAGTATTAACTCTTACCCTCGATATCAACTCAGCTTCGATCACATCTCATCTCATTACTTCAGGCTACCCCTCCAATTATCAACGCAGGCTTTCGCAACAATGGCCAACCTCAACGTCACCATCCCTAAGTTGAAGCTCAACGATGGAGCCTCAATTCCCATGCTAGGCTATGGTACGGGTACTGCCTGGTTCAAAACTGGAGAGGAGAGCAAGATCGATCAGGCTATCATTGATGCCGTCAAGGTCGCGACTAAGTTAGGATACACTCATCTTGATGGTGCAGAGGGTAACAGCCACATTGTTCTTGGGATTTGAGAGCTTCACTGATTATAATAAGTCTACAAGACTGAGACCGAACTTGGTACTGCCATCAAGGAGAGCGGCGTCCCCCGTGAGAAGTTGTACGTCACCACCAAAGTGAACAACGACAATATCAACAACATCGCTGGTGCTATCAAGACAAGCCTGGAGAAGTTACAACTGGACTATGTTGATCTGTAAAGTTTCTCCAAAATTCACAATGCGTCTCAATACTGATAAAAACAGGTATCTCATTCACCAACCTTGGTTTGCAGGCTCAGACGAAGAACTCCAAAAAGCATGGGCAGACATGGAAGCCGTGCAAGCCTCCGGTCTCGCCAAGTCCATCGGCGTGTCCAACTACCTTCCCAACCATCTGGCCGCTATCCTCAAGACCGCCAAAGTGAAGCCTGTGTGCAACCAGATCGAGTTGCACCCTTATCTGCAACGGCCAGAACTTCTGGAATTCCATAAGCAGAATGGCATTGCCACAGTCGCATACGCGCCTCTAACCCCTGCTACCAAGGCTAAGCCTGGTCCTCTGGACGACTACGTGGGCAAGCTGACGAAGAAGTATGCTGTGAGCGAGAACGAAATTTACCTCCGATGGTGCATAGACCAAGATATTGTACCGATTACGACGAGTAGCAAGGAGCAGAGGCTAAGTGATTATCTGAGGGCGACTACATTCAAATTGACGCCTAGAGAAATCAAGGATATCAACGAGATCGGACAGAACAAGCACTTCCGTGGATTCTGGAACCATATCTTCAAGGGTGACGATCGCTCTTAATGTAGTGTCTGTATGAAGCAACAAATAGGCTTACGCGACATGAGGCCGATGAGTCTTATGTTAAGGAAATTGACATTTTCACATCGCTATGTCCCTGCATAAACCTGGGCGTTCACTGTATGATGATTTGAAGAATCGCTTCCTGGGGTACTAGTGCAGGTGATTTGTGACCGCTCTGTCCGAGGGCTCGAAGTCAGCATTGGGGACGCCAAGACAGCAGCTCAATCTTTCCGCGCGACCTCAGCAACTTCAACTTCGACCTCCACTTATCGCGCACCCGCCCTTTGCACCCACCCACGTCGCGTCATTGCTGTACACGCATAAGGTCGCGCATATTATCACATACGTCACAAGTTTCAGCGCCGCGCTGCGCAATCATCGCCGCCATGTCAGGCGCAACTGCGAAGGGCAAGAAGCAGGCGAACAAGAACGCCTATCGCCGAGCAAAGAAGAAGCAACAGCGCTCTGTAAGTAACAAACACGCATCGCATCGCGTATCGTAAGACATTGTACTGATAGACCACAGGAGACACCGTCGGAAGCCGGCGACTCTGCGCGTGAGAGCGAATCTCCCGCACCACAAAGCGACACCAATAACGAAGCACAGGCGGTCAAGCCCGCGAATCTTCTCACCGTTGATGACATCGCGAACCAATACGACCTTGACGACCCCGTGTTTGAAGAGTACAAGAGCGTTTTCGAAAAGTTCAGGGAGCCGACAGAGGAGGAAGCGGCGACCAAGGACGAAGAGAAGCCAGAGATCTATCTCTCCGACGACGATATTCCCGACGAGGAGGAAGAAGATGGCAAGCCCAAGCTTTCCAAGAAGCAGAGGAAGCAGATGAACAAGTTGTCGGTTGCGCAACTAAAGTCATTGGTCCCTAGGCCTGAATTGGTCGAGTGGACGGATGTGTCATCCTCAAATCCGCAGTTGCTAATCTCGATCAAGGGAGCGAAGAATGTTATACCAGTCCCGACTCACTGGTCGCTCAAACGCGAGTACCTCTCCTCGAAACGCGGTATCGAGAAGCCTCCGTTCGCTCTACCCAAGTTCATTCAGGAGACAGGTATTGCAGAAATGCGAGACGCGGTTTTGGAAAAGCAAGCAGACATGACGATGAGGCAAAAGCAGCGAGAGCGCGTACAAGGAAAGCTAGGCAAGCTCGATATTGACTACGCGAAACTATACGATGCATTCTTCAGACGACAAACAAAACCAGAGTTGACACGGTACGGCGAGGTCTACTACGAGGGCAAGGAGTTTGAGACCAACCTCGTGAATCTCAAGCCTGGTGAGCTGAGCGAGGAGCTCCGGGAAGCACTTGGAATGGCACCGGGCCATCCGCCCCCTTGGCTCATTAACATGCAGCGCTTCGGCCCTCCACCATCGTACCCCAACATGCGCGTTCCTGGTGTAAATGCACCGATTCCTCCTGGTTCGTCCTGGGGTTTTCAGCCCGGCCAGTGGGGTAAGCCCCCTATCGACGATGCTGGCAAGCCACAATTCGGGGGCGATCTGTATGGAACAGCCATACTAGAAGAGCAACAGCAACCCACACATGTTGGCGAGCCTGTAGAGCGCGGTATCTGGGGAGCACTACGAGCCGAGGGAGAAAGTGAAGACGAGGAGAGTGACGAAGAAGAAGAGGAAGAAGATGAGGACGAAGAGGGCGGTGACGAAGACACGACTGGTATTCAGACATCGATGACAACAGCATCCGCCATGCCATCGGAAATTGGAGGAGCAGAGAGTATCGGCGGAGAGTTCCAGCTCCGAAAGCAGCGGAAAGGCATCGAGACGGAAGAGCCGGGTGTCCCACGCAGCGCAGGTACCGTGCTTCCCGAGAAGAACATCTCGGCAACTGGTTTCTTCGGTGGCGAGCACGCTTATGACTTGGACGCGGCTAGGCGCGATGCGCTTGGGCACGCACAGAGGAAGCGCAAGGCTGGGGACATCGACGTCTCTGTCGATGTTGACCAGTTGGCAGATAGTGATAAGCTTGACAAGGACGCGCTGAAGAAAGAGTATGAGTCAAGGCAAAGAGCTGAAGCGCAAGGGCAATGGCAGAGTATCGATCAAGACGATTTGGCGGACATGATCAACCAGGAGAGCAGGAAGCGTACGAAGAGGGAGGATGAGCGAAAGACCAGGCGCTAGATTTGTCGGTCAAGAGTCCGTAGAGGACATGTGTTTTGTACAAAAGATTACGGGTTGCATTCTCAAGAGCTCTATGAGCGAGCCGGCGTCACGGATGTCAAGGGTCAGTAGGGCTTCGGCATATTCAGCATTGGGATACGGCGTTACATGCGGCAGCCAAGGTTGACCGCAGTTGAACATAATCAAGATGAAGAATTTCTCAATTTCAAGGACAAGACTGGTGGAAGAATTGCATGCTGACTACGGAGGCGGCAGTACGCCTTAATGCAACGAAAGCCTCGAAGGATGCGACACACAAAGCAAGGGATGTGAAAGGCTTCAGCTGAAAACGTGAGTTAGAGATGGCGCGCCGCCAGGTTTGAAAGATAGATACGCAGAGACCACGTTTGTGTTGAGACGCCGGATATGGGCTTCCAGGTCGATGGTCCTGGAGGGATGAGGGAGCGATGGTGGGAGACTGCAAGAAAGAAGACATCAAATGCTGCTTGAAGTGCCACCTAGGAAACGCTGGATTTACCGCGCACCCACACCCGCACTCACTACCCCCTCCTTCGGTTGTATGCCCGGCGAGCAACTCGGGTATGAATCACACCGTTCGCTGTTTGCATGATGTGAATGACCAGCGGCCACAGCGTGGACGCTTCCTGGCACGTGACAAAGGAACGCGTCCAGTCGCAGGGCTTGGCTCCGAACTTCACTTTTTGCGACCTAACACACGAGCAGTCACCACCACTCGGCAATCGTATCTGTTAGCTGTCAACTCCGACTAATCTCTGCCAGCGCATCACTTAGTACTATCCGCCTGCGACAGGCTAGACACATCGCCTTCGTTGCAGAAATGGACAGGGATCGTGAGCGAGACAGAGACCGAGGAGACCGAAGGTTTGTCGACTCCAAACCGACTGTCGCCTAGGCTCCAATGAGCAAATGTGCTACCAGACACGCCGGATCCAATATGCGTGCATTCGCTGACACTCGGATAGAGACGACAGGTACTCGAATACATACCGTCCTCGTTCCCCTGGCCCACGCCCACGCTCTCCACGCGGCGACAGCTATCGAGCCCGCTCACCTCCACCCCGTCGCGGTTCGCCTCCTCGCCGTGCATCACCCATTCGTCGCGGTATAGCTTCGGCTGATACATATGTTCCTGGTGGGCGCTCATCGCGTCCGCGGAGTCGGTCGCCTGCTTTCCGAAGAAGATCTCGAAGCCCACGTCGCGATGACAACTGGAGAGCACGTCCTCGATCACCACCTCGCCGAGCATTCTCACCACGACGAGATGAACCCAGACGGGATGACTACAGGGCAAGGTCGCCGCCACCGCGACGGGATCGCGATCAGTACGACTCATACACTCGCTCTCCGCGCCCACGCGAAAGGTCTCTGCCGCCTAGAGAGCGCGATATTTCCCCAACTAGGAGCCGTGGCATGCGTTCGCCTGTTCGTTCGAGCCGCTACGAAGAGCCGCGCTCTCGAGTAAACAGGTATTTTTCTAGTCCATCGCGACAGCATGTCATCTACTAACTGATATGAAGCCCCCCGCGCCGATACTCACCTGCCCGAGACACTCGCGACACACGCGACTACCGACGCCGCTCACCCTCTCCAAGACGCGAACGCCCCGACCCTTACACTGCGGATACCTGGAGAAGTCGTAGGTCTCCTTCGCCCGCGCGACCGACATACGCTTCAAACGATGCATCGGGTAGGGATTCTGCAGCAACGTCGCGCCGCTCTTCCCCACCACCGATCCATCCTAGTCGGGCTGCACTTGTAGAGGAACGACCAGTCCGAGAGCCCGCCTCGGCGCCACGATCGCCATTCCGTGAGCGCCTCCCTGATAGAGGACGGGACTACAGCCGTGAGGGAGAGCGGGAGCGGGAGCGGGAGCGGTCACCTCCACGTCGTAGGGAAAGCCCTCCAACAGGACCGCGCGGAGATAGAGACTTTGCGCCTCCTACTGGACCATCTTCGTCTTCATACCGCAATGGTGACAGTAACTTTGCTAGAGCTCCACCAACAGGGCCTTCCAGCCGGAGCTATCCCTCCCCTGCGATATCGCCTCCCGCTGGCCCGTCAAACCTGGCACCACAACCCCCCGCGTTTCCCCGGGGCAATAATCCTGTTCTGGCAGCACCAACACGACCGCGTGGTAGTGGCCGTGGTGGGTTCGGAGGATATGAAGGACGAGGCGACTTCTCTGGCCCATCCTCAAGACGAGGATCTTGGGGTGCAGGACCGCGAGGAGGAGGCTATTATGGCGGTGCGCCATCTGGCCCACGTGGTTCCAGCAGCGGCCCTGGTGGTGCAGCACCCTTTGCGCCCTCGTTCCGAGGATCTAACAACTCCACCGCTACAACCTACCCCCGTACGATGCGGTTCCGAGATCATCTCTCCGACCTCCCCAAGGAAATACCTGGTGGCCAGAGAGCTCCGGAACTGTACGACAAGAGTAAGATCTTGAAGCTTGAGGCAGAGGCGCAGAAGTTGAGGGAAATGATTGACAAGAAAGAGGATGCAAAGAGGCAGAAACTCAGGGAGTGGGACAGTCTTGAACGCGAGGCTGAGACGGCTCAGCTCAGAGTCGACCTTGCAGAGGGTTCATTGCGAAGCATAAATGGAGAAGCCGACGTCAGTGATGCCTTCTAGGAGGGGCGATGCCTACTAGTTTATGATCTTAGGGAATGCAAATGGTAATTTCTAGGTTAACTGGGGACTTAGTACGGTTTCGATCTTGGAGGCTATAAATGGTAGTTTTCGATCTGAGTTGTATTTGAACCTTGGAAGTAACGTTCTGTGGGCATAGCGGGCGTTGAGTGGCACATGTCGGTAGCAATGAAGTATTGATCAATCGAAAATTTTACTCCCCATCTGAAGTTGTAACCATCATGTACCCGGATAGTATTCGCCGGACTTGACGGTACACTTGCGCTTCTCCGTAATGCTCAGTTCTGGAATGCTCGTGGTGGTCACTCACCTGGCGCGGAAAGCTGATTCTACTGCGGATTACCGATTGGCTAGTATTAATTCTCCACCTGCAGTTCTGACTCGCCGAATGCCAAATTGTTGCTGCAGCTGGTCTAACTAACCTACTCACCCGCCGCCCCAACTTCTGCCGACTACTCTACTGTCGCACAAAATGGTGGGCAAGAAGGTATGAAGCCTAACACTGACACTGCGACCGAAGGCTAACATGCGTGTAGGAAGTTGCAAAGCCCAAAGCTGCCCCGCGCGGGGCCGCGAAGGCGAAAGTTGCGACTGGTGCTCCCGAAGTAAAGAAAGTCGACGGCGGAGATATGGACACAGATACTGTTGGTGCCAACCCTCAAACGACAGCGGGCGATGACGCGACAGACCTCAATCCCGGCGCATCCACATCGGCAGAGGCGACACGAAAGCGACGAGCGCCGCTTACCCATGCCAAAGACGAGTTCGCCGCCCTTCTCGAGCCTTTCTACTACGGAAAGAGTTTGACCGACCCGATTAACACAGCGCGCGACAAATGGAATTTACTGCCCGCATTCCTGAAGACCAAGGGTCTTGTCAAGCAGCACGTCGACTCGTACAACCACTTTGTCGATGTGGAACTTAAGAAGATCATCAAGGCCAACCGTTTCGTCCGTAGCGATTTCGACCCCAAGTTCCTTCTCGAGTACACAGACATCCGCGTCCTTTCCCCGAACCGACAGGAAGAAGATGACCTCGATCACCACCGCAGTACCATTACACCGAACGAGTGTCGATTGCGCGATATGACATATGCTGCGCCGATTGTAGTGGACATTATATACACCCGCGGCAATGCGAAAGTCAAGCGGACAGGCATCAAGATTGGGCGTATGCCTATTATGCTGAAGAGCAACAAGTGTGTGCTCGCAGGAAAAAACGATCGCGAAATGGCAGTCATGGAGGAGTGTCCGCTAGACCCAGGAGGCTACTTCATCACACGAGGGCAAGAGAAGGTCATTCTGGTTCAAGAGCAGCTGAACAAGAACCGTGTCATTGTTGAGAGCGCAAAAGGTATCATGCAAGCCAGCGTTACGAGTTCTACGCACGAGAGGCGAACGAAGACGTACGTTATTCAGAAGAAGGGTCTTATGTACCTTCGACATAACACGCTTTCCGAAGAGATTCCGATCGTCTTTGTAATGAAGGCACTGGGTGTACACTCCGACAAGGAGATTCTGCTCATGATAGCCGGTGAGGACAGCGCGTATCAAGACAACTTCGCTATCAACTTTGAGGCGTGCGCAAGGGAACAGATACACACCCAGGAGCGAGCGCTTGAGTACATCGGCCATCGCGTACGATTGGTGAAGAAACCGCTTGGTACTTCGCGCAGCCGGAACTATCACTTGGAGGCCATCGAGTGCTTGTCCAACGTCGTCCTTCCCCACGTACCAGTCGAAGGCACAAATTACCGGCCAAAGGCCCTTTACGTTGCCCTCATGGCACGAAGGGTTCTGATGGCCATGCAAGATCCAAAATTGGTGGATGATCGCGACTACGTTGGAAACAAGCGTCTTGAGCTATCTGGTCAGATGTTGTCACTTCTATTTGAGGATCACTTCAAGCGTTTCAACCATGACTTCAAGCTGAGTATCGACAAGGTACTCAAGAAACCAGTCCGAGCGCAAGAATTTGACGCCTTTTCCCACTTCAGTGTACACAAGAACCACATCACCATGGGTGTCGAGCGTGCCATTGCGACCGGAAATTGGAGTTTGAAGCGTTTCAAGATGGAGAGAGCTGGTGTTACACACGTCTTGAGCAGACTGAGTTACATCGCCGCGCTAGGTATGATGACGCGAATCAGTTCACAGTTCGAGAAGACGCGGAAGGTGTCTGGTCCTCGTGCGCTGCAACCATCACAATTTGGTATGCTTTGCACTTCCGATACCCCGGAAGGAGAAGCTTGCGGTCTTGTCAAGAACTTGGCATTGATGACGCACATCACAACTGAAGACGACGACGATCCGGTGCGCAAGATCGTGTTCATGTTAGGTGCTGAAGACATTTGCTCGCAAACAGGAGAAGAAATCCATTCTGAGGGTGTGTACAGTGTATGTCTCAACGGTACACCTATCGCCGTCACCGATACGCCGAAGCGGTTCCTCAACAGCTTCCGGAAACTCAGAAGAATGGGCCGTATCTCGGAGTTCACCAGTATCCATATTGACCACGACCACTGCGAAGTCCACATCGCCACAGACGAAGGGCGAATTTGTCGGCCGATGATCATCGTTGAGAATCAACGCTCAAAGGTTACCTCGCGATATCTGAAGGCTCTTCGCAAGGGCACAATGGAGTTCGAGGATTTCCTGCACAGAGGTCTAGTTGAATATCTCGATACCAACGAAGAGAACGATACAAACATTGCTTTGAAGGAGAGCGAGATCAACCAACACACCACACATCTCGAGATCGAGCCCTTTACCATTTTGGGCGCTGTCGCTGGTCTTATTCCATACCCTCATCACAACCAATCGCCTCGTAACACCTATCAATGCGCTATGGGTAAGCAAGCTATTGGAGCGATCGCCTATAACCAATTCAACCGAATAGATACACTGCTATACCTCATGGTCTACCCACAACAGCCGATGGTCAAGACCCGCACCATCGAACTTACCAAATATGACAAGCTGCCCGCTGGTCAAAACGCAACTGTCGCGGTCATGTCCTACTCCGGATACGATATCGAAGATGCGCTCATTTTGAACAAAGCCTCTTGCGACCGAGGGTTCGGTCGCTGCCAGGTCTTGAAGAAGCACGTCACGCCACTGAAGACGTATGCCAATGGTACCTCCGACCGTATCAATGCCGGCGCTCTCGACGTGGACAACGCCAGCCACCAAGCCATCGGACAAGACGGTATTGCCCAAGTCGGCGCCCGCATAGAAGCTGGTGATGCTTACCTCTTGAAATCGATTCCTCAAGATACCGCCGGACCTGCAACAAATGTGTACAAAGACAAGCCTGACAAGTACAAAATGCCCGACTGCAGCTACATCGACAAAGCCTGCATCACCGAGAATGAAGCAGGAACCACGCTGATCAAGCTCCTTATGCGACAAACCCGCCGGCCAGAACTGGGCGACAAATTCTCCTCGCGCCACGGTCAAAAAGGTACAACAGGTCTAATTGTGCAACAAGAAGATATGCCCTTCAACGACCAAGGTATCTGCCCCGACATCATCATGAACCCCCACGGTTTCCCCTCGCGTATGACGGTAGGAAAGATGATGGAACTCCTCTCTGGCAAAGCAGGCGTCCTAAACGGCACCCTAGAATATGGAACCGCATTCGGTGGCTCCACTGTCGAAGACATGTCGCAAATCCTTGTGGAAAAGGGCTTCTCGTACACTGGAAAAGATTACCTCACCAGTGGTATCACGGGAGAAGCACACCAGTTCTATACCTTTTTCGGTCCGATTTATTACCAGAAGCTCAAGCATATGGTGCAGGATAAGATGCACTCGAGAGCTAGGGGTCCGCGCGCTATCTTGACCAGACAGCCTACTGAGGGTCGTGCGAGGGATGGTGGATTGCGCTTGGGTGAGATGGAACGTGATTGTTTGATTGCGTATGGTGCTTCTCAGCTGCTGCTTGAGCGGTTGATGATTAGTTCGGATGCGCATAACGTTGATGTTTGTGAGAAGTGTAAGTCCCCCCTCCTCTTCCTTGTTACGCAACTCTTTCCTCTTGACACCTGAATGTTTACTGATAATGCAATAGGTGGGCAAATGGGTTATAGCGGCTATTGTAAACTCTGCGAAAGCGAAAAGGCGGTTCGAAAGATCACCATGCCTTATGCGGCTAAGCTTTTGATCCAGGAGCTGGGTAGTATGAATGTCAAGGTAACAATTGGACTGGAAGATGAGTTCCCTCGGGATGCTTAGACGTCTAAGAAAAAACCAAGTCGATGCATGTTTGGCGCTGGATTGGACTGGGCTTGGGTGCATAGCGTGGCGTTCATCATCATTACATTGATTCTAGTGTACACAATTATGGAAAGTTTTACTGTTTGATCATTTCTGAAAGTCTACTTGGTCTGTTGTTTTGAATTTGTCGTAAGATAAGATCAATCGTCGTGCGGTTGAATCCTCGATGCCATGTCGCAACACATGAATAATCAAGATGCATCCTTTCTCTTTGACCTTCGGCACCATGATCTCATTCGTGTCGCCGTTTCCGGAGTCAGCGACTCTCGGGGATATGCGCCGATAGCCAACATCATTGACAGAATATCGATTGGTTCTAGATCTCGAGCCACGTTCAACCAGAGCTCCATAGGCATTCGATCTAAGTGTGGTGGTAGAGCTAATATTGCTCTGGGCACGATCGAATTATGGGCCAAGTGTACTATGCTAAGGTAGGTGTTTGCCGTAAGCTCCGGCGCAATCCTATGCTGCTGCAGAGTAGGGTAGATGGCCAAAGCGAGGTTCATCAGGTTTCCTATACCCGCATACCGGTATACCATGAGAAGCAATTCGGCAGGAAGTAGATCAAACAGGTTGTCGCTGGAAGATGGCTTACGCGGCGGCGGTGGTGGTGGTGGTGGTGGTGGAGGCGGAGGAGGCGCTCCAGCAGCTGCAGACATGGTTGCGCGCAGGAGTGTGGATGACGAACGGGAGAGTAGTCGCTGTGATTCGAAGGGCTGATTGCTGTTTACTCAATCGGTGTGCGGTTTGCTGGGTGGTTCGGCAGCGACAGATAGTAGCCAACGGTAGATGTAGCCCGAGAGAAACCAGGCTCCTACAGCGACTGCGGTGATGTATATCGCGACCGGACCGAGTGATTGTGGGAAGACGTTCAGTATAAAGGAATCGAGTACTACAACTGTTAAACAATACACGACATATGCGCAGGATTATACGTACTGATATCCGCGTCGACCGGAGGCGGGTAGTCCATCAATGTGCGATTGGTCGAGTAATAGGACGCTGCAGCCTGGAGGCGCAGAAATAACATGGATTCTGGGGCTGCAGGTTGCGCTCCCTTAGTGATGATTTCGTCGTCGACTGGTTCGCTTCGAAGTGCTGAGTTATACTGTGCCAGCGAAGATATCAATTCAGGAGTGTTGAATACGTGGGTGATTGAATAAGTGTCGAGCCAGAAATCGGTAGGTTGCTGGGCATGTCAGTACAAGCAAACGTGTATGCACGCGACATGCAATGGGGAGGCGCCATGAACTCACAGTTGCCGGCCAGCAGATGCGCACTTCGTACCTTCTCCCGTCTTCCAGGCCGCGAAGCAGGTACCAGGACTCGAGACCGCGGGGCACCGACTCAGTGGGAAACTGTACAGGAACACGTATTGGGAGGATAGTATCTGTGGGCGACAAGCGATGCAAACTGAAGTCATCTAATCTGGGGCGGACATTGGAGAGAGTCACAGGTTTAGGACCAAGGAATATCGTCTTCTCGACGTTGGCATTCACCGTCCAGGCCTGTGTGACGATGCAGAGCAGCCCGGCGGAGAGGCGCATCTTTGGCGGACAGGACGTGAGAATGGGAGGAAGTTGGAAGGGAGGCAACTCATCGTCCGTCACGTGGGCCAGAGCAGTTCCATTGAGATGTTAGCCGTACAGATGGTCCGAAGTCGTGGTATGTCTGCGCAATGGCCAGGCAGCGGCATTCGACGTGTTGCTTAGCGCCCTTGTCCGCGCTAGGCCGCGCCTGCACACCCTAAAAGTTCGATTCCACAGACAACACCAGCACCTCTCCCCCACTGCTCCACTCCCACCGACAGCAGCTCCTCAACCTCGCCCAGGCACCCCCGAGACCGCATTTCGATACCCAAATTACTACTCTGCTCTTAATTCACAATGAGAGAAGTCATCAGTCTGAACGGTATGTCGCTCTATACGCCGATACGCGCCCTGACCGCCTTGGGCGGGACATCCCTGACTATTTGTTGATACTGACTTTCACGCGTTTAGTCGGCCAGGCCGGTTGCCAGATCGCAAACTCTTGCTGGGAGGTGAGTTGAAGACGAGAACACGCTCTGCCTCGTGCTGTGTAGCAATATCAGGGGGCATTGCGGCTACCTCACCGCCAGTCCGCGATTATACTGACTTGCCATCACAGCTCTACTGCCTCGAGCACGGTATCCAGCCCGATGGTTTCCTCACCGAGGAGCGCAAGGCCCTGAACGACGACCACGGCTTCAGCACCTTCTTCTCCGAGACTGGTACGCAGCTTCCGTCCCGAAGCGCTGTTTTCGAATATTAACACTGCGCAGGTCAGGGCAAGTATGTTCCCCGTACCATCTACGCCGATCTTGAGCCCAATGTCGTCGACGAGGTCCGCACCGGTCCTTACCGCTCCCTCTTCCACCCCGAGCAGATGATCACAGGCAAGGAGGATGCTTCCAACAACTACGCCCGTGGTCACTACACCGTCGGAAAGGAGCTCATCGACCAGGTCCTCGACAAGGTCCGCCGTGTTGCCGACAACTGCTCGGGTCTGCAAGGTTTCCTCGTCTTCCACTCCTTCGGTGGAGGAACTGGTTCCGGTTTCGGTGCCCTGTTGATGGAGCGTCTGTCCGTCGACTACGGCAAGAAGTGCAAGCTCGAGTTCTGTGTGTACCCAGCGCCCCAGGTTGCCACATCAGTTGTTGAGCCATACAACTCGATCCTTACTACCCACACCACCCTGGAGCACTCCGACTGCTCCTTCATGGTCGACAACGAGGCCATCTACGACATCTGCCGAAGGAACCTCGGAATCGAGCGCCCCAACTACGAGAACCTCAACCGTCTCATCGCTCAGGGTAAGCTCCCCAGAATTTGCTTAGAAATACCGCCTGCTAACATGACTCAGTCGTCTCATCCATTACCGCCTCCCTCCGATTCGACGGTTCCCTCAATGTCGACTTGAACGAGTTCCAGACCAACTTGGTCCCCTACCCTCGTATTCACTTCCCTCTCGTGGCCTATGCTCCCGTCATCTCCGCCGCCAAGGCCGCACACGAGGCCAACTCGGTCATGGAGATCACCAACGCCTGCTTCGAGCCCAACAACCAGATGGTCAAGTGCGATCCTCGCAACGGAAAGTACATGGCTACTTGCTTGTTGTACCGTGGTGACGTTGTCCCCAAGGACACTCACGCTGCCATTGCCCAGGTCAAGACCAAGCGTACCGTTCAGTTCGTTGACTGGTGCCCAACTGGTTTCAAGGTTGGTATCTGCTACCAGCCACCCCAGATGGTTCCCAACGGTGACCTCGCCGCTGTCAACCGCGCTGTCTGCATGTTGTCCAACACCACAGCCATTAGCGAGGCCTGGTCTGCTCTGTCGCACAAGTTCGACCTCATGTACAGCAAGCGCGCTTTCGTCCACTGGTACGTTGGTGAGGGTATGGAGGAAGGTGAATTCTCCGAGGCTCGTGAGGATCTTGCTGCTCTTGAGCGCGATTACGAGGAGGTCGCTGCCGACAGCCTCGGTGACGACGAGGGTGTTGAGGCAGAGTACTAGACGGCTTGTTACTGTACTCTGTAGCGTGATTCAGAGCAGTATGGCTCTACATTGCTGATTGGAATGTTTCTTGTTCGAAGCCTCGCTTTTGAAGAGAGACAGATACCTGGTTGACAATGGCGAGCTACGGCGTTTACAAGGAGAGCTGCTAGCGTACCTTCTTCTCCATACATGAAGCGATTTGGGATCAATTGTCCTCTTTCTATGTTACTACTACCTTTAGTAATGCCAATAAATTGTTGAATGGCACCTTCACATGATAACTCCTTGACCGAACCCATGTCGATGTGATTGTTCGTGAAGTGTGGTGAGCTTTGAGACAAATCAATAACAATTGAACCATCGCTATGCTACCCAACGAAATCGTCACTACACACCATCTAAACAGCTGTACTATATAGTGCCTATCCCACTCCAGCCATGCTAAAAGTCCTCTTCTTCATCATCCTCCCTAGCCAAGGCATTCTTCTCCGCCAGCTCCCTAATCTTCTCGCCAAGCACTTCCCGTCCATATCTACTCGCAACCTTGCCCGCAAGATCCAGCATCTTGCCATTCGCATCTCTCATTAAACTGACAATCTCCAGGGCCTTCATACCATGGTCCTCACCCGCAAGACACTCCAATCCGAGCAGTTGGAGTAGTGCACGATCAATCGCCACTTCCAGCGTACTGAGTGCGGATTTCTGAGATGCCGTAGGACGGGTATGTAGGAGTGTAGAAGAAAGCTGTGAATGTAGTGTCGATGCGAGAATGAAGGCTTGTTCATGATCCTGCTGTTTCTCCTCGTTGCTCTGCGGCTTGTCGTCGTCTTCTTCATCTTCCATGTCGCTTTCCTCGCCTCTTCTGTTCTTCTTGCCCTTGGCTTTGTCAACCACACTCGTGAGCGGGATTTCAAAGCCGAATTCAGAGAGATGCGGGACGGGTGCTGAAGGGTACTGTTCCCGGCCTTTGATGATCATGCAGTGGAATTTCGCGCCTGTGCCGTCGGAAGATGTGGGGGATGACGCGACACCAACAGGCCAGTATGATTCTTCTTTTCCGCCACCGGCGCGTCGAGCAAGGAGTTTTGTATCGAGCATGGGGACCCAGCGGGCTTGGCCGGTGTTTCTCCAGCCGAGGAGGGTTAGCAGGACACCATCGGAGTCGTAGATGTATGGATCGCCTTCTGCGGAGAAGAAAACTGAGGTTAATGTTGTGCCGGGAGGTAGGGCAAGGATGTCGGAGTCTTGGTATACTATGTCGTGCTTGATGTTCTCGATGGTGTAGAGAAGTTGCGTGCTAAGGTCGTTTTGGATAGGTCCGTTGCCAATGGTGAGTATGTAATCGCGCCAGGCTGCACAGGTGACTGCTGGTGAGCTCTTTTGTCTGTAGACGCGTACCGGTAAGCCGAAGAGGGAGTATATGCGCACGTAGTTTGCTGACGTGGTTACGCAAACATACGAATCCGACAGTGCAATTGCGGTGACAGACTCCCCAGTTGGGAGATTCGTCCGCCACTCAGTTCTCGTCGTCCACGTCTCATGCGGTCGGTAGTATATGATCGCAGGGTTGCCGTCACCAGTGCTGTTGGGTTGACAGGCGAACAGTGTACCGTTTTCGTTGAGACAAGATTTGTCGTAAAGGAAGATGTCGGTGAAGTGGAAATTGCGGAAGGTGTGCTCATCGTAGAACTTTACGCTCACTGTATGGTGTTTGCCCTCCTGTTCCACAGTTTCAACGTAACCAGTCAAAGAACAGCAGAGTAACCGTCGGTTTCCGCGCCAGGGTGTGCTACCTGGTTGGAAGGGCTCGTGGACTTGGGGACGGAAGAGGGCGGAGCTGTAGGCACGGCGTTTGGATGCTGGTTCCACGCCACTAGTAAGATGTCCGTTTGGGCGTTTTCTCGCAGCAGTGATCGCGGGAGCGTATCCAGCGCCATCATCGTCGACGACAAAGTCCTCCATCTCTTCGTCCCCATCTACGTGGGCTTCATCGTCTTGGAACTCTGGGCCCAGGATATCTTCAAGAGAATCTGGTGTCCCACTCCTTTGCCGCGGCCGTCCAGGAAGCGTCTGCACATTGCCGTTTGTGAGTTTCGCTGGCTGTGGAATACCAGCTCGGCCTTCTGAGGGGTCGTGGAAGAAAGGAGCGGAAACGGTAGGTTTTTGTAGTAGGGGAAGATGCTCGTCAGGTACGAGATCGGTGTGAATGAAGAGTTCACCTTCATTGTTGGTGTATGAGAGGATGTTTTCCGTTGGGTGCCATGCCATAGCCAAGATAGTAGCCTTGACATCGTCGAACTTCTTGAGCTGTTTCTGTGTCTTGGTATCCCAGAGGCACAAACTCAGATCACTCGAGGTAGTCGCTAACAAGGCACCGTTAGGCGACCACGCCGCCGCGGTAATATCAGCTGTATGACCAGTCTTGAACACTCTTTGCCTTTCCCAGTCACTAGTCGACATGACCTGTATTTGACGCATGGCAGTTGGCGTAGCGAATGCTCGTCCATCCGGGTGCCAGAGGGCTTTGGAACTAGTCTCTGCATCTGCCTCCAAGCTCTTGATCATGCCTTCCACCTTGTTCACCATTTCAGGCTCATCGCCATCCAGCTTATACATGTAGAGATGACCGTCGGTGCAGGAAACGGCGAGTTGGGTTCCGGTCTTGTCAAAGGAAACGTGTTTTACGGCTCGTGGCTGTTCGCGCAGTGTTCTCATGCTCTTGTCTTTGGTATTTACGAGGTTTACGACGAGTTCACTGTGCCTATTAGTAACAGGGTCGAGCATCTGAAATCGTAGACGTACTCGCTGGCAACGGCAATCCAGTTCCCATCCGGACTAAGAGCCACATCCCGTACTGGGAGCGTAGTCCTAACCAATATCTCTTCAAATTTGCCATTCTCAAGGGAGAACCTGCTCACTGTGCCGTCCTCTGAGCCTGTAATGAAGTAGCCATTCTGCGTGGGGGAATCAGTGCATCGTTCTAACGTTGACTATGCGATAGCACATACACCAGCGACAACTGCGGTGTTGTTCTCTTGACACTCATCTATAGTAATCGGCTCATCATCCGATCCAGTAGTGAATACGCGGCAGTAATTGTCGACTCCGGCTGTGACGAGTTTCTTTCCGTTCGGTGTATATGCGAGGTAGGTAGCACCGGGGGCATCTGAAGGCTTCAATTAGTCTGATATTCATAGGATACAAGTTCGGTCTACTTACGGGCCTGTCGTGCGCGTAGACGCTGTGTTGTAGCCATTGTGGTATAGAATGATGGTTGCAAGTGCACCGCGTTTGGGTTGACGCGACCGCGTAAAGTGGATGAGGCTAGCGCGCTTTGAAGACGCATCCCCGCCGCACCCCATCATTTCTAACATTAACAACATTTCTACTATCAAGGCTCATTTTCCGCTTATGATGACGACCTCCTCGTTACATCTCGACCGAAATCAGATCCTAAATTTCACTTCACTCATTACAAGAATAGCACCTCGTAGCCCCACGGTGCACTACCAGCGACCGGGTCATAGTAGTTTATGGGTGACATGCCCGATCAGCCTTTAATGTCTGCAGACGTAAAACTTTGTATACAACTCTGATATTACCCTACCACATACTCTAGGACCAATTCACGCTACAGCCAGCCACTGGAGCATTTTACAGCTGAGAGTCTATAGGCAGACTCATCAATAGCTCGGTATGCATGCAAAAATCATAAACGATCGCATAGGAATCTGAATAATTCAAAAAAAAATGGCATTGCATGCACAGCTCGGTTCAGGTCAAGGTCCCAGAGAAGACTACATGTAAGCAATACTTATAATCTGCTCATCTGGCTACCTTGAGCTGGCCATACGGCACTCTCTGCTTCTGTCTTGCGATCACTCAGAATGTATTTCCAAACTTTCACCCACCTTGTCATCTGCGCTGCGCTTGCGAGCGCAGCACCACTCCCAAAAGCCCCAGTAGACAACGATTTTCTTGCGAACGGCGGTTTTGAAACAGCCAGCGCTTGGACAGGCAGTTCCCGATCTGGTCTTCCTCAAGGCTATCTCCATGGCTCTTTCGCTACCACAGACTACGCATGCAAATGTTCCTCTGCTTACAATATCTCGACATCGGGTGCAAATACCGCTTCTCTTCGCGGCTACTGTGTCACTCAGACCATCAGCAAACCTGCCGGCTCATACAAGTTCTCTGTCAATGTTGGGCGCATCTCGCACGCCGATGCTACTTCCTCTAACCAGGAGACCATTACTGTCGCGGTAGCTATGAAAAACGGCAGAGCTATACTGTAAAACGCCATCTGCGACTCCAGCGCATTGAGAGGCAGACTTTGTACTGTCGCAGCCAGAAATGGTGTACCCATCCACGATTATGTGGAGACGAGATTCGCGACGACCGTGGGCCAGATCAAGGTCGATATTTGTGCCACATGGACGAGCTCTGTTATCGATGGGTCGAGGGGGTTGTGAGTGTTGTTGCTGCATGAGTTGCTCTGGGACACGGAGAGTATGTTTCAACGCCATATGACTGGTAAATGCTAGACGAGCGTAACGCAGCAGACGCAATCGCGTGTGTAGGATTGTTGGAAAGTCTTTCATGTTTTACCATCGCTCAGAAATAGTGTCACCTGCAGGATGGCGATGAACGATTGACTTGTTTAATTCTTGGGGGCATCGGGACAATCATGCACCGATTTATCAGCCCATACGAGGCCAGAGACATAGAAGCTGCACGGACTTTGACGGCTCAACAGATGCGAGCTTCTCCGCTATCACAGTCGACCGACGCTAAAAATGCACCCCATACCCAAACACGCGTTAGGGCGTGCATTAGTCGCAAATGGCCGCCGCCTTTCGTGAAAAAGTTCCTGAGTCTTGTAAACTCCGCAGTCATCCCATCTTGAACATTTTTAGGGGATTCTTACGGAAAGCAGACGCAATGGTATTCACGGATGAAGAGCAGCCTCTGCTTAGGATTATATCGCATGAATACGAAAGCATCCAACAAGAGCGCAGTGGCGAGGAAACGGGGAATGACGCGCTTGATTTCGAGCCTCTGGACCCTGAAGACCCTAGAAATTGGTCCAAGGCGTTCAAGTGGGGGAATGTTTTCTTGCTTGCCCTAATGGCATTTACAGTGTACGCATATACCATGAAAGGTTGTAATTACTACAAGAGTTTGGGGGCTAACTATGTTCGCAGCACATTTACTTGTATCGGCGTTGTGCCGGTCGCTAGCAAAATCGTCGAGGACCTTGATGGGAAGCACTCAAGCTCTGCGAACAGCGCCCTACTCGTTACCATCTGGGAGCTTGGAGAAGCCGCTGGACCTCTGCTTATCGCACCGCTGTCAGAAATTCTTGGACGTTATCCTGTCTTCAACGCTTGTAACATCGGATTCATCGCTGCGACTATTCTAGCAGTGTTGAGCCAAAACAGCGGCGTTTTCATTGCTGCTAGGATGCTCACAGGCCTTTGCGTCGCCTCGAATGTCCTTAACCCAGCGATTATCGGGGATATTTTCGAGAGCGAGCAACGCGGATCTGCCATGTCTCTGGTAATGCTTGCACCGCTTATTGGAGGAGCTATTGGTCCTGCCATTTCGGGCGCGATCGCGCAGACGATAGGGTGGCGACGCATGTTGACCATTGCCGCTGGACTGGCCATAGTGTGCGAAGTTCTGTTTCTTGTTTACTTCAGGGAGACATACAAAATGGCTATCCTGAGGCGAAGAGCAGCAAAGACGATGCAGGAAACCGGAGAAATCCCTCAATCCAAGAGCACGCATGAGCATCTAGCAAAGCTCTGGCACTCGATCACTCGACCTTTTGCAGTGCTGTTCGGGTCCACTGTACTAATGCTTCTCTCGTTGTTTGCTTCCGTCGCCTTCAGCTTCTTCTATGTTGTCAGCGTTTCATTACCGCTAATTTTGATGGAGAAGTATGACTTCAGACTTGCCATGATTGGTACCACATTCATCTCATTCAGTAAGTGCCCTAAAGTATCCCTGATCGCAGTAGCTAATGGGGATTTAGGCGTCGGATCTTTCTGTAGTGTCCTAGTCTGCAACTTCACGCTTGACAGGATTTACATCAAGCTTCGCGGTCCTGATGGTGAAAAGGGAAAGCCAGAATATCGCCTTCCTCTTTCTATCATTGGTGCGATTCTGCTACCTTTCTCCGTAACCGCATATGGTTGGATTGCGGAATACCGTCTCCCGGTAGTCCTGCTTCTTGCCTCTGTAGCCTTGATGGGGTTCTCGCTCCTTCTCACAGTCATACCGTTGTCCGCCTATGTCGTTGACGCTTGCGGGATGTACTCGGCCTCGGCTATGACCGGCGTCATTGTCACCCGATGCCTTATGGGCACTTTCCTACCACTGACCACCGGTCCATTGGCTGATGCTCTTGGATACGGACTGGGTTTCAGCATTCTGGGCGCAGTGAGCTTGTGCTTGGTTATCATTCCGATATCGATCTTTAGATATGGAGAGAAGTGGCGGCAGCTTTCAGAGTTTACGAAGGACTCTTGAAAGATAGTCAAGCAAGCAATGTAACGCGAGACTCCCTGATTACGTCGTTGATTGAACGAGTCTACTATCAATTAAACAATCGCATGTACGTTCTGTACATGTTGTAGACTAGAACCTGTATGGTGTATCCCCAAAGACAAAAACTGGAGAGCAGTCACGTTGATAAACAACATATGTCCCTGCCAGGCACGCTTCCTAAAAACGTCGCTTCCTCGTTCTCAATTCTTTCTTGCAGTTTCTGTGTGCCTAGCTCCTTCTGTGCAGCTGCATATCACCTGTCTCTCATAAACGACGTCGCAACCTTTTTTACTCTACTCTCCTCCTGCAGCTATCATCAACATCCGTGAGATTGTTAATCAGCCCCGAGTAGACAAATCCAGAGGTCACGAAACAAGCACGCCATGAAGTTCGCTATCCTAGCTTTCACAATTTTGGTAACCCAGGCTGTCGCTCAAGACTATAATGTCCAATCTAACGGCTTCCGTCTCATCCTCAAATCATTGACTAATGATACCCTCAATGAGTAAGAACTCCCAAGACTCCTATATTGAACAGCATACTAACATTGATCAGCCACGCACTCGGTGCTTGTCATCAAGGCGCAGCCCAAGAAGGCCTATGTCTAATGAATGACACGCTTGCCACCCCAGCACGCCCCTACACCACTTTCTATCACAACACCACCTCCCACAACCACGGCAACCTCAAGAACGCGAATGACACCGCAGGTGTCCTCAACTGGTCCTTGAATTACAATAACGGTGCCGGCAGTGTATTCTCTGCAATGGCCCTCCACTACTCCCAAACACCTTGCCTTATGGACATGATTTTTGCACCCCACAACTCGAGTTACCAAATGGTGTACTTTGCAGAGGGCAGCAGTTCCATGTACATTGCCGTCGGTCTCAATGATACTGGCAGCACTCCTGCTTCCCCATACCACCAATCAAGGTCAGGAGTTGGTATGTATGTACCATGCAGTATAACTACAGGTATAGGTCGCTGGTGTGGAACATGGATTTCATCATGCTGCCACAGGATCCGACTTGTTCATGGGTCGGCGTCCAAAGAGTTTGGGTTTGAGAAGGTGAGCACTGAAGATCACGTCGCATTTCTCAGACGTGACTGCCGAGCATTTTGATTGAGGAGGTAGAGTTGTTGTTTATGGTTCCTCACTAGCAGTGATTGGGAAAGCCCTAGGGGGTATTGTGTCCTTTCATTGTTATTGCTAGTTTCCTTTTCACATTTTTCTGCTTGTCTTCAACTTCTTCATCAGGATGCGTGCACAGAAGTTTGGATGTTGGTCACGTCAAAGCGATGCTCACTACCTACAATGAGGCTACCGTGAATATTGAACCTTCTCGACAACACCGGGCGTGTCACCCTCTCATTGTTCACGAAACTAGTCATATCTCAGCCCTGTGTAGTGTCCCTTTCCGTCTCATTAGTCGCCATGCAACTGATATCCAGCAGGCTTGGATCGACGTTTCTGCACTCATAGACAGGCGGCTCTCCACTGGGTACTTGAACAGTAATGTTCTCAGCGCGGATGTTACTGCATCTCTAGAATCAAAGCTATCAGTATGTTCCAATGCTGATCTATACATCACTGTACTTACGTCGGGCGCGCTGCAGACCAAGGTACCTGCTTCGGGATCTTCCTTCCCAGATGTAGTTCCGTACATGTTCTTGATAGTGATATCGGAGATCGTCAAATTTGCCTATGCAAAAACTCATTAGCTTCGATAGTCTCACAGTCTCGCTACTCCATTTGCTTACAGGATGTTCAGAACAAAGCGTCTGGTTCTTTTGCCCATAGCACTGTGTGATGGTAATCGCGCGGTCGTTGTTATCAACACGGAACGTGTCGTATGTGACATTCCTTACTCGCCCAAGACCGCCGCCGCCATTCAGCAGCGTTTGGAAGCTCGTTTGAATACCTGGCCACACTTTAATTCGAGCGCTGTCGCTAGCGTTCGTAAGGGAGACGTTGTATATATAGAGGTTTTCCACGATATCGGTCTCGTTGGCGTATTGACCTAGAGAGCCTACGCTCATTCCATGGGATCCTGTGCAGTCCAAATTCTGAATGACGACGTTGGTACTGTTGGGTTTGAACGAGACGCAGTCTAGTTGTGGTCAATACATGAAAAGGTAGAGCAAGAGAAGAGACAAAGTATTTACCATCAGTGTTGATGATGTATGAGTCCTGGATAACGACGCGGTCTGAGCGGTAGGTATCCCAGCCGTCGGAGTTGGCTATCTCGACGTCGTTCAGGCTCTGCACTGCTATGAGTATCATGGGTGTACATTTAAAAGGAAATATTTACCTCTGCTCGTAGATCCATGTTACTGATCAGAATGTCGCTACTGTTTGCGATGATATTGAACCACTAGAACGTATCAACAAGCGGGAGATGTAAGGCAAGACTGTGTCCTTACATGCGGCGAGTTTCGCATGCGCAGATTTGACATCGTAGCTCCCTCCATCCCATCAAAGGCGAACAACATAGGTCGTCGTAACTATAGTATACATAAGTCAGTAAAATACGCTCAAGACAATACTTTTACCGTTGAACAAATTGTTGCTCACACTTTTGTTGGTCTGAATCTCTTCCCAGTAAGCTTGGCCATGCCCATCAAGAACGCTCTTCTCCCTGCTCAGATCTCCGTAGATATTCACATCCTCACCACCCCACTTCCAGTACACGGATTGATTTTGGAAATCGTACTTGAAGCTGTTCTCTGCCCAGTAGTAGACATCACTTGCATCGAAGTGTATTTCGCCGGTGATATTGACGTCAATATGTTTGAGAAATGTAAGATCTAGAGGTGAGCCTATAAGGTATGATTGATCGAGTACGACTGTACCGCCGTCATTACACTTATGGAAAGAATCGAGGATGCATGCTGCGTCGTCGCGGTCTGAGGCTGTTCCTGGATTGACAAAGCAAAAACGTTTGGGATCTCGTGCCGGCGAACATGGCATTGGTGTACCAGAGTCATATGGGGCGGGAATGGTGTTTGGTCGCTTGGGAAGATGGTGGTTGTTAGTTGCTGATGCCGCAGCGAATGCGGCAAAAACTGAGAAGAGACACAACTGTAATCGCATCTTGACAATCATCGAAGTTGAGTAGGTAATGTACGGATTCCGTCTCAAAGCTTTATTTACGCCTAGATACGAACATACTGCCGGCCTGACAGTCCTATATCACTCGAGTTCATAGTCCCAACAAATCGACTGTACTAGGGGGATTTGCGACTCTGCGCGAATGCGTGTTTTCCATACGTGGATCGTATTGAGCCGTTCGGCCGCTCGGTACATAAGACAACGACATCGGGAGCTTCGTAATCCAATATCAATGGGATCAGCGGGTAAATGTGGTAACTGTTGGCAAACAAGAGTCACAATGATGCTTCTCAAGCTTAATATGGGTGCGGGGGAAGCTTGGCAGTATCGACTTCCGCCGATAATCCGGGGTAGAGAAGTACGCGACATCTCACCAACCATCCTTTAGACGTCATCTTCTAGATAGTGAGATTATGTAGCAAGAGGGTGTCAATATTGACGGCTTCAGGAACGTCTTATCATCGGAAGCTATAGCAGTTCAGACGCGGTGAGCAGGCAAGCGCGCATCCATTGCCTAATCCTACTATACCTCTCTTCCTCAACTAACCACACAGAGTCTTCTAAGTCTTATCGTGGTGCTCCAGCTGCTCCGCCTGTCTAGATAAGCTCAATTGCAACAAGTTTTGCGCTACACAGCCTACCTGACTGATCTTTTAGGTGCAGCTGCAGCCAAAAAAGCCATACGATGAAGCTGAGAATGCTAGCTACGTAGCCGAAAGACACCACAGTAATACGAATTTTCCTCCGTGCACCTGTGCAATTGATGCATGTCGCCAACGTGAAGAAGCTGACAGCGAACGCTGCGGTGCCGTTCAGTGCTGAAATCGATAACAAAGCGAAGTTCTCCATCGGGAATGGAACCAAAAGCTATCTTGCCAAATTCGATGATATTACGAGAGTTCAGATGGAGGCTTTGCCCGAGGTATGTTTCTTCCCACTAATTGTCTTTGTAGAACAAGCTAACAATTCCAAGGTGTATGAGATTGAGCCACTTCAATACTACAAGCATGTATATGTCACGCAGGAGAAAGCCCCATGGGGCCTCCCCCGTTTGAGTAGCACTGGCCCTATCGGGACAGGACCCGATCCTGTGTATACCTATCGTACGGAGGCCAGCGGTACTAGGGTTACTGCGTACATAATCGACACTGGCATCAACAATAAGCATGTTAACTTCGAGGCACGCGCAAGCAAAGGACCAACATATGTTCAAGATGACCCCAAGTCAAGCAATGTTGATGTACATGGTCACGGTACACATGTTGCAGGGACTATTGGAGGCAAGACTTACGGAGTGGCCAAGGATGTTACCCTTGTCGATATCAAGGTTTTCAATGACACCACCGGTACAGCTTCTACTATCGACATCATCAAGGCCCTTGCTTGGGTTGTCGATGATGTATACTCGACCAACTCACGGAAGAAGGCTGTTGCAAACCTTAGCCTTGGCGGTGGTGGTGGCGCCAGTCCGGCCATGGATGCAGCGATTGCTGCGGCGGTTCGATAAGGTGTTGTCGTTGTTGCAGCTGCTGGAAAAGACCATGGTAACAATCCCCCACTCTTTGCTGAGTCTTAGGTCAATGCATACTGAGTTGATGCCGACACTACTTCGCCGGCTCGTGAGCCACTTGCCATCACCGTCGGTGCAATCGATATCAACGATAACAGAGCTTCCTTTTCTATCTATGGTCGGAAAATTGACATCTTTGCACCGGGCGTGAATATTTTGTCCGTTTGGGTTGCAGAACGTGGCAAGGAATCGACCAATAGGGAGATATTAAGCATCAGCGGTACTTCTATGGGTAAGCCGATGTCACTTTCAACCCAGATGACAAAAGCTGCGACTAATCATTAATCTCTTTAGCGTCGCCTCACGTTGCGGGTGTTGCTGCGAGTATCTTGAGTGACACGAACCTTCAAGCCATCAACAACGCGCAGGACGTCATTGGTGCAATGCTCATCAACACTGATAAGGGTGGCGTCTGGAGCCTACTCAACTTTGTTAGGTTCTCAACTATCGCTGCCATTGCGAAGGTTTAGGGCAGGGTTGGTGGGATAAGCTTAAGGAAGTTCAATTGTATTCCATTCTACGCTAAACCGTTTCCATGTCTGATCTTGACGAACCTCTCCACATCAGCCCTCTCAACAGAGTCCTTGTCCGTAATCTCCTGTCGTGTTTCTGCATATGTGCGTCTGATGCTGAAGATGTGCAGTAACCTTGGTGTTATAGCGGGCGTTCTGCCCTGCGACCGCCAAGTAGAATGCCGGAGCGCAGGATTCCATAGAAGTGATGCCTAGTCTGAATCGACAAGATAACCTATATCGGACTCTAAAGTCTTGCAGCATAGAATAGTTTGCGGAAGAGGATGTATGTCATCGGAGTGTAGACACAGCTAAGGTCTTCGTAGCACCTAGTACTTGGTATGTATGCGTAGGCCCGTGCGCCATGGTGCTCACGCATTCAGCGGAAGCCCACCAGAGCGGCATCACCAATATCACAACGCGCTCAACCCACGCCACGATGAAGACATCATTCACCACCCTCTCCTCCTTTGCGACACTTACAAGTGCAGCACGCTTGCTCCTGCAAATACCGAACACGGTCCTCGTCAACCCGTCTACCCTCCCCTCGACGACGCACGCAACGCTCCAATCTTCAGGCCCGCCTCTTGATGCCTACCTCACGCGCTCCAATACGTTCAACTTCAACAATGTGAGTGCCGGAAGTTACCTTGCGACCGTGCATTGCCGCGACTATGCGTTCGAGCCATTGAGGATCGACGTCACTCGGGAGGAGGCGGTAGAAGGCAGTGGGGAAAAGAAGGAGATGATCAGGGCATGGCAGACCTTCTTAGGAAACGAATGGGACAACAAGGGAGAGAGTCGCGGCGAGGGCGGTAACGGCTTGGTAGTCGAGGCCCGGCCTGTAGGAACCAAATACTTCTACCAGGAGAGGCAGGGTTGTAAGTTGGCGTTTATGACAAGATGCTGCGAGAAGACCTTTCTAACATGTCGCAGTCTCACCGCTGTCGTTCTTGAAGAACCCTATGATTCTCATGGCGGTGGTATCCATGGGCCTCATCTTTGGCATGCCCAAGTTGATGGAGAACAGTAAGCCACTCGACAGCTCGTCATTTGCAGACACACATGCTAACAGTCATCTAGTGGACCCCGAGATGAAGGAAGAGTTCGAGGAAATGCAAAAGCAAGGCGTCCTGGGCTCCGGCTCCACCAACACCGCACAACAGCTACAGAACTTCGACCTTGCTTCGTGGATGGCAGGCAAGACGGATTCGGGCAGCACGAGCGCACGTACACAGAGCCCTGCCGGGCAAGCAAAGAAACGGTAGATAGCGGACACGCATGGCTTCAGATAGCAGCAAAGTGCTCATATCCTCCGAGGCAGCGTACGTCCACCACATATTTCCAGCGAGCAATATACGTTATGATCAAGTCAGGCCTGTTTCCTTGGCCTGCGGAACAGAAATCTAATCCATCACCCGGCACATGCTAGCAATGCCCTTTTGCAACACATTTGTCTGGGCAAAAGCCATGTTAATGCATGATCCCTGACTAATCTACACAGGGCTACACTGGTAAGCTGAAGTGTCTGTTATCGGATCCGCAACTTCCAAGACACCTCCTCGGGATCGTTGTCTACCACCACTCCGCGAAACTCAGGACATTTTGTTTCATACAACCAGATTACTACATCCTCGAGCTGCTATACGGCACAACACAATACCTTCAAACCCAGCTTCCGTCCCGCGGCTTACCCAAGCGTGGTGACTGCTTATTCACGTTCTTGGCTTCCATCTCAGCCAATCGGGCAGGTGCTAGCCCCGATAGAGGCAAGCTTCAGTCATCCAAGCCAACGAGATAGCATCGTTAAATTTATGCCGTGGCGTATATATAGTTTCGCTGGGTTTAGGTTTTCTGGCTCAATCCGTTCGCACTGCGGTTCTTCCTCGCATGATGGATAAGATGGCAGATACTCCACATACCGGCGTCGATACACCAGTAAGCACGGCAGCACAGCATGATTCTCACCAGCATCACCACTCACATCTCGGCCACCACACGGGCAAGAGGCTGAGGCATTTCTTTAAACCTGATGGAAGAAAAGTGCACATTGCGAGTTCACCCGATGAAGCAATCCACATGAGGAGGAAACTAAGCACTGCGGATGAGAAAGAAGACTTCGACTTAGTTATACATGGATCTCCCGAACACGTAGGTTCATTCAACAGGAATGGAGGATTCTTGGTATCAGGCAGTTGATCTGATCACATGCCATAGATCGAGGCACTCCGCCACACCCACGCCCACCACACCGCGCACCACCGCCAACTTCACCAAGACCATGGTGCCCTAGCCCAAGAGTTTGAGCGCGTAATCCGCGACCTCGACACCCTATCTACCGAACTCCACATGCTCACCTCGCATGCCGTGCAACTGGACGCCAACTTTTCCAAATACGGTTACTCAGCCCATCTGCGCACTAAGGACGATGTAAATACTGCAGACTCTGCAGACTCCTTTACTGAATCGTCGTTCGACAAAGAAACATGGCAGGCAGGTCGTAACCACGGAAACAACATCCGGCTCTACCAAAAGCCCATAGTACGACAATACTTCCACAAAGGTCTTCTCTGGCGCGCAAAAGAGGCCCAAGAAGTCGCTTCGTACGAACTCTTCATCGACCTTTTTTACGTAGGTATCATCGCCATCACCGGTGACTCCGCAGCCGAGCACCCAACAGGGCAATCTCTACTCCGTTTCGCCATCACCTTCATCATGGGCTGGAAGTTCTGGACAGACATTGGCGTTCTGGTGTCGTGGTTCGATAGCGATGATGTGATGAGGCGGTGTTCCGTACTTTTCCTACTAACCTGTTTGTTGGGGTTCACGACGAACATGGCCGAGGCTTGGGAGAGGACGTATGCGCCGCTTGTAGCGTTTTACCTGGCAGCCAGGTTGTTTGTCATGACGAGTTTCTTCTGGCATGCGTGGTGTATTCCTATGGTTAGGGGCAGTATGTTGGGCAATGGGGCCATCATGCTCATCCCCGCAGCGCTTTGGATAGCGAGTATACATGTCGAAGAGCCACGTAGACAAGGGCTTATCTGGACGGCTATTCTATTTGATCTGTTTGGTCAGCTTGCAATGTTGCTGCTTCAGCGGCCTGGGTCGCCGGTGTATAGGTTTGTTCCAGAGTGGATCAAGAGAAGTCTCGAGTTCTTTCCTGCGACGAACATCGAGCATCGGATTGAGCGGACAAACGCCTTTGTTACGCTTGTCTTCGGTTCTTGTGTTCTGGGTCTGCTGTATCAAAGTTCTGTTGAGATGGGGATCAATGCTTTCTTTGGCAAAGCTGTGTTGGGGTTGATACAGGCGTTTGTGTTCAATTGGCTGTACTTTGAGATTGACTCCTTCAATCTGCATACACATGCTATTCGTCGGCATGTATTCTCCGGTAAGTCAGACTCCCATTCCCCTTCACACTCCAACTAACAACTACAAGCGTTGATATGGTTCTCCGTCCACCTCCCCTTCATAATGTCCTTCGTCCTCTCTGCATCCGCCCTCGCCGTTCTAGTCCGCGCCCACGACATACCCTCTGCACCTCTAGACTCCTTATCCGAGACCTTCATCTCCCGCTCCGAAGACCACATCTCAGAAGGTCTAGTATGGTATTACTGCGGCGGTCTGGGTATCTCCCTCCTCTGCCTCGCTATCATCTCTGCAACACATGTCCATCGCACCATCCCCAACCAACGTCTCCGTAAATCCGCTCGTCTCGCCTATCGCACCTGTGTGTCCATCATCATAATCACACTTCCTCTTGCGCACCTCGATAGCCTGCGGTTGGTAGCAACGACTACGGGGTTGGTTGTTTCTGTGCTAATGTTGGAGTTGGTTGGCGTGTCCTGCTGGGGCGAAAACTTCTTCTGGGAGAAAGATTGTAAGAGGGATCGGTCGACATATAGCGCGAGATGTGCAGTGAAGAGGGAGGAGTTGGAGAAGAGCGTTCGGGACGGGACGGTTGTAGATGTGGCTGAGATCGCGAAGAGGGAGGTTGGTGAGAAGGGAGTCGTTGGTGTGGTTTGAGTGATAAATTTGATGTCGTAGTTGAGTGGGGTGTTATATTGTTTGGCATGCATGAGATGGCAAATTCTCGATATGATCATGGTTGTAGTAAACTTATCGGCTACGTCAACGCATCTTGAATGAATTGCAGAATGAGATGAGTTCGATGATATTATTTGCATGATGCGTCATCAATGCACCACCCAATTTCCCAATCTCGTCGCTAGAACGCTACACACACGCTTCATGCAGCACGCATACAAACTCATATGTATTTTTTATGCCACACAAGTTTCACACACTCATCCATCTGCTCGCTACTACTCATCTGCAACCTTGACCTTCTGTTGCTCATCATGGAACCGAATCGTACGTCCAGGGATGACGCCCTCGCCTGGACCTGGTACCTCGCCATCGACAACGCCATCCTTTACTCCACCATCTACTCCCGCATGCTCGCCATCCCTTGCCGTAGTGTTGACACTGTTCATGGGCAACGGCGGCTGACTGGCCACGCGCGCCGAACTAGTTGCCCTCGATGTGCTCGCCGAGCTCGTCCCCGAACTGATCAAAGTCCTGCCAATACGCACAACCCGGTTTGGCAGAGAATCACCTCCATTGCGCGACCAGCCTGGGCGACGGCGCAAACGCGCTTCAGCATCAGTTGTAGGCCCGTCGGTCCCCTCGATATGGAATGTGGGTTCGTCCACAGCTGAAGATCCGGTACGGGCAAAGGATAAGGCTGTGCTGAGAGTGCGGGGAATAAAGAAGCCGAGTTTACCTAGAGGAATGGACAAACCGTGGACGACCTGGTTGATATTAGAATGAGCATTGAGATATTTGAGAGAGGAATAAACTTACGACTGAGCAGATCACTAAGAACCAGATGACCACATTCATGACTTCCATGAGAAACGCTGCATCCTCCCTGACTTCACCGTCGACTTTGATATCAGCAAGAAACTCAAGGCTGATGTAGAGGTAGAAGATGGCGCTCACACCGATCGGACCGAAGAAGCCTACGAACAGTGCTTGACGTCTTTGTTCGATCTGGTGAATTTGTTTGTGCATAGCAAAAATGATAGGCGGTCGGCGGAGAAGCAATACTAGGATACCCAATGGGATGAGTCGGTAAATTGGGATGACTGGAGAGTGTGCGAAGAGGCGCCAGGGACAGACGGCGCCAAACCAGATGAAGATCGAGACATTAAGAAGCATGTCGATGGTTGGTTGGAAAGAGTCATCCATCGTTTCGAGGCGGAACCAGTCATCCCAGGTAAACGTGTTGCCGGCGATGAAGCAGGCGAGCACGTCGTCGCTGCCGATCATGCCGCAGGTGCCGACAATAAAGAGCTGCATCCATAGTTAGCAAACCTCACATCCCCAAAAATCGAAAAAGAGAACTTACAGCCAAGGTAATTGCAAACACCAAGAAACTCTCGCGGTCAACGTACTTCCGCTCCTCGGCCCAATGGAGTAGTTCCTTTGCAATCCAGCCCACAGCAGCACCATAAACCACACTTAGTATGATCGTGTAGCCCCAAGTTTCGCCGAACCACAGCCCTACTGCGACTTTGGTACTGTTATCCGAGCCTTCTCCGCCGTGGCCAATATGCTTGATTAGGTAAAGCGGTAGGAAAAGAAACGGGTAACCAAGACCATCGTTCGCTCCGGACTCAGCAACAATAATCTTCTGCAACTCTTTCGGGATATTTTTGTCTGCAAATTTCCCCTTGACGATGGAATTCGACAATACAGGATCCGTGGGCGTGACACAAGCGCCTACAGCCAAGGCATGTAGGAAGCTGATATGTGGGACCAAAGCGAATACAAGTAGACTCGTCACGAGCCACATGACTGTCATACCCGGACCTAGTAGCAGAGATAAACTCTTCCATTCTGTCTTTAGATATTTTGACGGTAATTGCACACCCGCGAGTACAAGCTGGACGCCTAGCACGAGGCGCGTAAAGTACAAGGTGATGGTATCCAGAACCTCGGCATCGTTGAGAGCGTATTCCTCTGGTCTGATCCAATTTGTGGCATGTGGCGAGAAGATGAGTCCAGCGATGAGTGATATTACTGAAACACACGGATTAGTATGTACTTTGAGGCTGGAATGATCTGTGCAACATTCTCCAAATCAAGCTTGGGAAACAGCGACTTACAAGCTTCACTTAGGTAATACTTCTCTTTCATCAAATAACTAACAAGTCCAAAGAGCGTAATGAATCCCCCCAAAGATGCACAGACAATGTTGAAGTTGTTAACCGCCAAGGTAGGCATGGCTGGCTACCGACCCTGAATCGGATCCTCGGATCCGACCAACGGCTATGTCGGCTTCCTCGCTGGTTTTGCTAAGTTCTCGGCGAGGCTTGACGACAAAGCTTAATGAATATTTCTTCTGCTTCACGAAGTTCTTGAAGGTGATTGAGCGACTTGCAATACTTTATTTTTTGGTGCAAAGTGATATACGTCGTTTGTGTAAAGATGTTTCGCTGATCCGTGGGGTAACTCGGTGCAGTGGTATCGTGGCCGTCTGAAATACCTTCACCGCAAGACAAGAGGACAGTGAAAGCTTGATGGCAACGACAAGAGGCTTGAATCTCACAAGAGATGAATAGGTAGTCATATAAGTGGAAATATGGGGAGTGTTGACATCTTAGAGAGTTTACAAGGAAGGCGAACGTGGGTCGCACACGCGTAGCGCCTTGGCTGACGGCTTGTCCAAGGCTCTGTTAAGGCTTGGTATTTTGCGTTTAAATACCTCAAAGTTTACTGATGGGCAACGGAACAAGATTTTGAACAATTTGGCGCGGGTAGCGCTCTGATTCTCTACATTCCGCAGATCACGTGCCAAACTCGAGAAAAACGTTTCACAATGCTTATTTACAATCCCAATAGAGCCCAATATTCTACCTTCACCAAATGCACATCTATATGTTCGCGGCCGCTGCTACCTGAGGTCCATATCCGACTTGTGGGTATGGCTCACCAGGTGCCATGAAGTTTGTCTTGGGATTCTTCTGGGCCTTTGCCGCTGAGCAACGGGCCATTGTTGGTGAGCTGTGTAAATATTAGCATGACATCAAAAAATGGATAAAGCATATTGGTGTGACTTACTTTCTGGAGATGGCATCTGTGAAGAAGAAGTTCTCAATGGGGTTCTTCAGCGCTTGACCGGTCGCTTGTGCGCCCTGGTTCTGGTCTACCAGCTGAACCTTGCTCAGGCTGGGTAGCGATGCGGGCTCAACAAGGTCGTATCTCCTCAGAGCAGGCGAGATCTCCTCCATGCGGTCGCGCAGTTGCTCAACATCGTCGTAGGGTAGTTCAGCACCGAAGTACTCTGATGCTGCTCGGACGATCTTCCAGTCTTCTCTTGAAGCACCGGGAAGGCCAACAGCGGCACGGGTCATCTGTACGCGACCCTCGGTGTTGACGTATGTGACCGACTTCTCTGTGTATGCGGCACCAGGCAAGACGACGTCGGCGAACTGTGCGCCGCGGTCGCCATGGTGACCTTGGTAGACAACGAAGGCATCCTTGGGAATGTCGGCTTCGTTGATCTCATCCGCACCCATAAGCCAGACAAACTTGGCCTTGGTCTGGGCAACCTCGGAGGAGGGGACAGTGAAGCCGACCTCGTAAGCACCAGTTCGGGAAGCGGTTCGCTGCAGGATGTTGAAGCCATTCCGCTCCTCGGTCTGGAACTTGTCCTTGTTCTTCTCGACGAAAGATCCGACCTGCTCGTAGATCGACTTAGCATCAGGGTGTTCTGTGACACCGCTACCGACAATGATCATGGGCCTCTTGGCTGAGGCCAACTTCTTTCCGAATTCTCCGGAAAGAGCGCTCTTGACGTCGTTGGCATTGTTTCCAAGCTTCTCGTACTCAAATGTGCTCTCGAAGTCCTCGCCAACGTAGCCAATCTCAAGGTCTGTTCTCAGCCATTGCTTCCTGATGCGGGCGTTGAGGACGGCAGCCTCCCATCGGGGGTTGGAGCCAATGAGGAGAATGTAGTCAGCATCCTCAACACCGTAAATCTTGGAGTTGAAGGCGTAGTTTGACCTGACATCGATACCGTGCGCAATGGGTTCGCTGCCACCGGGTTGGTCAAGAGCCAGGTTGTCTGAGCCGAGCTTGTTGGCAAGATCCTTCATGGCGACCAGCGCTTCGGTCTCGACGAGGTGGCCAGCCACAACCTTGAACTCGTTGCCCTTGGGTGCGATCTTCTTGTATGCGTTGCCGATCTCGACTAGAGCCTGCTCCCAGGTTGCGGGCTGGAACTGGTCGTCAACGCGGACGAGTGGGTTGACCAGGCGCTGTGTGCTGAGAGCATCACAGGCGAAACGGGTCTTGTCGTTGATCCATTCCTCGTTGATGTCGTCGTTGAGACGCGGGATAACTCGCATAACCTGGATACCGCGAGAATCGACGCGGATGTTTGAACCTAAGCCGTCAAGGACGTCGATGGACTCAGTCTTGTACAGTTCCCATGGACGAGCCTTGAATGCGTAGGGCTTCGAGGTGAGAGCACCAACGGGGCAGAGATCGATGACGTTTCCGGACAGTTCGGTGTCAAGGGCGGTTTCCAAGTATGTGCCGATTTCTAGGTCATTGCCACGGCCGAAAGAACCAAACTCGGGAGCACCAGCGATGTCGTTGGAGAAACGGACACAACGTGTGCAATGAATACACCTGTTCATGGAAGTCTGCCTTTGTGAGCATACATTTTGGGATGGAAGACATTGTGAGAGCTTACCTTGATCAACGGTCCAACGTTCTTGTCCTCAACCGCACGCTTTCCCTCGAGCTCGTGGAAGCGTCCGCGGTCGGCACCGTATCTCATGGACTGGTCTTGGAGATCGCACTCGCCTCCCTGGTCGCAAATAGGGCAGTCCAGAGGGTGGTTGGCGAGCAGGAACTCCATGATACCCTCACGCGCCTTGTGGACAAGAGGCGAGTCGGTCTTGACAACCATGCCTGGCTGTACGGGCCATGCGCAGGAGGCGACAGGCTTGGGTGCCCGCTCCACCTCGACCAAGCACATACGACAACTTCCAGCAATCATCAATTTCTCATGGTAGCAGTATCGTGGGACGGTAACTCCGGCCTGGTCGCAGGCTTGGATGAGGGACGAGCCGGCTGTTGGGGCGCGTTAGAACCGTGTGTGCAGTTACAAGGGGACATGTCTCGTCTTCGTACCTTCGACTGATACTTTCTTTCCGTCTGTCAGGCCCGTTAGCATACCTTGTCGCCCACAATGGGGAGTGGCACAAACCGATAGTGAGCTCAATGTCTGCTGGTCGGCGGGCCGAGGCAGTAAAGGCCCGGCTGCCATTGAGGGCTGCGCGGAGGGCAGGCCTCTTCAGCGACCGGATCATCTGTTGCCGCAGCATTGTGAGGCTCTGAACGATGGCGATGGACTTGTGGCTGCGGAGCTTCAACTGACGTTCACGATGGGAGCGCTATGGCTTGGCGTTTGAATAATCCACCCGTGATTGGCCAAAGCGCCGCCCGCCCCTTCCACAAAATTCTCGCCGGCCGCTCTCCGACTTTCTCTTCTTCAACTCATTATGGGCACAATTTATTGTAGGAAAGTTTGGCACTCTACCTAGCTATCCTCTATTACGTGTCCTATAGCACGACTCACCGTGCGAGGTAGCTGGAGCAGACGAGGTTTTCTGATGATATCTTGTTCCTTACCAACGTCGCTACATTTTTTTTTTGAAGAAGCTGCTTGTGTCTGAAGCTCGAGGTACATAGGTACCTCACCACAAGCTGCCATGCTGCAGGTAGAAGAGAGACACGCCTGACTTCCTGCCTAGACAGCTCTTGTTAGAACATTCATTGGGCGTCTTCTCCATCACTAGTTGTGCGAAGCATGCCGCCAAATTCTCCACGTCCAACGAGGCGGTGTGGGTGCAGCAGCGCTTTTACCGAGCTCAGAACATGGCAGTAATGCGTGAGCCAACACTCACAACCGCACTGGGACAGCATTACTATGACTTGACTGTATCAAGCTCGTTTCGCACATGTGAGCGACTGGTCAGGCAACGCTCGTGGATGCGGCTCTGCCAACGTCACGTTTGCATCGGGCTACCGCGGACACCATGTGCGGGGAAACCCAACCTATCCATCTCACTCCTGAATATTCACCAAACAGCATGTTGCATTCTTCTTCTTGATAAACTTTTGAACTTGTTTGAAACCTCAAGGGTCTGCTGGAATACATCTACAAAATACACCGACTCATAATTTGACTGGTCATCTAGTCTAATGCGCGGCACCAACAAGCAAAGTGCGCAGCCTCGTCGGGCGACTCCCGAACGCCGTGGCAGAATAGTCCGCTCCAAAACATAAAATTCGTAATCATCGCTTACTCGTTGTCACTCTCAGGGCCAACCTCCATCTTCGCAGCCTTCTTGGCTCCGGAAGCATCGAGCTTCTGAGGTGGCGTACCGAGACCGTTGTGGTTACGGAAGAATAGAACACCCTTACCCTCGCCCTCGGCACCGACGCTGGGCTCGACCCACTGGCACCAGCGTGCGCTCTTGTACAGAGCCTTCAAGAAACCGATGGGGCCATCCTTGGTATCAGAGCGGTAGTGACGGCCCATGATGGGCTTGATAGCCTCAGTGGCCTCGTCGGCGTGGTAGAAGGGGATGGTGGAGATGTAGTGGTGGAGGACGTGAGTCTCGACGATACCATGGAGGAGAGTACGTCCGATGAAGCCAAACTCACGGTCGATGGTAGCAGCGGCACCACGAGTGTAGGTCCAGGCGGTGGCGTCGTAGTGGGGCAGGGTGGGGTCGGTGTGCTGCAAGAAGGTGATCATGACGAGCCAGTGGTTGACCCAGAGGTAGGGAATGATGTACCAGACGAGAAGGTTCTTGAAGCCGTAGGTCTTGCCGACCACAGTGAGAGCAGCGAGAACGAGACCGATACCGAGATCGGAGAGCAGGATAAGGTGCTCGTCACGCTTCTCGTACAAGGGGCTGGAGGGGTTGAAGTGGTTGACGCCACCGAACATGCCGTTCTTCTTGCCCTTGCCCTTGCCCTCGATCTGGCGGTCGTGGTTGTTGTGGCCGGTGACGTTGGAAATGAGGTACATGGGCCATCCACCGAGCTGCTGGCCGATGGTGTGGAGCAGGGTATAAATAGGAGTCTCCTCGGCCAGCTCAGAAATCTCGTGGACCGCCCTGCCGACACGCGTAGCGTATACTTCACGCGTCTTGGGGACAAAGACCATGTCACGCTCCATGTGGCCGGTGGCCTTGTGGTGCTTGCCGTGGGAGATCTTCCACGAAAAGTATGGGACGAGAAGGGCCGAGTGGCAGAACCAGCCGACAGTGTCGTTAAGCACCTTGGAGGGTGAGAATGCCTGGTGGCCGCACTCGTGGGCAAGGATCCACAGACCAGTGCCGAAGAGGCCCTGCAGGACAGTGTATGCAGCCCAGAGCACGGCACGGAGGGGCATGGAGGGGACCGTCTCGGGGGTCACGTAGTTGTGGAACACGTAGAAGGTAGCGGCGAGCGAGGCGACGTCGCGGGCGACGTAGCCCAGACCACGGATAGCGGAGCGCTCGAAGCAGTGCTTGGGGATGGCATCGCGCAGCTGCTTGATGGTGTAGTCGGGGACCTCGAACTCGTTGCCGTACGTGTCGAGAAGCTTTCCGTGGGATGACTTCTTGGAGGTCTGGGGCTGCTCGTCCAGCGAGGACAGCGACGTGTTGGAGGCTGAGCCGGCTGGGGAGTCAAAGGGCGAGGCCGAGACTGAGTTGATAGTCGAATCGGCTGTCTGGTTCCTTCTCAGCGCAGGCTGCTGGGGGCGGGCAGTGGAGGTTGCCATTGTAGAGAGAAATTGAGGTGTGGTGGAGGGGAAAAGAGGGTTTGGGGTGGGGAGCAAGCCTGAGCAGTTGCAGCACCAAAGGGCTATCAACTGTTGAGACGCAGGGCAGGCTGCGGGTTGTGGAGGGTGCCGGAGAGGGCCAGTGAGTGGAAGTCTTAGAAACAAGTAGAGAGAGAGGGCAATTAGGTGAAGGAAAGCGGATTTTGTGTGCGGGACCAGGTGGGAATTTAAACCAGACACTCCAGGGCGGTGTCGATGGATGTCCGGGTATGCACCAAAGTAGGAATGGGCAGGTCTCTGGGCCAGGGGCGTTCGAGAAGCCGTTTCGCTTCGATAATCAGACAGCTCCAGCTCCATCGGCTAGCACGCTTTCTCTCTACCTGTGTACATCTCTCTCCACTCGGCAAAAAATACTCTCGCCGTTGCAATTGCTTGCCACCGCACTGGACACGTCGAGCACTGTCCTCGCGAGTGTCCCACATTTGCATCAATGCATTCTCTTAGCACACATCCCGCATTGTGCCAGCCCAGGATCCTGAATTTTCAGTAGATCCCCTCTCATCCGCTGGCTTGGCGCATCGCTAGGCACGAGTACGGCAACCAGACCGCTTGTTTGTGCCCATCACCACCCGCATTCCGGCGCCGCCTCGCCTAGAGCAGGTACCACGTAGCCACCTACCGGGCTTGAATGAGGGGCGATAGCGTGATATGGCGCCGAATCAAATCCGACATGGCATTCTGCACAGCGAGCACTTTCCCCGGCCACCAGCAAAAGAAATGCGCACTTCGCGAAGGCCCGCAATGGCTCGAAAACGTTGTGGGTGCGCATCGCAAAAAGTCGGAATGCTTCTCAAGCGTGGTGCACGTCTCTCCTGCAGGGTCTGGCTTAGCGCGCCAGGCACCATTCAACCACATTGATTCGCCCAAGACCCTTCGCCGCGGTTCCTTTTTCACTTCGTGAACCGTCTCCACACGTCGAGGGGTCGTTTGGGCCACACCTCGAGCTTCACATGCCTTCTGCTATCGCTACCAGAGGTCTGACTATGACATGTGAAACCACGACAGCCCTTTCACCCCGCACGCAGCAGCTGTCCAACCCTCGGCTTACATACCTTGTCTATCACAGTCCCAACAAACTTTCCAACCGTCATCGCACGTCTAGTTACTGCCCATTGATGGATCGCTTGACGCTCCCGGTAACGCTAGCCTATCTTATCTCCACTACCAGAAACTCGCAAGCCATACTACAACCGTCTTCAGTAGACCTTCGCTTGGCATTTAGCGTACTACTTTTCCTTTACATGAAACCATCGTATTTAAAATCTATGCTATTATATGTGTTTTAATTGCGTTTGCTGACACCTTTTGACTCTCACTTCCTTTCAGGCCGTTATACAAAGACGTCTCATAATTCTCGATCCGAATATATTTAGCATATCAGTCTCCTCTCAAGCATATTTCCCGTTCCACACTTAGTCTGTTCTGAAAAGGTCGTCGTATTCTGTTTGTTCTCTGTCAAAAACGTGGTTACTCTGCAGCAACACAACCTGTGTAGTCGGGGACTTTCACATGTCAACCCCACTCCACCATCAACACACCGGGAAGTGGATCGCGGAAGATAAAGCGCGGAGGATCGCCCCTAAAGCCCGTTCAAACGCAGTATCGGGCCCCTCGTATCGATCTTGGGACTCTCAACCATGATCTTAGCGCAAACTAGCATACCACAATGTGAGAACGGCCATGTCTACAGGTTGGCAACTTGTTTTTTGGGGGGCGGCAATGTAACCAGATACACTGGGGCACGATTGGAACTGGAAATTAATCGCTGAAGCTGAGAATCTTGAAACGTGTCCCCGAGGTATTCGTTCCATCTCAGGCACTTGCGCCAAGGCAATAGAGCTGAGTGACGTCCTCTTTTCTGCCAAGAGAAAGCACACCATAGTCATACTTTCATTTCATAATTTCGCTCTAATGGTCTCTAGGAAAGCTTTCGTCCTCACAAAGTCATCCGCTTGCGTTGCAAATCAACGCTCAGAACCGGCTGGCGACACATGATAAGAGTCGACATGGACGTCCGTCTTCTTTGTAATGCCTCGATGCAATGGCCAATTAGAAAAGCAATTCACACCATCCACACTAGTCTCGCTAGGGTTCCTATTTGCGCCACTCGTCGAGACAATGTGTTTCTCATCGCTCTTTCGTCCATCTTCTGATGCACTTCGATACGCTAGGGAAGTCATCTGGTATGATTTCCCATCTGGCTACGCGTAAACATCGTCTATTTTTCGCCCAAACCTATCCTCATCATCCATGGTGTCATCGAGTCGGAAGTGCTTCCGTGTCTCTCGCCTAGAGCTCCTTATGGCAGGGCCTGCAGTACCGCTGGTCCCATGCCCGTAACCATACCCAACTTTTGTACTAGTCCCAGTTGTTCCGAACACGGATAAGAAACAGCGCTTCACCGCTTGCTTCAGCACAATCAAGCAAGCGCAGACAATGCCCGAGTTTGCTTCGATCATGGTCCAAATGCCCCGCTCAACGAAATTCCAAGTCTGGTCTTGTTGGTTGCGTACGCTGTTAGCGACAGCCATGACGCGTAGGATCGACGTTATCGTAACACTGAAGAGCTTATAAATAGATGCACGAAATATGTCATCGGCAAAATCGGTATATTTCGCAACACAGGAAAGACTTACAAACTGCCTAGCAAGAAAACACTGTGTAGCATAATCTTCTCTTGAAGCTTGAGCTGCAGCTTTGAGACTTCGTGAATGGACAGTGCCAATACGACCACGTCTGTGAAGATGGATAACAAGATGGAAAAAATCTGAGGCATGTCAATCGAAGCACTTGTGAGCGTTCCTGCGCTCGACTACCAAAGAGGCTGCAATCGTGTAATCGTCGGCCTGTAACATCACACCTGTCCGGAGTCGTACCACGATCCTGGCAATGACAACAAGTCCAGCGACAATAATCATTACTAGAGATGTCAGGTAAAGCTTCCACCCTTGATTGCCTTCGCCATTTGATGGAAATCCCATATTGGACGACATCTTATCGAGGCCTGGTGTCGCTCAAGATTGAAGCGCTATTCGATGAGTATGCTGTTCGAAATGCATCACTATGTCAAAGTTTCGAGTTTAGACGACCATCATCTGATCATCTCCTTCTCATCCTTTCGTTTGCCACATGCTTTCCCGTCCCGCAGAGTCCCGATAACCTGTTTCATGTCGTTATTTCGCGAGTATGATTTCATTGAATATTGCGACATATCATGTCGCTCCCACGCGGGAGATTCGTGTCGAATATGGTGGTCTTCTGAACAGACTAACCGAATGGTGTTGTTCCAACCCCCATGGATACAGGTAAGCGACAATCCTTCACACATTGGCCTTCCATTCGCGGAAAGGCGCAAGCGGAAGTGCCGTGCGGCATATTATACGATTCGTCCTGCAAGACGGGTCGGAACATAGCCCCATTGAAGGAATATCAGCCAATTCGCGCATGGCAGTAATCTACTGTAGATTGCGGCAAGCGTTCCCATCGTCTCCTTGATTTCACAATAGCTAGGACTGGATGAACAACAGCCTCCTTCCGTACTTTACTGTCGAGAACCGTTCCTTTTGAAGCGAGCCGCTATCTCAAGATGCATAGTCTTGCGGCCCTGTCGTTGTGGCTCTGCGCCTCTGGATTGTCCCTAGCCGCACCGAACACATTATCTTTTGAGAACGTCAAAACGGACAATGGACATATCACAGGCCATCGCTCACCAGAGGCCAACGAGGTCTGGGAGTACCTGGGCATTCCATATGCGCAACCGCCGCTTGGAGAATTGCGATTCGCTGCACCACGGAAGTACAAGGGCAATGCAACATACATTGCCGCCAACTTCGTAAGCACTCACTTGGCTTTACCATTCTATCGGGTAAAAAATGACTGACATCTGGTACAGGGATAGTAGGCGCTTTGCATGGATACCATACGTATCATTGGACTGACGATATGTGCGCAGTGACTGTCCACAACAAGCTGCAACTCAACCTGCATTCCCCGGTTTCACTTCTCAAGCCTTGACCATACTTGCTGCCGGTACTAAATACTATACCCTCTAACTGTTACTATGCTAACTTTTTGCAGTATGTACCCATATATATATAAAGTTGCATCCACATCTGGCAGCCCATGCTGACTTTGTAACCCCCATCTTAGTTCACTGCTGGTGCCGGAACGTCTCGAAGTGAGGATTGCCTTACTTTGAACATATGGTCAAAGCCAACTGCAAAGTCCGCTAAGGCGAAGAAGCCTGTTTTCGTTCTATTCCATGGAGGACGTAAGTCATTTACCAGCCTCTAACCTGTCCACATTCATTTTACTCATCTTACTAGGTTTCGCTGGTGGCAACACCAACACACCCTTCGCCAACGGCCAGTACCTCGCAAAAAACGAGGATATCGTTGTCATCACGGTCAACTACCGTTTGAACGTCTTTGGATTCCCTGGCTCCCCCGATACCGACACCAACCTTGGACTGCGTGACCAACGTCTTGCAGTAGAGTGGCTCCAGAAGAACGTCGCAGCATTCGGCGGAGATGCAAAGAAAATCGTCATCGCTGGTCAATCTTCCGGCGGTGCGGCTGTCGACTGGTGGTCCTATGCATACCAGAAGAATCCCATCGTTCACGGCCTCATGTCCACATCAGGCAACACTTTCAGCTTTCCCATGAACTCACCAGAACGGCAACGGTCCAACTGGGACAACCTCACCTCCCTAGTAGGCTGCAGTTCCTCGACCGACACACTAGCCTGCATGCGCCGCCAACCGTGGGAGACAATCTCAAAAGCTGTAACCAAGATTGCTCCTAGTCCAGGCGGCAGTCCAGTCCGCTCAACACCGCCGTTCTATCCTCTGGTAGATAACGAGACAGTCTTCTCCGACTACCTTTCTCGTTCAGCATCCGGCAACTTTGCCAACTTACCCTATTTCCACGGCCACAATGATCATGAACAGGGCTACTACGTCATCCCAGCATTTGCCCAAGGTCGCAATGTTACTGAGCAACAAGCCAGCCAGTTCCTCCTCGAGTCCTTTGTCTGTCCCATCTCTTACGCGGCTAATGCACGCGTTGACGCTGGCGTACCTACGTGGGTTTATCGATACTACGGCGACTGGAACAACACACGTCTTTATCCCACATCTGGTGCATACCACGGTACTGAACTACACATGATCCTCGGGGGCTCCGCAGATGCCAGCGGCTTGCCTGAAACACAAGCCCAGAAGGATACTGTCAGACTTGTGCAGCGGGCTGTTGCGGCATTTACTGAGGATCCGAAGAAAGGCCTGACAAAACTGGGGTGGCCGGTTTTCGACCCAAAGAAGAAGAGTTGGGGCGAGATTGCTCTGGAGAACAAAGCTAAAGTCACGTTTGCGAGACCGGAGAAGTACGATGCGCAGTGTGGAGATGTCGTTTTGGGTGCTTTGCAGGGTATGTCCTGAGTGGGAGAGTGGGCCGATTGGATGAAGCGAACGAGTTCTTGTATATAATATCTCATTACCCTGTAAATACTAAGAAGAAACGAGCTGTTACAGCATCATACGCCACCTATATGACCTAGTGGGGACATTGCGGGGGCGTACCATACATGCGGTAGCTACGCATCAACATCTCGACTGCGATGAACTCAAACCGTCACCAACACCTCCCGAACTATAATCTTACTTGTAGCACTTGGTTTTGGCCCAAAATGTCTGCAAACGCTGTCTCTCCGATGTCACTACGTTGGTGGTGCATATGATAGGTAAGCTTCTCAGCAGGAAACCCACGGGTATCTGGTCTGAGGTCTTGTGTGCGGTGGTTGCACTTGTATGGAGTGGAATTGCACGTCTATATGGGACTAAAACTACGAAATCTCTCAGGAGACCAGAGAAGGAGAAGCAGAAGAAGAAGGCCGAGCAAGTGGGAGCGTGGTATGTTTTCCTTCTCCACCCAATCACGTCTCTGTTGTAATATATGTTTAGTTATGATCATACTGGTACAATCAGGCCTGCATGGACGGAATGGCTAGATGAATGACCAGGAAATAGATGATAGCATCCGATACTCTTAGGCTATCTTGTGTTCAACCTCTTCCAAGTCAAATATGCTGCCAAGGCAACAACACCTATTCGACCAACAAGTGCCGTAGTCACAGCACTCCTGACGAATGGATAATACCCCTCTAGCATCGAGTTGACTGCGGCTCCCCTGGCCATCATCTTCGCTCTACCACTCTGACCCCAACCTCTTCCGACGCCCAAACCAGCTATGCCGACCTCGCCCGGCTTCTCTTCTTCTTCCAACGAACCGATCGCCTCGCTGCCGATTCCAGGGAAGTCTTGTGTAGGCAGTTCAGTCGTGTCTTGAGACGTCGTTGTTACGCTCGACGCGGCTGTGCTCATTTCTAGAGACTTTTGTTTTCGGAACCGGTATGACATGGCCCACATTACGAACCTCACATCCCAGTTCGTGAAAGTAGGATATGTCCAGAGTTCCAGCGCATTATGTGGTGGCATATGTTCGAGAAAGTCGCTCACAACACCCAACGTCAAGCCCCATAGCAGTAATGGAGGTCTACGGTCCTTGGATCTCCCTTCAGGGCCTGCCAATGCCTCTCTAATAGTATTCACCACACCCTGTGGAACCGCCTCGACGGGTATGAAGTCTGGAATGGTTGCGCAGTGCGTCGAGTTCGCTGGCACAAGTTGTATAGCAGCAAACATCATCTTGCTTAACATGGCCTGTAAGAACCAGCGCTTGATGCCTAATTCAGACTTTGCCAGACGCGCTGAGACGTCGGCGTATTCGTGTGTACGGAGGGCCGGGGAGAGAAGCGCGCGAATGGGAACCCAGTGTGATGAGGCTACTTCGGTGGGCTGCAGACGTTGCTGTGGGTAGGCTGGAGAGGTCAGGAGGTAGATGTAAGGGCATAGCACCATGAGTCTGGTTGTGGTCAGCCTGAGTTCTATCGATTATAGCCTTCATGTATCCATCCCAGGTTATCGCATCAGCTGAACGGGACGACATACGGTACTTTGCCCCAGCTCGTTGTGACGATCCGCTGGGGTAGATTGCCAACTGCAATAGCATTGTCAGGACTCAGATCGATGCCGACCTCTTCCAGCGCTTCTCTAGCAGCTGCAGCCTGATCATCCTCATCCTCTGGATCCCGCTTTCCGCCTGGTAGAGCGACATGTCCGTTCCACTTGTCGCCGACTCGTGTAGCTCGCTTTATGAACAGTAGTTCCGGGTCCCCGTGCTTCGCCCACTCTTGTGAGAAGAAGGCGCTTAATGAGGACTCAAAGTCGAATTCTGCATTAGGTTGCGCAACAGAGGAGCGCCTGCGTCGAGCCGGCAAAGGACTGTCGTCATTGTCCGGCCAATGCGAATAGTTTGGCTGAATGCGCAGTATGAGTGCAACGGAGGCGCGTTTCGGTAGGTTCGGCGGACACGCGACATCTGGATAGGGGTTCGCGTTGAGCTCCAACAGAACGGATTGGAGATGACTAATGAGGTCTTCGGTGTTACTATGCGTTGCCATGATGTCTACAGAAGCTCAGTGTATTGACTATACGATGGGTGTTTGGTAATGCTGAACCGGGAAGCCCACGGCACGTTGATGAGGGAGGTGACCTGTCGCGGGTGCTGCGTTGCATGCGTTGCATGCGAATGATACAAAAAAGAAACGCGTATGTTCGCGACGACGTCTGAACGCTATATGATATTGTTATTCAGAGATTCATGATCAGAGACATTGGTATCGCAACGGAGAACCGAGGTGCGAGAGTTCACATAGCCATAGCGATTGGCTACATGGCTCAGCACTGCGTCGAGGAGCTGAGAAGCGGTGAGAAGGTGCTATAGTCGGTACAGAACATGTGCACGAAGATACGAGCGACCCACACCGGGAGCAACGTATATACCAGGCGGACAACAGGTGAAGTTTGCTTCCTCATGTCGCAGTCGCATAGCGGAGGCGAGCTTTGGCCAATCGGGCGTTCGCCATGGAGGGGCAGGGAAATGAGGTCACCCGTGAGCCCCGCGATGCCAAAAAAATCTCCACATGTGTCGTGCGCCATTGCCTTGTACCCCAGATCACTGTCTTAATTGACCGTTTCTTTACAATTGACTTCTGAACATTGAAAACTTGAGTCAAAATGGCAGGCCAAAAGACAGGTAAGTTCATGGTTCAAAAGACTCAGAGTATACCACTAATCGTTTTCGATAGCGATTCTGTCAGTCTACGACAAGACCGGTCTTCTTGACCTGGCCAAGGGACTCCATGAATGTGGTGTCCGACTACTTGCCTCAGGCGGTACGGCCAAGATGATCCGTCAGGCCAACTTCCCCGTTGAAGATGTTTCTGCCATCACCAAGGCGCCGGAGATGCTCGGTGGACGCGTCAAGACTCTCCACCCCGCCGTACACGGAGGCATCCTCGCGCGCAACCTCGACTCGGACGACTCAGACCTCTCCGCCAACAGCATTGACAAGATTGACTTTGTCGTATGCAACCTATACCCCTTCTCCGAGACCGTCGCGCGCATCAACGTCACAATTCCAGAGGCCGTCGAGGAGATCGATATCGGAGGTGTTACTCTACTCAGGGCCGCCGCGAAGAACCATGCGCGCGTCACCATCATCAGCGACCCCAACGACTACCATGACCTCCTTACCGAACTCAAGAAGGACGGCGAGGTTTCAGAGAACAGCAGACAGCGTTACGCGTTGAAGGCTTTCGAGCAGACTTCATCATACGACACTGCCATCTCCGAGTTCTTCAGGAAGAAGTATGCAGGCGACGGCGACCAGTTCCTTACCCTCCGATACGGCGCCAACCCCCACCAGAAACCCGCGACAGTATCCATGCCAGAGAAGTCTCTGCCATTCAAGGTGCTCTGCGGTTCACCAGGATACATCAACCTGCTCGATGCACTCAACGCATGGCCTCTCGTGCAAGAGCTGACCAAGGCACTCAACTACCCAGCTGCGGCCAGCTTCAAGCACGTCTCGCCTGCTGGTGCGGCTATTGGAGTCCCACTCAGCGAAGTGGAGCGCAAGGTATACATGGTTGATGACATCGAGGGCATCGAGAAGTCGGGTCTGGCGCAAGCATACGCTAGGGCGCGTGGTGCTGACAGGATGTCAAGTTTCGGTGACATGATTGCCCTGTCAGCTGAAGTTGATGTCCAGACTGCGAAGATCATCAGCCGTGAAGTATCCGACGGTGTCATCGCACCTGGCTACAGCGCTGAGGCTTTGGAGATTCTCAAGAAGAAGAAGGGCGGAAAGTACCTGGTTCTCCAGATGGACCCTGAATACGTTCCTGGCCCTGAAGAGACCAGAACCGTCTTCGGCATCACGCTCAAGCAGCACCGCAACGACGCCAAGATTGTTCCCTCTGATACCTTCAACACCGTCATCGTGCCCAAGAACTCTGGAGCTCTACCAGAGTCTGCCCAGCGCGACTTGACTGTCGCCACCATTGCGCTCAAGTACACTCAGTCCAACAGTGTTTGCTACGCGCTCAATGGTCAGGTGATTGGTCTTGGAGCTGGCCAGCAATGTGAGTTAGACCAGTTTTGTATCACGAACAGCCGCTAATCTTTGTACAGCACGCATCCACTGCACTCGCCTGGCTGGAGACAAAGCCGACAACTGGTGGATGCGCTTCCATTCGAAGACCCTGAACCTCAAGTTCAAGAAGGGCACCAAGCGCCCCTCAAAATCCAACGCCATCGATCTTCTATGCTCAGGCCTCGTCCCTGAGGTGGGTATCGAGCGTGACGACTTCGAGGCTAACTTCGAAGAGGTACCCCAGCCCTTCACCGCGGATGAGCGCAAGGAGTGGCTCTCGAAGATGGAGAGCGTCGCTGTCAGCTCCGATGCTTTCTTCCCCTTCATCGACAACGTCTTCAGGGCGCACAGGAGTGGTGTCAAGTACATCGCTGCACCCACAGGAAGTCAGAACGACGGCGCAGTGTTTGAGACGGCCGAGAAGTTGGGCATGACCTTTGTTGAGCAGCACATCAGGCTGTTCCACCACTAGGAGATTGATGAGAACGTTTGGAGATGATACCTGGCGATGACATTCACGTGCGATGAATTGACTACATGAAAAGTCTGGAGATGAGATTACGATACCTTCAAAATGTGGATACTTCAACATTCCAATCTGGCTGTTTTTCAATCTGGTCTTGTGAGTTCCAAAGCGTGCGCATTGTTTGTATTAGGATATCACGCACAATGGTAGAACATGACAGCGAATGCGTGTCTCTGTAGCGCAAATGTCCAAGGTCGAGACCGCACGCGCTAATGTTTGCTATTTGCTGGAAGTAGCAAGCGTTGGCCAGGGGATCGCCCGACTAAGCCCCTTGCAGCAAGCCGCAACGGAAGGAATAGATGGACAGCGCTGCACCTCGACTTGTTGCTCTACACCGCTGTCACAAACAACAACTCACCAACCTCCCAATCGCATCTGAACCTACTACTAATCGCCACCGCGACCCATAAAGCCCCTACACATACACAACTACTATCTCCAAAGATGTCAGCTCAACCAGAGAACCAACAGATGGAGGGCGTCCAGGACCCCGCTACCGATGTCAAGGGCAAGGGCAAGGCTCAGGAGGGCGAGACAGTCGAGGAGTCCATGGACGACGACTCCAGCGACGAGTCTGGCGCTGAGGACCAGGTACGTTCGTCGCGTTCACCGCCACAACTTCAGGCGCAACCAGCTAACACAATCACGTCCAGGCCGGCGAACGTAAGCTATTCCCGCGAAAACCATGCGACTGAGCTTGTCAACTAACAGAAGAACAGCCGAGGAACCTGACGAGGACAACATGGAGGAGATTGACACGTCCAACGTCCTAAGCAGCCGCACGCGCGGTAAAAACATCGACTTCGCCAAGGCCAACCAGGAGCTCGGCGACGAGGACGAAGAGGACGACGACGAAGACTTTGTCGACCCCGATGACCAGATGAAGGACTAGAGTGGAGTTGCATCTGCAACTTCCGTCTTTCGGTACGTTTGCAGTCATTCCCCTTTGATCGACGAGCCCCACTAACCGACTGGCCTCATTCTAGGACTTCTTCGGCGCGTTTGACCAAATCTCTGCGAGCTCTATATTCTGGCTAGGATTACGATATACACACAAAAGGCATTTGGGTAGCGGGGAAAAGACTCTTACCGACGTATCGGAGTCGCGGCGCGACTTTTTGCTGGACGATGGGCGGTTGAGGTAGCAGGACATTGGGCTATGCGCACGTTTGATGTGTGACATGGACTGTGGACTGGATACCTCGCGCACACACAGTACCAGCGTGCGTTATGAATGGAAACAAGAATACTGGTACATTTGACTTGACTCGCTTTCGTCTGTGATTGTGAACGTGACGACGTTTGGACATGTCTCGTGCAAAAAAGAAAAGGTTCGCAAGAACAGATCTTACGATTGATACTCTTGGCCCAGACAGCTTCGTACCACAAAACATGACATGGCCAAAGAAGAATAAAAAGACCCATGCATCTCAACACTGACTTACCCCGCCTTTACCTGAATACCTCACATTCTTTCCAGGAGCATGCAGGGCAATCGATCCGATGACACGAAAAGGACACGTCGGTACCAAAGTGTTGCACTTATATCATAGAATCTAGGATCTAATGAACTAGCCAGCCGCAGTGCGCATGCAATACAATGTCTGTTACATTCTCTCTCGGATATCGGAGTCTGAAAGCCGCCGAAGAAACACTAGATTGAAAACTGCGATGTCGGTGACGTGGAAAGCAAATACTCGGATAATTTACGTGAAATCAGGCGGATGCGACCATGATGATGCTTGTTGTTACTAAGACAATACGTAAGGTAGTGAAGTGGGTGGTGTTTCACAGAATGCGATGAGATATTTCAGGATAGTGTCTTGATTGAGAGAGGAAGAAACAGAAAGAGAGGCGAGAGCGTAAGAATCTTTACCAATGAAATTAGGATATGGTGAGGGTAATGTCTCGAACATCTTGCACGTAGACCACCATTCTATCGGCATCGAGATCCAGCGAGATAACCAACCTCGGACCCGTGAAAGTTGTGTCTTCTAGGTCTTTCCGTGGGAGCTGTCAAGCAAAAACGCCGAGAATCAATCACGGACGAGGCAAAAGATCAGTACTGATCCACAAGAAGAACCAAACTGAGAACGGGCAGATGTAAGTTCGCTGGAACAACATCCGGTCGCGTCACGGGACCAGCAATCTCAGGATGATCTTCCTTCTTAGGGTTATCCCTTCTTGCAAGGTTCAACTGCCCAGATCCCCATGGCACAACGGCGACACCCTGGAAATTGACCCACGTAACACTTTGTATATCTTAATTCCGGAAATGCTCGTTGCCTCCCACTCTTGCCATGGATTACCCGAAGCGGAATGCATTAGGTACACGAATCCTACGGAAATATTCGTGGCATGCATGCTGAGTATCTGTGCTAGCTCAAGGTCTTGATGCCGTACAAGTGCACCTGCCTGAAGTATCCGCCGCGGACTTTACACAGGCAGGCAGCGAACAGCGAAGGAGGCGACATCGGCTCCTTAGAAACGGGCTCGGCTGCACTGGCTACGAAACACGGATTTGCCTGTTCTCGTGACTCGTCTCCCGCTACGTACTGCCGTCAGCCTAGGCACGAGTGTTCCGGTCTGCTCCGAAGCATGATGAGGACATTGTTGCTCTGTCGCCTGCTGTGGCGTGGCGGGTCGCTAGAATCGCCCAAATTTTCGAGGTGAGCCTTGTGGGTGGTAGATGAATTGGTTTTTGACTTTGCGGCTAAGCAGAGGATAATCACTGCGAGTCCGGGTCCGCGATAATGTCGACGAGTGCGCACATGGAAAGCTTCAGCGACGCTCCGCTGCGAAATGGCGGGGTTATATGATCTCCCGTCCAGTGAGCGTCAACACGAAGTATTCCGTAGCGCGACAGTCCGCCCTGGGTCGCGCTTGGGGAGAGATAAGGTCTGAGATGACCCTCTCAAATTACGACAAACAAGTCGTGTGCTGCCGAGGCGAGGCCGCCGGGCCAATTACAGACGTCGCCTTTCAGATGATGCGGCGTGGGCTGCAGCGGCAATCTAGCCGGTGGAGCTTTGGTAGAGCGGAAGCACATGCAAGTCGTGGTCATCCCCATGTCAAACCGACATTCGGAGCCCAGGATAGGGTGCACGGCCGAACTGCTGCAGGGCGGTCACTGCAAGCCAGCCAATAATGCCCCTGCCTTTGGTCATGGAGTGGCAGAAAAACCGTGGGGTAGGCCAATTTTCTATGCGCAACACGCCGCAGGAGGCAGCGATGCTGCGCATACGCATACGAGTATTGGTAGAATATCACAAGAGCAGTTGTATATACCTCTGAAACCATTGTATATTGAAATATCTAGTGGTGATACATTGTCTGGAAAAAACGCGAGAACAATGGGCGTCGCGCACCCCCTCCAACATGTTTCCAACTTGATATACGTGCAGATAAAGTACCAAGACCTCCTCCAAGACCAGGCAGTTCCCAGTTCGCAGCGGTAGGCAAGCGGAGATGGCCTAACTGACAGCACGAACGCCTCTTTCGACGCGCTTCCAGCCCGGTAATTGGACAGAGTTGAAGTCAAGTTGTTAGCGCATAGGGAAAATATCCACCCCACCAGGAGCCCTCCACTCTCTTATTCATAAGCACGCCCGCGAAACCTCCCGCGACCTTCTGCCTCTTCTTGCACTCTCTACACAATCGCTACAAGTTGCTTGCAGGAACACCGCGAGCCCACGACAAGGCCTGTTCCACCAGCCTTTCTAGCAAGTAAGTCGCCTTGCCTCCCACATGTACACCCGCTGCACCGATCCACCATCCGCGACCAAACATTGTGCTTTTCCACCACCCGTCCTGCGTGAGAGGCATTAGCCATCTTCTTACTGGTCTACGCGTGCCACCCCGCGTTAGCCTATTCGCTCCCTCCCTTATCTGCCGATTTTGTGCTTGGAGCAGCTATCAGTTGCCGCTGGGGACAAGGGGGAAACGTCATAGGCATCAATCACCTATATCCGGCGGGGTGAAGGTGGTGACGAATCCAGCCCATCTTTCTGCTGGCTTTGGGGGTGATTGACACCAGCAACTCCATCCTCCCACCAAGTGTTCCCCACCCACATTCTTTGCTTTTGAGCTAGAGCTCTAGGCGCAATCCGTACCAAATATTCTCGAGCTTCGACCCTCGGCCTGCACTGAACGACAAACTCTTCTCAGACTTGACAACTAATATTTGCCTCCAGACTTCATCCAGATACCAGGGCAACAGCTCCAAGTTTACGCGTCGAGCGACCCCGCCACACACCCATATCGATACCGCAACCCCACTACCACCACCAACGAACCCAGAAATTCGGCCTTTCGCCGATATAATGGGTCGGGTCTCGTTCGCCGAAGATACAAAGTTGCCCCAGGAACCCCAGATCGAAGAGGAGCAAAGCACAGTATTTGCTTATCAAGATGGCCCAGAGAACAAGTCTTGGGCGGGTGCGCTGCCCTTGAAGCAGGGTCTGTATGACCCGGAGCTCGAGAAGGATGCTTGCGGTGTCGGTTTCGCTGCGTGAGTGAAAAGCAATTGGTTTGGTGAAGAGGCGCGATGACTAACAATGGCATAGTCACATCAAGGGCAAGGCCAGCCACAAGATCGTTTCCGATGGTAAGAGCGAACAACGCGGCAAAGCAATGGGATAATAATGCTAACGAATCTCCAGCACGCTCGTTGCTATGCAACATGACACATCGAGGAGCCGTTGGCTCTGACGCACGCGATGGTGACGGTGCAGGTGTAATGACCTCCATCCCCCATCGATTCTTCCTCAAGGAGTTCGAGCGCGAACAAGGCTACAAGCTACCATCGCTTGGCCAGTATGCCACTGGTAACCTTTTCTTCAAACCCGACGCCACCATCTTGGATGAGACCAAGGCCATGTTTGAGGACGTTGCAGACCAGCTCGACTTGAGAGTGCTCGGATGGCGAACAGTGCCCCGCGATTCCA